GTCAGATTAGGGGCTGATTTTCGTGTGCTTAATGGTTACAGGTCTACTGGTTTGGCAAAACATTGAACTTCATCAAGACCATCCCTTTCAATATCAATTCTTGTTAAAAATATAGAGAACGAAAAATGAATGGAAAACAGCTAATAGGTTTTACTCATTCCTCAACTTCTACCAAATTAAATGTCTGAAGGTGCAGTGAAAGACATGTTACGGTATGCTGCCTCTGGGCTAATATCAAAAGGTAATCCTTGTCTCAGACACTTGATATCTATCACACACCACTGTCATAGGACCTCTCAATATTTAGCATCTTGATAGAGTACTCTAAAGTCTCTTCTATAATCAGAGAAATCTTTTACATGTATTCAATATTTGAATGGAAATTCATGATTAATATGTACTATACTAGTAATTTATACTTATCTTGACCAACATTTTCAATGCATCTCATTCAACGTGTAGTGAAACATGTAAAATACACCAAAACAGATTCACAACTGGACACTATATGACAAATTTGAATCTGTTTATATAATCTTCAAGTATAATTTTCACATATATATACTAAACAATCTAATTTTCCATACCACACTTTACATCCTGACTAATGGCTTTGAACCTTTAACCTTGTATTAATCCTGAATCAATTCATTCATCCATAGGAAATTACTAAAAACAGTCCTGTGGTATCAATGACCTTTTGTACAACTCAAATACTATGAAATGTATCCCTTTTATATCTATATTCAGAACGTTGATTTCTAAAGTCCTGATCAGTTTAGTGACACCATATATGGTAAGTCCTATTAAAGACAAAAGGTACCACCATGAAACAATACATGTTTTTGTTGATTAATTTGTTACAGTAATTATAATAATTTTGTGTGTGATGACAATGTAGAACCTGGTAGCTTTTTCATTTTTTTCTGCGTTCATACATTAACAGTAACCATTCAGTTATTTCAGTTGATGAACTTATCAAAAATATACAGGTGTATCTCATTCAACCTTTACAATATATTCTGGACATACAAAAAATCACAGTCAAGGTGTGCTTACTTAAAGGTACATCTGTATTTATATGGATCAGTTAACACAAAGTGTTAAGACATGCAACTTTAAAAAAATGTCATCTAAAAAAAAAGGAGGAAAAAAAACCACAATTAAGATCTGCATAGAAAAAGAGAACTGTAGGGCTAAACAATATAAGCTTGTCCCGTGCCAAATAAATATCCAAAATTCATTATATCACCACGATTTAATATAGAAATGAAGAATGATTCAAAATGTCAAGATTTGCTATATGTATTAACGATAAATTAAGGCATACAAAGTTACAAAGGAATGGCTGAAAACTGAAAGAAAAAAACGTTTGGACAAGATTCAAATGCTGAAATGAAGAAAGAGCACTAACTTTTTGGAGAATACAATCTCATGCTGTGGTTTAAAGCTTCAAAGAAATTAGTTAAAAATTGAGGAAGGGAGATGTCGGGACATTTGATGTAATACTATGTACCTGGTAATAGTTATAAAGCTTACCAAGTTTCAGAGAAATTGGTGAAAAACTGAGAAAGGTGATCTCTACACAAAATTAAAATACTATCAAAACTACAGTGATAGAGTGACAGCTGTTAGTTGCTCACTTGTTATGAGTCCATACTAGTTTATGGAGAAATTACTGAACTTAGCATGTCTATGTATGTATGTATGCTTGATGATGAAGATAATGATGTTGACTGTGTCTAAGAATCTGCAGCATCCTTATGCATGGAGGTTAAAGTGTGTGAAGAAGCTGATAATGAGGATGTGTGATGCTGCTGTGTGATGCTGCTGATGTTTGTATATATGATGATGCTGAGGTGTGACGATGCTGATTTTGGTATGTGATAATGCAGATGTGTAATGCTGCTGAAGTGTGATGATGCTAATGTTGATAGGTGACCATAATGATGCTGATGGTATGTGATGATTGTATATGATGACGTTGATGTCAGATACTGATGTTGTTTGTATATGTAATAATGTTGGAGTACTAGTATGGCTGCAAGTTATAAATATATGTTTAGAGTGATTGTGTTACAAAGTGTCTATGATAGTTAAGATATAGTGTGCAACTCAAAATGCTGTGTGTTTAGTGGTGAAAATGATGCATGACTATTCTGTGTAAGTGTGTGACGGTGGGAGTTATAGACTGATATATGATTCTATTTATTCCTCATGTGGTTTTGGATAAATAAAAAATTTAAAAAAAAAAAAAAAAATACTATCAAAACAAATATAAACAACTCCTTTAAAATATGTTAAATCAAACTGTTATAAAGGGAAAATGTGATTTTTGTGGTTTAGAGATCAGTTGAAAACTGTGAAACAAAGAGAAGTTATTATTCCAAATACAGATGACTGAATCAAACAACCCTTCACGTTAACACAACTTCATGTCATGCTGATTAAGCTTACAAGTCTGAAAGGCATTGGCTGAAAACTGAAACAGGAGATCCTCAGACAAGTTCAACATTATTAAAGAACAAAGGGCAGCAACTCTTTCAAAATCAGTCAAATCAAATTGTTCTTTAAATAAAATCAACTTCAAGTCATGGTGATTAAGTCAGACAAGTTTCAAAGAAGCAATTTCAGAGAAGCAAACTTTTTACCAGATGTAGTAAAGTGCATCAATTTTTTACTCAGAAAATAGATATAGGCATGTTCATGGGCATCTTCAACCACTTTCACTCTCTGCACCCCTGGAAAATGTCTTGGCAAAACTGAAGGTTCCATGTGTAACAAGACAAGAAGTCTAGTTTTATCCTTGGAGGTACATCAAACAGTTCTTGAGACCAAATAACGGTATATTGTCATGGCTTTGGAGTTGGGTGTCGCTCCTTTGCAATCTTCAAACTGAGCTTATCAGAATGTGATTGGTCTGTTTTTTTCTCATGGAATCAATCAAATTATTTCGCTTGTGTCTTCAATTTTGCCATGTCATGATCCAGGGGTGCAGAGAGCGAAAGTTATTGTAACAACTGGAGTATTGGGGATGGTTCATAGGGGATACTAGGCAAGTAGTTATGTATGTTTTGTTTGTTTGCTAGATTCATCTGCAAATGATCTGCCAGGTCATTAGGGTTGTTACCTCATCGAACATCATGCAGAAGGCCATTAACATGCTATCCAGATCCCTTTTGGTAAAGTGTGCAGACTTGAAAGGAAACGACCAAAACAGTACAGAATTATCCTTAAACTAAGTTTCCTAAAACAAACATGCCAACAACACCCTCTCATTTCCTAGAGATTTAACCTAGTGACACATCTTGAAACCTCTACTGAATTGGTTGTTATGTGGCCTTTGTTATGTCCTGTGTGGTCCTAATAAAGAGATATTTACCATGTACCCTTTTTGTCACAAATAATATCTATTGAGAAAATAAGAATTGCATGTTCTATCATTTGGAAATGGCCAAAAAGACAGATCATAGGTTCATTAAAGTAAATAAATTTCCATCCCTATTCATCCCACTAGCCAGCGCTGTTCTGATACTGTACTCAGTCTCAAATGGCAACAAAATTTTACATATTTCCGTGGGGCCTATGAAAGGTACAATCTTCTAATTACTGGTATTTCAAAGGTTTCACAATAATTGATTCAAAGGTCCAAGATTTTGACTTAGCTTACTGATGCTATAAACTTGACTGAAAATACATTAAGATGAAAATATGTATTATTCTGTTCTTTCACTGTAAAAAACACAAATGAAAGCATTTGGACTCAATTTACTATATATTTTTGTAAAAATTAAAACAAAAGTGTGGATAACATTAGAAAAAAAATCATGCTATAAATAATGGAGAAAATATGGATTATTTGGACTCCTAACTCCACATTTTCCCTTTTATTTGTCTTTAATCACAGAAAAACGCAGAGAGAAAATATGGAGAACAAACATGGATATATGCCAGGATTGCAAAATGTTCAAATGAAAAACACTGATCCACATTATAAATTTTCACTCGTTCTGGATGGTGTAACTCATGCAAATTGTGCCATTTTATTCTGGATGAATGGAATTGTGAACAAACTGGAGCATTGTGGTTTTATTAGAATTGCTTCCTTTCAATTCAATCCATCAGCAGAGGGTGGCTTGACTATAAAGCACAATTTAAGAAAACAAATGTCTTGCTAATTTAGTGTCACATTTTCCCTAGAAGATATTGATAATAATTCTCATCTCTATTAGATACCAGTGTGACAATGCCTAAAAACAACTCAAAAGCAAGAGGTCAATAGGGCATGTAGAACTATGTAGCCTTATTAAATGTAGACTATTTTCTGCATAACCACCAAAACTTTAAATGTCAAATCCAAAATGGCTTCTGTCGGCCATCTTGAATTAAGGACGAAGCCAATATGTTGTAAAATGCACAACTATGCTAACTGATGAAAAATTATCACTTAAGAAAATTCGCCCTTAGTTGTTTTCAAGGAATGCAAGATGTTGATATGAAAAGTTTGGTGATGATGAAAAAAATCTTGCTGCGACTATACCATTTTAGGATCTAGCAGCGTAACAATACAGATACAGATTGCTGTGCACTGCTCGGTCGCTGATCGAGTTTCAAATTATTTTCATCAGACCAGGATACTGATCTTAAATCAAACACTTCGATTATTCCCCATGTTCTGTTCTAATCGAAACAAGGAGTAATTACCCCTGTTTGAGCCCCTTACAGTGAACATCTGACCAATTGTCTCGACGACTACCATATCATTGTTTGCTTACGTGATGCGGACGTACATTTCTACATAATTCTTATTAGACACACCTAACATTTTCTCTTCACGTTGCCCGATTATCTTCGTAATTTATATTACCGGTTCATATATTTTTTTCTCTCTGGTACCAGAAGATGTCGCTGTTGTGACAATTCCACTAATCGCATGTTCGTATGTAATCACGTGATATCACAGGCGCGAAGGAAGAACAGAGAACATTTCATACAAGAAAATGTCAACATCTGTGTTAGAAGCAACGCAGAATGTTTTCGAACAGAGGTAACGTTTAAGAAGAGTGAAGTTTCTTGACTTTTTATGCTAATTATCTACTTAAGCCAATATTCACATAACCGACAATAGTCGTGGGAAAATATCCGATTCGGAAAGGGGGGGGGGGGTCACAAATGTTTCTCACTTTCTAAGAAACATAAACAAACCTTTACTATGCTCGTGGTATGAATGCTTTGCGATCAGTTTTATTATTCTACGTACTATGTATATGACGTGCTGGAAAAAGGTAACTGTATTTTTGTTTTCCAAAGAGCAGCAATGTTACTTTATCCTATTGACATCGAGATCCCTTATTATTATAATATCCAGTCATTGGCCATTAGTATTGTCGCACAACGGTAACGTCACTGTGGAGTCTGTGAAATCATTGTAATTACAAATGTAAATATCTCAAAAACACGAAAAAGGCCTGAAATTAAAGTTATTGGTTATCTGTCCTTGTACTCTAACTACACTTTGTAATCTTTGTGGTAGGGAATTATAGAAGGTTTGTATGTAGTAAATTGGCAGCTTACTCCAAATGTCGGTTACGACACGGATAAGGCTGTTCGGTTTTGGATTTTATTCATTTAAATGTCTAGACAGTTGTGTTTTTGATAGTTTTTCATAATTTTTCAATTATGTTTTAATCAGGCCTTTTGACAGCCAGTGAAGAGTTCAGATACAATTGTTACTTTTCCCACTTCATGGTTTCTCTTGACACATGACATAGGGTATTTTCCTCTTGCAGAATCCAGGGGTGTTTGAAAAATGTCTAACAATCACAGGCCAAAGATTATCATCTAAAATGGAAATGTACTTACCAATTTCTACGTTTCAATCTAGGGAAATTAGCATGCCAACACCGAAGTAGGGTGTAACCACTCATTGTTGTGATGCCAACATACACTTTACCATCTACCTATTTCTATTTCGGTCTCTTCACTGAACATTACATTGGACCATTGGTTTGGCACTGTCCATTGCAGTTTTGTCCTGAAGCAGATCCAAAGTCAAATAGTCTTCTAACACTTTTTGACGACAGTTGTGTTACTCCACCATTGTTATAAATTGTTGTGATATCATTTAAAGTCCTTCTGCTATTACCATACTTGTTTTTGTTCAATGATGTCACAATTGTGTGACAATACTTGTTGTCACAGACTGCTGTTTCACTCTATCAGATGGTAAAGTAATAATCTGGTTTAGGGTCCATCCTCACTATTCCAAGGATCATGATCACTTTCTCTCTTAACATCCCTGGAACATGTCATGGCAAAATTGAAGGCACAAGCAGGCTGACCGACCACAAGCTGATACGCTCCTTTGAGGATTACAAATGCACTACACCCAACTTCAAAGCCATTACAACTTATTGTTATAATGAGATTTAATCAAGATTAATTTAATGTACAAGAAAAGATCATAACAGTCTTTTCATCTTGTCCACATTGTATTGCACATGGAACCTTCAGTTTTTTGATAACATGCTTCAGAGATGCAGAAAGGGGTAAATGATGGTTAGTGTCAAGAATGTGTAAAGGCAGTAATAGTGTAAAAGGAAGTTTAGAAATCACCTTATAATTACTACATGGTAGTTTACTAAAATCTTTGTTAATGGGGATGCAGTAGTGTTTGGTAAGATGGCTTTTTCAAGCCCTAGCTTGTGGTGGGTAGAGATAATTTTCATAAGCTATATTTTCTTATGAAGTGATTAACCTCATTTCGCTGACATTGATATTAGCATACATATATATATATATATATATATACACTGATCGTGTAATATCTGTACAATGTGTAACAAAGAACCAACACTATCTGCCTGCAATCTGAAGTTTGTCCAAATGAAAGTATGTGTGAAAGATTATTATCTGACTCATAAATTTGCTGACATTAAATTTCATTTCTATTTCTCAGGTTCAATTGTATTGTTTGCTTGTCTCCACGCCTAAAAATGGTTTATGGATTGTGCCAGCACAGAGTATGTGATGACTGTTTATACAATAATGACATTAGAAGACCAAGCTTTGACAAATGTCCAACATGTTTGAAAGAAGACATGTTTCCTTTAATCAGGTAATACTAACTTAGGAGAAATCAAAATGAAAATAGATGGAGAATAAGTTTTGTTTTTCAGCTGTGTCAGTTAGTCACAAATGTTTGTTTGTAGAAACTATATTCCTTATCGATTTTAAAAGTTTACAGTTTGAAAAAAAAGAAATTGCAGTCAATTTGGAATGTCCAGGAATTGCCTTAGGTAATAAGTACATTAAGAAGATAACCACTGCTTATACAATACCTTAATATGAGCTAATTTAGAATTTGAGGAATGTTACCCATTGTGAAAAATGGAGAATTTTTTCCTATTTTGAGAAATGTTGAAATTTCAGACAGCCCTTTGAGTCCGAATTCAAAAGAGGGATAGGGCTAAAATATATCATACATGAATATTACACGATTAAAACATGCAAAATTGAGGTGAGATTGATCTGGTATTTCCTTTTCATGATTACATGATTTGAAAACATGTTAAGTAAAATTGTACCTGGTAGCTGTTTTTGGGGAAACTTTCCCTTGTTTTAAGCATATTTTCTTGATTGGGAATTTGTTTATAATCAAAGGGGGAATGGTACTAAGGGAAAACTTCCCTTTTTCAATAGTGAAATTTATCAAGATTAATCTGTTCATAAAAATATTGTCTTTGAAAATTACAGGTTTGGTATATACAGATACATTTTGATAATCTGAAATAAGATAACAGCAATTTGTATGCAGAAAAGGAAAAAAGAATACAGGTCAAAAAGCAAAACTGTATCTCTTCTCTTTGTATTCTAGTGAGAGACTGTGATATTTCTGTTACTGATCTCCCATAAACATGTAGACAAAACCTGTGTCAGTAACTAATGTATTATATGACAAATTAAATTTAATATAATGGAGCTTAACACTAGATCTACTTTGCTACATGTCTGTGAACATAAGTAATGGTACTATGAATTATAACAATAAAAAATGCTGTATGTTAGTATGTTTTTGTTTTAAGTTTTTTGTGTTAAAACATAATTTTCATAAAAAATACTTCACTTTTGATTACTGATTCTTTTTCTTTTTTTTTAAATGATATGTATCTTGTTGAAGACTTACGAAAAATTTGCAATCATTTATTTCTATTAAAAAAAACTTATTTTTATATCAGCAGCAAGGTGAATTTGTCAATCGCTAATGAAGATTTAGGGAAGAGGGAATCTTAAAACATTTTATATTCAGTGTGTTATATATTTTCATTTTGATTGACAGACCTGATATTCCTGAGGATAGCATTGAACATCAGCGGTGCTTGGGTGTGAGATCGTGTCCACATGAAGGCTGTACTGTCGAAATGTGGGAATGGGAAATGGAGTCACATCTTATGTGAGTATAACCAAGTGTAAAAAGATCTGTGATTTTGTAAGCTTAGTCTTAATGTTGTATTAGTAAAGATTTTAGCTGACCGGTAACAAGGTTTAAAGATTTGATATCCTCAAAGACTTATGCCATTTTTAGGAACAAAAATTGTTTCCTGCAGAGTCAAGTTTCTTTTTGTTTTCAACCTGGAGACATTGAAGAAAACAAATTTTATGCAGCTGTTATATCAAATTCCAATCTAGCAAATACCATATACATGGTCAGAGAATTCTTTTCTTATTGATGAACACAATTTTAAAAAAAAAGGCTAAGAGCGATATAAAATTTGAAGTTTTTTGCAATGAAAGGTTATTGCTTATCTGAAGAAAGATCCTTAACTTGTTGATTTTTAACTAATGATTAATATTTCTTTATTATAGGGTTTGTCCGAATAGAATCCAGAATAAAAGTGTAAACAAGAGGAAAACATCATTACCTGATAAGGATGTTGGAAGTGAAAAGAGATTAAAATTCCATACCAAAGCTGGAGCTCAATCATCTAGAGTGCTAAGATCTAAATCATTATCATTACGTGTGACAAGAAGAATGTACAGACATTCTCGGAATAGTACAGATGTTCTGTGACATAACTCTGAACACCAGAAGATAATGTTTACCATGTACTATGTACATGTATTGTTCTGCCAGTTGTGGAGTGACATTGATTTGCTGACTTGCCTCTATTCCAAAGGGACTTTACACCAATTCTCAAACTGCATGTCTGTCTCCAGGATTGTAATTTCTCAGAAGAGAAATTCAAACACATTTTATCTGTTTTTCTCCTCTAATGAGTTGCTACCCTTGATACACCTGTTATCCAATATATACAGGTTTTTGGGTTTGGTCTTTATGGCAGGTTCCTGGCTGTATTATATAATCTCTACATGCAACATCAAAAGCCAAAATTGTCAATAGAAAATTCAAAGAGTCCTCTTCATTGTTTAGCTACAAAGTGTTAATTTTAAATAAGTATTGAAAGATCAAAGAAAAGTAGAGTGGTGATCAGCTATAGAGACTACATCTGCCTGTGATTGATAATTTTATGTGTTCAGTCCGAGGAAAAGATGGTAGAATGTGTGTGATATCTCTGTTCTGTGCTTTATTGACAGCTGTGTTCATCAGTAAAGATTTATGAATTTTGTGTTATTTATAGAGGAAACTCTGAACATGTGTAAGCAAAGCTTCAAGGAAAAAGAGGACATTGCTTTGATAAATAAGGTTGTTGTAAAAAAAATTTGTCCTTTGATTAGGCATTAAATTACTCCAGGGTATCTGTTTGAAAACTGAATGATCTTTACAAATGTGATGTGGCTAAAACAAATGGTAATTTAATACAGTAAATGTTATTTAAGCTGTTCAAGAAAATCTTGGAAAGATAAATTTTTAACCCCAAAACTAATGAAAGAAAATCATAAAGCTGGGAGTGAGATAAATGTTTTTGACTAAATCAAAAGAAATGCTGTTTCACAGAAATGATTCATTATTTGTAAATGGTCATTGTGATTTCTTTAATTATGTGAACTGTTGCCACATTCATATTTTGAAGAAGAAAAATTTATACAGTAATCCTAACATTTTTTCTAAATGTGTTTTTTTGGTTTTGCTTTTGAAGCTGTCTGTTTTAAATTCTTTTTTCAAAATATAATGTAAATGAAATGTTACAGGTATTCAGTGCTACTTACTGATACTAATATTTTTTGGTTATACTAATTAATATTTATATCTGAGCAAGTAGTAGGTATGATTTGTCACGTAGAAAAGTCAATTTACGGTTGTTGTCAAGATACTATAGGATAAAATATTTTCTGCTGTCATATTTTTTTACAAATGGGTATGTTGTACTTGGTAAATGGTACCAATGGATAAACTTCATCTAAACTATATGCTACTATTATTATTGACACATGATTACATTCAATGAAGCAATTGCGGTATGATACAATCTTGGCTGTCTGAACAACAGGAGTTTCAGTAAATCCCTTCCTAGGTTGACAAATATATCACCGAATTAAACATATTCTAATTATAGTTACCAAAGGGACAATTAAGTCAAGTTTTATAAGTATTTTTTCCATGTCAAAAAATCTTTCATCAAATTGTATTTCTATGTCCTTATGAAGTATGGATGTCCTTATATTGGCACAATATTACGCTATCCGAAAGATTTTAATTAATTGTAACAAATTTTGAAATTTACAACCAACATTTTATATGCAAATACAAAGGCACTTTTACCTAACAGGCATGTGCAAACCCGTATCGAGAATGTCAACAACTTGCAACTGGAAGCAGAAGCGAGTAAAACTAGTTACAGTTCATGCCAAATGGAGACACAGTAAATGGTATGCAAAAAAAGTCCTAGAATCACTTTAGGTCAAAAATATGAGAGTTGGAATGTACGGTATGCAACATATTTAGGCAAATCATAACCCTGAGGAAGATTTATATCAAAGTGTCATTATTCCTGCATCATGTGGATTTAGTTACAAGCAACTTTTCTTCCTGCCAGAGTGTACGTCATTTTGTGCTATGTTGATTCTAGATATATTTGGCACTGGTTTTTCCAAAATTAAAACTGATCACACCAAACATTGGCTGTGTAACAAATCATTTTCATGCATGGATTTATTCATCTGGATGTGAATATTTTCAATTCCGCTTGGATTTTAAAAAAAAAACTTAGTTGACTAAATTGTCCCTTTAAATACATGTACTTTAATATTTGTGTCCTGTCACTACCTCCACCTGTTCATCTATTGTACATGTATTTGAATCAGATTAGGGTATGGCTAGAAGTTACAGAATATTTCTGTGTTTGTTTCTTCATGTTCTTGTTGTCAAGATATTTAATACTTACTGATATTTATAAAGCAAGTTTGTTGTTTTGCACATGTGACCTCCTAGATCCAACTTTTTTTCTTTTTTTTTTTAATAGGAAATGTTTGTAAAACATGAATGCACTGTCTCCTGACACACAAAATTCTTTTTAAAAATAAGAAACGTTTGTAAAACATCCTTAAAAAATGATTTGTCAGTGTTAATAATAAACTAATTTAAAATCAGTTTTATCAGTTGATATGCAATGTACTTGTAAACAAAAATAATTTTCTGTTCAACACTGTAACTCATATTAAGGTGTGAAGAAAGTAGGAAATATTGAAACATTGCTGCTGTCATAGAATGCTCTGGGGTCAGAAAGTTGATCATGATCATGTCAACACCATTCAACACAAAGGAACAAGTGACCATTTATCATATTTCTGTTTAAATGCCTAAACAAATAAGATAAAATTAATCTACTCACATTTAATTATGTTACTTGTGTTGATGATAGGATAGCCTACCATAAGTCATTTATGTGAGACAAAACAAGGTACATGTACTACTTCAGATAAAAACTTGATTTGATGAATGCCAAATGTGTGTTAGCCAGTACCCCACTTAACTACACCATATTGCAGAGAAATGACATGCTTAATTCAATGACTGTTGTTTGTAGTTTATACTAATTTCAGGGACCATGTACCCATCATTTTATCACCTGCCCTTGTACTGATGTGTAGTAGACACATATCTAACTAAATTTCTTGTAAAATGTAATGACAATTTGTTAATTCGGGTAAATCTTGCTTCATTACCAGTATATGTGTACTGTAACTTATGATTCATTGCTGTATCTTTGAATTCGATTATATTGAGCTGTGTATATACATATGTGTGTGTGTTTTTTTGTCAACTACATGCTTATTGTGAAGATATGTCAATAAATTAATGTTGAATATGTATCAGATTGATTGTTGTGCTAAGTGAAGATAACTGAATGCGCACAAATTGATTTAATGTTTAATGGTCACCTTCAGAGGTTTAAAGCCCCCAAATAATAAGATATTCAGCCGCCTTATTTCGTAGAAATGCCTGGACCCCTAAAACTGCACAAGCTAAATATCCAGCAGTCAGGCCTCAGTCCAAATCTGTACCTGACATTGCTCTTGAAAGTTAAGCCATTTGAACCTCTTGCGTGAAAGCAACCTAAGTCATGAATCCCAAGTTTTAGATTCTGATTACTCTTTTTGACAGAGTAATGGCCCTTTGAATTCTAGTGCCTTTGAAGTACTCGCATTAGATTTATGGCACTACAAATATACATTATATACCTTATGTCTTTCTACGTAAATCCAAAGAGGTAACGTCAAAAAATATCTCTAGTGTCTTAGTGAAGTACTCGCATTAAAATTTTGGCACTATAAATACACATCATGTACTTTTTGTCTTCCTACGTAACCTAAAGAGGTAACCTGAAATTATTTCAATGTGATAGCTTACAGGCGCTGATAAGGACATATTCACTTGTTCTCCAGCTTGAAAAGTGAAGAGATTTTGTTGGTGAATTTCAAAGCCAAATATGACTGGAAAACATGTTTATGTTATTTAAAAGAAGTTACTTAAACATTTTCCTCTGTGACCTGGAAAGTGGGTCAAGATCATTCATTTTAACAAAGTTGGAAACCCAACACCTCAGCATGCTACTGACAAATGCTATGACCTAGAATCCTCTGGTTATTAGATGTTCTTGTGACGGTTTTACATATGACTCCAGTAAATCAACAAATTTGACCACTGATCTTGAAAATGGATAAGCTCAATCATTTCAACAAAGCTAAAATCTCTTCATCCTACCATGGTATTGGCGATATATACCATATATGACCATGGTATTGACCATGAAAAGGCTGCATGCAGCACCACATCAAAAGCTTGGGAAGATCAGTTAAACCAGTTATACCAATATGAGAAGATGAAAGATATATGAAGAAACAAACCTAGTTATTACCTGTCAATCAGACTGAAAGGAATTGTATTTAACAATCTTTACATTTGCATGACATACCTTTACAATTGTAACCATTAAGGATAATGGGGCTGTATCACTCAAATTCTACGAGATATAAAAAAAAGCTGGATATGTGTGAATATTTGAAGTATACATGATAAATACATAATGCATTATGGAAAACATGTTTATATACAATAAATTATAGAGCATGTCTACTTCTGTCTTTTGTTAAAAAAAATAAAGATGTCTTCCCAGACAAAGGAGGCAGTAGTGGGTTGAACATATTCCATAAAGAGATTGAATTGTTGATGTGATCCTCATTTCAGGTAAGATGTGTGATCCTTTCATTTAGCGGTATAATACTAAGTACTGGAAAGGTTTCTGAATTTTTATGAACTTATAAAAATAAATACATCAAATGTAGATGTAAAAATACAAGCAAGATATGTAAATAAAGGCAATATCTTTATTTTTAACAGAAAGTAAATAAAGCTATTGATTGCATAAAATTAAGATTTCATGTACAATTACCCTATATACATTCTTTTCTAAAATGACATTATTCAAAGCTGGATATATGTATATATATGAGGTATACATGAGAAATACATATATTATGGAGAACATGTTTGTATACAATAAATTATAGAGCATGTTTACTTCTGCTTTGCTGATTTAGGTTTGTTAGACTAGCTGATTGAAAATTATTATACAAAAAATACCATACCATTCTTTTCAGAGAGCAACTAACAGTTTCTCAGTCAGTTATTTGAAATTGAAATAAAAAAATGATAAAACAAACACAGAGAGATAGAGAGTGGTAAACATATGTCACCAGTTTTCTGAAAAAAATATTACTAATATGTAACAACTACAGCTCAATAACATATTAATCAAATTTCAATGAAGGAAAAATGGCAGTGTTCCTTTCTGTACATATACCTGTCCTCACTGATTCAGTGCTTGTATTTCAAGACTGATTTGTATTGTTGGTCAAATGAGCTGTTAAAAGATGAAATGTAAATCTTCAAAACAGTGAAAATTTCGAATGTTTGTACTTTTCATTATTCTGAAAGGAAATGCTTTCTAAATGGGTGAGTGTGCTAGTCAACACTTTAGTAAATGTGAGCCAAAATTAAGTGACAGAACTCCCAGAAATGCACCAGAATACATAATATAAAAGGGTTTTTGTATTGGCAATTTAATCTTGGTCTGTGTCACAGACTACTTAGTATAAAGGTTTAAACATAGAGACTAACATTACCAATTTACTAAATGATGATTGCCTTAAGTAATTAAATGATGATTGCCTTAAGATAAAGTTAATCTAAAAAGATTAATTATTTTAAGCTATACAACTGCAGATATGATAAATAATCATATACATGCATTGTAGGTAAACATCTCCTGGGGACTATATCACTACTCTATGGAATTGCATTATTTTATACATACAGTACTATTGTTACCATTCAGAATAACTGCAATGAAATCTAACATTCAACTAATGACAAGCATAGCACTGAGTATATGTTTTGATTCACAAATAAAAAAGGCACAGTGACAAACAACAAACTGAACGAATGTAATATCTCTCTGTTCAAAAAATGACAGGATGCTACAAAAAATAATCATGATTTCATTATTAGATGCTTCTAAATAAAATCCAGTTTCATTATTTAAAAAAAAAAAAAAATGAAATATTGACTCACTATTTCAATGAAGCATTGCTATATCACCAATGACAATTCAAACATATGCAGACTTTACATGATAATTTATACGTACAATCTGATATCACTAGACAGCAAAATTTTACAATTTAACCAAATCAAAAAAGTAGCAAAGCATCTTTGTGTGGATATTTGTTTTTTCTAAGCTCTTTTTATCTATTTTTCTAAAAAATAATCATTATTGGCATCAACACAACAATTCTTTGTAAATCCATCATTTCTAACTTAACCATCAATAAATTCCTGTCCATTCTGTGTAGCAAGGCTTTCATGCAACAAAACTTTGAGACTATAAACCGATTTCATAATGAATCTGTGACACATTTAACTAGTGAGAAGAAAAAAATCATAGTGTCTCATAATTAATTTTGATGATTTGGTGAATATTTGTGAAATAAATATATAAAGCACCACCAAATTTATTTATCAGCGGAACCATATAAAGGCAATTTTATAATCTAAAATGAGCAAAAATTTAACATCTTTTTAAAAGAGATGATAGGTTAAACAATAATATAAGTAAATTTGGCTCCAAAGACTTACAATTACACTAACACATTTATGATCACATTATTTAAATGCATTCTGTTAAATCATATAAAATGTTTCTGGTGGAATATGGTGTTATTCTTGATGTCATACAGACAAATAAAGATGTCACAGGACAGTGCAATTATTTATTCTACAGTACGTACAATGTACAAATGTATATATGTTGATTTAATTAAAATGAAAACATCTCAGGATTGAGTAGTGTTTGTAGATGGAAGACATTGCATAAGCAATTAAGTGACCAGACTGTGATACCTAGAATACATTTTTATGTGACAGTTGTACATAAATCCTTCAGCAACTGTAGAGTGTAGTTTCCCTTTAACACCTAACATTAAGGAAAAATTGAAATTGGAATGTCAAAAAAAACATTTAAATATTAGAGCAATACAAAAAAAATATACATACCTTAAATAAAGAGCAAAAATTTAGAGACTGTGGTTTCCTGATATAGCTTAATTAAAATAAAATATTTTGCACGTAAATCTTTCTGTGTGTCATTCTAAACAATGGTCTTAATTTAAACTAGTTTTTCTCCAGAAAAATGTGAAATTCAACAAACTATTGATTTTCTGAGTGTAAGTAATGATTAGAAGATATCTTTTTAAATTATAAATGCTTTCTATTTAATAAAAATGAAAAATAATGAAATGAATATATATGTGAAGTTATTTGATAATTACCTATGGAAAACCCAAGTGAATGACAAATGGTAACACAGACATCTAAGAACATGTCCTTTCAGGATTTTATCCCATATAATAATGTTGTTATTGCTTCAATAGACTTAAAACATAAAACCTAGGTTTTGTTGATATTGTTTATAGTAATAATGATAAGTAACCGGTCATCTGAAGTATGTCATCATGGTTATAAAAGCATCAACACACTTGCTAATCTAACATATTTCAATACTCAAACAATATACCACAGACAATTACCAATAACTCCAGAGATAAATAATGGATGACCTTTCATACAAGTCATACATCAGCTGTTATCACCTAGAAACTACAAAAATCAATTCCTTTCTTCGCGTTTTAAAAGCGGTTAAATAAAAATGAAATGTTACAAGATAGAATAAATCATTATCAGCAGTATCATCCTTGGTTTTATACTCTCAATACACTTTCTTGTTTTAAAAATATCACTTAATTATTTTTTTTAATGCATTACCATATTTATCCTGCAATAAGCCCAGGGAGTCAACTTCTAAGGTACTCAGTAAGCTTATTACAGGACAATAAAAAAGTTTGTAATCCTATCAAACAGTTATTGATATGGGTGGGCTTATAACAAGACATAGGCTTATTGCAAAATACATAATGTACTCAAGGGGTGGGTGAACAGCAATATTTACCACCAGACATGGACTTATTTGTCAGAGAATCAATATTGAAACATTTATCTATTTTTGATTCCTGGACTCATGGCTTTCTTGTGCGACATGCTCAAATTTTGAGACCTCACTGCATCTCTTTTCCTCTAACTCATCAAAATTTTGGAATTGGTCTTTCTGGACTTGCCATAAAAATCCTACAAAAATACTTAACATTAAACAGTCAATAAACAAAGCAAGACTTTGAATGAATTTCATTGTAGACAAAAATCAGAAATTACATGAGTGCTTGAATTTAGTAATTCTACCAACATCAATATTTAGTGTGTCCAAGGAAAAATGTACATAGTGATATAGATATCATTCAACATTAGTTTGAAATACTGTTCTGATAAAATTTCAGCACTGAACAATCTCTAACATGATATGTATTAAATAAACTATTCCTGAACGAAAGGGCCTGGAACTGGTTTCATAAACATAACCTTAACTAAGCTGAACTATTCAGTTAGTGGGCAAGACTTATGAAACAAGAGCCAGGAACAAACACTATAGCCAGAATAAAGATTTGATCACAGCTACTTTTTACATTGTGTAAGTTTTGTCCCTGATAATATATGTTCATCTACAACTTAGTATCATGATTTTCCCGAGCTACTCCTGTATCACTGGACGGAGATTCACTGCCCTTTGGACTACTAACTGGCTCCTCTTCAGTCTGTCCTATTTGTTGTTCTCTAACTTCTCCGCTGCAGCTTTTGAAATCTCCCCTGAGACATATACCATCAGGTAAAGGGTCGGGAGATTCACTTTTCTCTAAATTTTCTAGGACATGCTCTGGAACCCTCTCTACAAAATGCTGATGGTTGGATGTTGTGGCCAGCACACCACCAGCATTCAAACGTTGAACACGTGGTCCGTATGACATTGTAATACCAAACATGTCAGTCAGTGTACCTCCAACAGCATGTAGGATTGCTTCCGGGGCACAGGTATCCCATTTCTTACAGCCTTTCGTGGCAAATATATATGCATGAACCTTACCTTCAATCAACAGCAGAACCTGAAGGAGACAATTAGGTAAGATGAAACTTTCATGATTCAAACATATATGAATTATATAAGCAAGTCAATGAAATGAAATTAAATTGGTTGTCATTACCATCTGTCTTTGCTAGTATGCCTCATTCATTACCTTATGACTATCCAGGCCCATCTTTATTCATTGCCACATGACCTGTCCCTCCCACTCTGACTACAGTCAACTCTGATTCTTTTAAACTATGACAGCCACCTCCTCCTCTCCCACTCTGAATCATAACCCTCTGACTTCTGATTGCCCCCAACTCTCTCCGATCCATCTCCTTTGACTCTGATTTGTAACATTGTAACTACCACCACCAATTCTTATTCTTTACCATATGACCTGCCTCTGTCCATTCTGATCCAATACCTAATGATTGCCCCTGCTCACTCTGATTTGTTACTTTTTGTCCAGTCCTGCTCAATCTGGCTTCTTACTTCATGACCATACCTTCACCCTCTGATTTGTTATCTTTTAACTGCTCCACCCCCTCTGATTCCTTACCTTATGACTGCCCCTGCCCACTCCAATTCCTTACCTTGTGACCTGCCCCGCCCACTCTCATAACCTCTGTCGGGTTAAGAGCCTCAATAGCTTCTGTCACCATCCTATTGGAGTGAGATCTGGATGTTGTAAGAATCAATTTGTCTTCTGGCAATATCTCCCTTGTAAACCCAAAGGCTCCTGTAGAAGAAACGTCAAAAAGATTTTGTGATTATGTTGAACTTCCAATTTCCTACATCTCCATTTACTGTGAATCTTACATATCAAGGCAAGTATCTTAATTCAAGACTTTTTGTGCTTAAAATATTGTGCAAAATCATAACTGGCATTTTTGTATGCAAGTATTTATATATACCAAAAAATGCATAGTACATCTCAGAAAAATAAAGTGGTACACAGTGACCTACCTACTTAACACACTACTTACCTGGTACACAGTGACCTACCTACTTATAACACTACTTACCTGGTACACAGTGATCTACCTACTTATAACACTACTTACCTGGTACACAGTGACCTACCTACTTATAACACTACTTACCTGGTACACAGTGATCTACCTACTTAAAACACTACTTACCTGGTACACAGTGATCTACCTACTTATAACACTACTTACCTGGTACACTGTGACCTACCTATTTAACACACTACTTACCTGGTACACAGTGACCTATCTACTTAACACACTACTTAACTGGTACACAGTGACCTACCTACTTATAAAACTACTTAACCGGAACACAGTGACCTACCTACTTGACATTATTTTTGTAGCACACGGTGACTTTCCTACTTGAAAACACCCTATCTGGTATACAGGGACTTACCTACTTGACACACGCCCCAGATGCACCGGCCCATCACCTTCTCCTTGTCCTGGTAGTTATAAAATGGCTGATTTATAACTCCTCCAACAGCGTGCCCATTCACAGCAACACCAATCAACACAGTCACATGGTCCAAGAAACCTAGAAATGAATTTGTATTGAGCCAATTTTAGTTTAGTATCTTACGATGAAATTAGATATGGAATACATAAAATTCAACATCTGTCTTTGGTCACATCGCCATTACTTCAGTAGAATGAGTATTACCTATTTATCCAGCTAAAAGCCTAGGGCGCCAACATACAATTTCCAACTCAAAGTTGGGGATGGATGAGAAAGAGAGGGAGAGGGGGGCTTCTTGCAAACCAATGGAATAACATTCATTTTTAATTGTAAAAAATAAACACACACAAACATATATGAGCGGTGCTATAACCAGACTGACTGTCTGATGAAGACACAACTGATCTGTGGTTTGTAAGCATCCACTGTCCCCTCACCTCACCATCAATGTAAAATATTTCATATGCTACATCACTGTTACTATTTAACATAGTATGTAAATTATAAAGACAACCCTGTGCTGTTGATTACAGCATATTTTTCTTGTTGAGGGGTTGGGATGTAATATTGTTTTTTTTTTTTTTCAACTGTATATAAAGCAAGTTTGTTATACTTACCTTGTGTGTACTCCGCTGTGCCATCCAGGGGATCTACCCAGATCACAATCTGTATTAAAACCACAAATATTAGATAATATAATTAGGTATATTATTAACATATAGGTCAAGATTTAATACTTCATCACATATGAAATTAAGTCAATTTTACATTGTGAAATTTACAAACAGACAAAAAATCTGTTTTACGTACATATATAAGTTTTTTATTTCATTTTCATTCTGAAAGTCCTCATCACCTGAAATGTGCTGATTCAAGCTGAATCTTATATTGATTTATGTGTACATATCCATCCTATGATCAATTCAATCAATTACTTTTTGTTTCATTTTTTCTGTTCTAAATTTAGAAGAGATAAGACAAAGGATGTTAAAATTATCTGCACAATTTACCTGGTCATCTGTTACGTCCTGTAAGAATTTTGGACATTCATGTTTCAGTACCTCTTCACTAAATCCAAGCTCTATGAATTCAGCTGGAGTTTTTTCTGTTGGGTCTAGTTGCTATAAAGAGACAAAAACAGGTTTTTAGAAATATGTTTAAGTACACATAATGTATATAGAAATGTAGTCCAGCATTTAACTGTGACAATAGCAATGGAATACACCAACCAAAACAACTATACATAATGTGATTTTTAAATTCAGTCATCAATGTATAATATCAAATATCTACAGGCTTGATGAATCCCCTTTAAGAAAATCTGCAGACATGACCTATATGCCCAGATATTTATCATTTATTAAAATATGAAGCATCTGAAGAAACAATATTTTATCAAACTTATTTATCTCCAGATATGACATGAGTAATCTACATTGTATAAATATCTGTGGACAAATTCTCTCTTAAGAGTTATTTGTTTCTTTGAATGAAGTTTGACAAGAGGCCCAAAGGACCTGAATAACTCACACCTTTTTTTTTAACTTTACCAACTTTAAAACATATCCAAAGAGCAAACTTAATACAAACTAAGAACAGGTAGACCACACAACTTTCTGATAACCTGACACATCATAAGTAGAGTCGCTTGGTTGATTGTCAAGAATATTGAAGTTGCAAGGTTTTGGAAGTTAAATTGTTAAAAGTTTCCAAAAGGTTGGAGCAAACTGAAACAAGGTTTACATAAACAGATCAATAGCTCTAAATCTCAATATCAACAGAGACATGTTCACCAATGAAACCTAATTTCAGGAGTAACATATCAATTATTTAGTGATCAATTTCAGATGGTGAGTTTTGTTGGTACTGATTAATGAAGAACCTATTGATGTTATAGAAATTCAACAAAGCAGCCAAGTGATATCAATTAAGGTGTAAATTACTCCAACCTAGCATTGTTACTAGACTTTGGTTTGTACATAAACCTATATACACAGAGATACTGGTGGTGAAATACATCCACAGAGTTTCATCTGACATCTACCTACTCCAGCTAATGTGATATATAAAGAGGATTTCATTAGTGACAAGTATCCGTAGCTAAGGAGAAAAGTCCAATGTATTTCATTTGGATTCAAAGTTGAAATGAAATAAACTAATTTGTACAAATCAGGACTAATTCTTAAACAGTACACTGAGACATAAGATGACATTTGCTCTGGTGAAATCATCATTTTTTCTTTTAATTTGTTTTACCTTAAAGTCATACATAATAATATATACAAACACATTTCACTCGAAAATGTCAGCAAGACACTCCCATGCACATGGACACCATTGTTAGATGAATTTGCAGAAGCTGTCAAATACTGGTATGATCTTTGGCCCCTTAACCTTGACCTATGTTCACTTCAATATGATATGATGTAGAACTGATGTTTTGTTCTGATATTATATGGGGGGTGGGGAAATGAAATAAATCTGTTAATTTATTTTCAAGAATATGAGATTGATTTAAAAAAGAACATGATGGAACAGGACAAGACAGGACAGGCTGGCATGAGTAACACTTGTATATGTCTCTTATAAAATGAGGGGTGAGGGTCGGGGAGGGGCAGCATAAAAAGTATCATGACATGCATTACCCATACTGTATTCGACCCAATGAGTGCCCATGTCCCTATAAGCACCCCCTCCCCCCTTCAGATGCCTAAAAGTCTAGATTTACTGATGTATTAGTCACGATCAAGAAATGTTTTAAATCGGTTTATAAGGAGATGTACTCCAGAAAAACGTAAAAAACCAGTTTATCGCCAGTCCACCAGCAACAGAGGAATGTCGATAAGTGTCCTCTGTAACTACTACCACAATTTTCCCACTATGCCTGATAAAAAAATCAGCTGTTTTTGACAGTTCACTTGGAATGTGACCCACTGTTTTCCCTTCTTTCACAACTCTGATTGCAAACTTGTCAAACGGATTATTATCCTCAATAACTGTATCAAGGCACTGTCCTATGAATAGTTTCCATCACTCTCTATAAACATGATATCCCCTGACCAAAGACGAATATTCATACATAAAAGACATTTTTTCACACATTCCTAAACCACGTGGTAGATGACCTTTACCTTGTGCACCTTGGTGTCGTGCGCTCAGCTACAGTAATGATGACTGAATAGGCATAGTCAATTACTTAACAGGTAAGATGGCCATTGATACAGCTGATTAAGAAATGATATTTTCATGTGTGATAGATTATCTGATAGAAAGAAATGAAGCAGTTAGATATCAAATGACAAATGAAATAGTTGTGCTAAAACAGGCAAGTATAAATGGAATTTTATATCTTTATCATAAACAAATTCCCTTTCGTGTCATCATGTTAAGATGTTCTGAAACAATTTATCTACGAGCACATAATTTCAGATAATCTCTAATAAGCATCCCCCTTAATTGTAATTTTTTAAGCGCCCTGGGCTCTTATTGAATTGAATACGCTATATTTTTTTGTATATGTATGCATGCAATTAATTTCTTCAAGCCAATTTATGATTTTTTAGTTTCTATCACTGGCTACATGAAGGAAACAAGATGGAAGCAAGGTTACAATGATAGGCAGTATCACATACCGTTAGGATGCTCTGTTTTGGTGGAGAAAGAAGTCTAGATATTGTAGGAGAAGCAAAGAGTGCTTTATGTAGTCTGGTTCTATCTTGGACAAAGGTCTCATCCTGGCAGAGAAGATATAACCCAATGTCACACCAATTCTAATTTTATGAAAGCAGTTCTGATTCATGCACTTTCCTGATGAACAATTAAATACTGTAACATACATATCTGGGAAAACTCTGATTTTAGTGCTTTGTGCAGCCTAGAGATGATTGGTCTGATTGCAGTTTCTGTGTGCTGATTATATAGCGATTTTTGTAGATGTGCTTATTCATCAATAAACTAACATTTGATAAAGCCAAATTCAATATATATGCTGTAATAATATGTAACTGTTTTGTCCATTTCATACATGTTAGAACCTAAAGCAGTTGAATATACTTCTGTCCACTCATCCTTTACATAATTACCTTTTACTCATAAACATTAATTTTGTTTTTTTCAAAATGGAAATACTGTAACACTGAATAATCAGTAAAAGAGAGTTTACTTCAAAATCTGACCTAGGTGAGTGTACTAACAACACCATTATAGTACACAATTTATCCTTATGTTCTTCTAAAATAACTGTTCATAGCCTGCTTCATCTATACTGAGAGGAAAAAGAAACGCAATTAGCAGAAAGTTAATATTGTAAATTAAATCCTTGATGTACACCCTGAAACTTGACAAATGTGTGCATTTGAGTAAGGTCCCTATGGTACTGTATTAAAATCACCGATGCATAACTAAACTGCGCACGCTGCTTGTACAAAAGAATAAGAGACAAAAGCATGATATCTCAAACCCAGTATAAATGATTGGCTCAAAATCTGTGTGTGCAAATCTTCAGACATATCCGTCTTGAATTCCCACATTTTAAGCATAAACAGTTCACCGTAAAAATGCCACGACTGTCCGAAGTTGATAGGGGTCGTGCCATTGCACTTCTTATGCAAGGTACCTCACAAAATCAGGTTGCTAATCAATTTGGAGTCCATCCATGGAACATTTGCTGTCTCATTCAAAGACTACATGCCACCGGAAGGGTTGCAGACAGTCCCCGAAGCGGTCGCTCTCGTGTGACGATGCGACAGCAGGATAGGGCAATGAGACTTTCGCACCTACGTAATCGCTTTCTGATGGTCACGGAAACAGCAAGGAACACAACTGGCGTCATCATGTTCCAATTGATCCAAAGCGTACTCGACTGCTTGCCTTCGGTCTAAGACCGCGGCAGCCATATATTGGACCACAGCTTAATGCGCTGTGTAAGACGCTTCCCTATGCACTGTTGAAGAAGGGTCCTGGTCTCAGATGAGTCCAACGGCCGATGTCGTGTCTATAGACGTACCCAAGAGCGCTATGCAGATGCTTGCGTGATAGAGAATGACCGCTTTGGAGGAGGATGGGTCATGGCATGGGGAGGGATTGCGCATGGTATCAAGACTCCTCTGGCCGTTATTCAGGTAAATCTCATTGCTGTCCGCTACAGAGAGTGTTCCTCTAGTACAGTAGCGTCAACTCGCAGCAAACAATGTCCCCACCCTAGACTGGCCTCCATACAGCCTTGACCTCTCCCCAATAGAACATTTATGGGACGAGTTGGCATAAGGATACGACGTAGGCTGAATCCTCCAATCAACGTCGCTCAGTTGGGGTTGGCGCTGGATGAGGAATGGAATCATATACCAATGCACAAAAGAGTTTGAGCAGTTACTGCAGCTCGCGGGGGGCACATACAATATTGATGGGTCCAGAACGCAATTCATTTTGAGTGGGGTACTCTTGAATCAACGTCAAATTTGAAAGGTTTACTCGAATGAAATTCTCGTGGATGACAGAGTGGTCAACTATCTTCCAATTACACCATAATTACATTCTAAAACCCTTTTCTGTTTCCCGTAGTTGACCTGGAAATTCCTAATTGTGTTTCTTTTTCCTCTCAGTATAGTAATTGCAAACATATTACCTGATATGATTCTTTAAAAAACATTTCTCAGATTGTTATAGATACCTTACACAAACATTGTCTGGATTTAATCAATACCCTACTCCCTAGCTACAAGAATCTGAAGAATGAGTTCTTTTTAATTAGTACACAACATGTTACGCTGTTAATTAAGACTAGCTATATAAGTAGTAGAACACAGTGCTACACTATGTCTGTGAAAAATTGTCAATATGATTGACAATAAATGTTCTCGGCAGAGCTAACATTGGAGCAAATTAACAATACTGCTGCTTTGAGCTAAAGTAATGAAATTTCAAGCATTTTCATATCCAGAGTTGTATATATGTGGAAGACATAATGTATCACTTTACCTCAGATCATTTACTGCATGTTGTGTCCATCAATTATACTTGATAATCAGTGTCCATAACATAGTAGTCAATTTAATAAGGTTGTCATTTGATATACTCTTTTTCAGTCGAATTCCCTTTTTCTCCAACATACTGTACATAACTATCTGCTGGTGACAATTACACAATGCTGCAATAATGGCTTCTGTTCTTCAAGTTTATCTTGGATCAGAAATGATTAGATACAATCACTTATGCATTGTTTTATTTTGCTTCAAAATTACACAATGTAATCAGACTAAGGCAAATCACATATGGATCCATTGTTTACACTTACAATATGGGAAGGCTTTTTAAGTGAACTGCATATTATATGAAATAAGAATGTTATTTGTTAAGCAGAAACATGTGTATGTGCACAATTTATCGTCTTAAACCTGATCAATTGTTGTAATATTCCAGAAGTAAATACACATGGAATGAATATGAACAAAAGAAAAATGCTAAAGAAATACTAACTAAATTGGCAACACAGAAGCTACACAAATATCTAGAAGGCTGGATACAATCTACAAATGACCATCATGGGAACTACAATGATAAGTATGGTGATGATGATGATGATGATGATGATGATGATGATGATGATGATGATGATGATGATGATGATGATGATGATGATGATGATGATGATGATGATGATATGTTGCGTACAATTTATATATATATTATTTATGATGATGATGATTATTAAAATGTGACTAGAGTGAAAATGAAATAAGGCCCTTAAATATTGTGTTGTGTCATGGTATTGGTGTGCATGAGGGCATGTGTGTGTACTCCGACAATGTGCGAGTGTGGCATTGGCATGAGTAGGAGTGAAATATCTATGTTTTGAAAAATCGTTGAAAAATTAAAAAAAAATGTGAATTAAAAAAAAATCATGGGAACTACAGAAATACTGGACTGGATACAACATTAGAATGATCAACACATGATCTACAGAAATACTGGACTGGATACAATCTACAAATGATCAACACAGGAGTTACAGAAATACTGGACTGAACACAACATAAGAATGATCATCACAGGAGCTACAGAAATACTGGACTGGATACAATCTACAAATGATCAACACAGGAGCTACAGAAATACTGGACTGGATACAACATTAGAATGATCAACACATGATCTACAGAAATACTGGACTGGATACAACATTAGAATGATCAACACATGATCTACAGAAATACTGGACTGGATACAATCTACAAATGATCAACACAGGAGTTACAGAAATACTGGACTGAACACAACATAAGAATGATCATCACAGGAGCTACAGAAATACTGGACTGGATACAATCTACAAATGATCAACACAGGAGCTACAGAAATACTGGACTGGATACAACATTAGAATGATCAACACATGATCTACAGAAATACTGGACTGGATACAATCTACAAATGATCAACACAGGAGTTACAGAAATACTGGACTGAACACAACATAAGAATGATCATCACAGGAGTTACAGAAATACTGGACTGGAAACAATCTACAAATGATCAACACAGGAGTTACAGAAATACTGGACTGGAAACAATCTACAAATGATCAACACAGGAGTTACAGAAATACTGGACAGAATACAACATAACAATGATCATCAAGGAGTTACAGAAATACTGGACTGGAAACAATCTACATATGATCAACACAGGAGTTACAGAAATACTGGACTGGAAACAATCTACAAATGATCAACACAGGAGTTACAGAAATACTGGACTGAATACAACATAAGAATGATCATCACAGGAGTTACAGAAATACTGGACTGGAAACAATGTACATATGATCATCACAGGAGTTACAGAAATACTGGACTGAACACAACATAAGAATGATCAACTCAGGAGCTACAGAAATACTGGAATGGAAACAACACAGGAGTTACAGAAATACTTGACTGAACACAACATAAGAATGATCATCACAGGAGCCACAGAAATACTGGACTGGATACAATATACATATGATCATCACAGAAGCTATAGAAATAGACTAGAAACAACGTACAAATGATTACTACAGAAAAGAACAAAATTATTCTGTAACTGAGAGCTGATGATGAACGTCTTACATGTAATTATGATATAATTCTATTTTCATAGACTTATCCACACAAGCAACTCTAAGTTCTATTTCAGTTCAAAACTCCACTTACTTCCTCCCCATATATGGCTACTTTAGGGAACTGCTTGTGGAGCGATGCCACTATACATCTCTGAGCAGACCTGTCAGCTTCTGTTTGAAGATCATTCTTGCCCTATAAAGAAAAAGAAAAAAAAGAATACAAACAATTAGAAGATTATAGCATCTATTCATTCTTAATAGACTTACTTGCTAAAATGAGGCAACGCAAAAAAATCATATATCTAGAGAGATATTGTGTAAGGTCATGAGAGGGAAATATAGAAATTATGGTACCAGTAAAATGTTCAGTCTAAATGTTATAACTGTATATCAACACAGTAAACATTGTGATAAGTATGTGCTAAAATGAATTGTGCTAGTTTTAATGAAGTTCAAGTAAGGGGAGATAATCTCATAAGCCTCCCACAATAATAAAAAGCCTGAAACATTTTCTAACCAGCAATTATTTTCAAATGTGAGGTTTATATGCCACAATATGCACATTCCAAGTTTGACAGATAATGACATGAAGATCATATAAAAAATTTAGATACTTATATAATGGTAGCAATAGAAGCAGTAAAATTGTTGCTAATTGCAATTTGGTTGAACACAAACAAACTTTTGAATAAGAATGGGTAATTAAGTATGAAAATAATTCAAAATATACTTATATTGCAGAAAAGCAGGTAAAAATATCAATAGGCCTGATTTTTAATCTTTTTGTTTTTAACATGCATTGACTAATTCTCAATTGGTCACAATCAAAGAATAATACAGAATATACATGTATGTCGAAATCCAGACTCCATTCAGGAAGGAAGACAAACAATAACCCTTGGATGTTTTAATCTACTTCTGATATAGATATATAGCAATGCTGATACACCTATGGTTGTTAGCATCAAAGTGCTACATATATAATACACAACCACTTTCAACACTATCAATCACTTTTAATCTATATCTTTCCATCACAAATGAAGTCCATTGGAATAGGTTTCAGTGTATATATGATTTATCTACCAGAAATGCTCATTTTCACAAGTGTGACATCTATCATTTACAGGTATTAAATGTTCTTACTTGAGATTACTTTTAATTTTCTATGAACAACCAATTTTATTTGAAAATGTAAAATAAAAAGATAGAAAAAGCACATCAACTAGGTTTGCAAGGTACTTGAAATTTCAAGTATAAAAATCATCAAAGTTATTGTATTCACATTTGTCAAAATTTTCTGACTTTCACTAAAAGGGTATCTATGTATGATAAAACAGACCACGTCATCATCCTTAATCTTCACCCTGTATCAGCATATATAGTGACCTGTCACATACACATGTTCTAAATTATAACACCCAAGATAGCACACACTAATGCAACATACCACTCGAGTGGCATGCCCTAAAACATATTTTGAAGAAAACTACCATTTTCCATCTATTTAAATTTCATAGTTTTCTTACCTTGAAATACAACTAGGAGAGTCACTAATTGAAAGTGATAAAAAGATTACTTTACCATTATGCTTTTTGTCTGGGAATTTGGCTCCCAAATTCTCTGACAGATCCTTCAAAGTTTGAAAATTATTTTGATGTGAAAATAGTCCTCATCTCATAACTCAATTTTTCTATGATATGGGAGACTACAATATATATTTTAGTAGCATATGCCAAATCATATTGTTTAATTAGCTGTAAACACTTTTTTTATTTTGATGGTAAATACTACTAAGTCACATATTTTGTGAAGTAGCATGCCTCCAGACAACTTAAAACATATAAAGTGGATACAATATTGGCCTTAATTGCCAATTTGCTTGCCCTAATTAATATGACATTAATAGGTTTCATAACAGCTTGTTATATCCCTGTTGATAATGAAATAAGCATGCAATATTTGGTATTTTTATATGTCAAGACATATTTTGAATTTCAAATATATTGAAAATATTGTATGTACAAGATTGTATTAGGGTGTTTCAAGGAGCTAAGGTTAAGGACAAGGTTACTATTTACAAAATATCATTGTCAGTGCTTCATTTTTATACAGACTTTGATCATACTTCATATAATGGTCAAATATGAGAATACCTTGAACAAATTCACTCTTCTTTCTATAGAATGTTTTAGTTACCACTCTAGCAACTTCAATTTTAAACAGATTTTGATATGGTTTATGCAATGGACAAGTATGAAAAAATCTAAACCGAGTTGGCCTCAGTTCTTACTAATGAGGATAACTCAGCTGGAACATACGAGGGGATTGTACCATTTCTGATGCCTTGTTCAATATTTGAATCTTGTCTGCATATGACATCTCATATTCCGTAATGGATTGTCATGATATACATGTACATGTTAGATAAGTTTTCCCGACAGGCATTTTAATAAGACTTTTTTGCAAAAGTTATTGCTTTTCGTTTATTTTTATGTTTTAATCTTGTCAGCAGAACTCCTTCCCTGGTTTCTGACTAATAATCTACATGGATTACCGTATATATAAATGTGTTCATCTAAGCAGAATTTTATCAATCTTGGTAGACTGCCATGACACCTGAACTTTTTTGTTTATTTCACATTCACATACGAATTTCTTGACTATAAGATAATTGTTTTTTTTTTCAATTTGATATCTTTTTGTTTGGGCCATGTCCTCAGGCTCTTTGAGGTTTTGGCTCTAATAAAATAACAAAAAATCAAATTACATATCTCTTATAGTTGCATAATCTTAAATACAAAATGTCAATGAAAACAAATAACTTGAGTTTTAAATCAGTAAGATATAATTATGTTTATAAACCAAAACAACATATCTTATCACAGTTCAAGACTATATTTGGTGTTTCTACGCTCAATGCTGATTACAAATTTTTTGAACATCACAATGGTATGGCTACATATATGGAAAGGGAGAGAGCTATATTCTATATTTTAACACAACATTGATTTAACATCAAGACATTTCAGATGTTTGCTCAGTGTGACAGCCATCAGCTTTGCTCTTAGTGTTAAAAGTAAATTTGAAGTTAGAAGAATTAGGACATGCCTCTCTGTTCGGACAAAAGGGAATATTTAGCAATGTTTTTTTTGTAAATGAAATCCTTATGAAACGTTTTCTTTTAAAGATTCAAGTAAAGTTCCTTCCTTATGCCCATCAAAATATTTAATATTTAGTGATATTATACTACTCTGCAATCAAGAGTCGATTGTAGTAATAGGTACATCATGATGTATAACGGTACATAGAGTTACGTTGAACATATGTATGGAAACTAAGAACAGAGTCGACAAATAACATGAAGTGTTGAAAACATTTAGTGGTAATCATGCACAATAATACAAATTCAGTTAATTATATAACATTAAAACTGTATTTAAGAGAAAAGGCAATACTATTACTGATAACTGAAATGTCTATTTCAGTAGAAGACATGTGAAAACGCGTCATAGATCAATAACGGGAATGCTCCTGATTTGGGTCACCGAATTCTATGATTCGTTAACGGTTATTAATTCTGTTCATGCATCACGCTTACCTTGTCAACAATTCCTAGGTCTCCCCTGTCCATTACATTCCTAATAATTTGGCTGGCACGGTTAGATACAGCCACAGAAGCAGCCACAATCCTCATAACAAGTGGCCCAGTCATGTTGGCTGCCATTTTTGTGTCGTGTGATACAAGCGTTGCAGTGAGCGAGAATATAAACAAATCAATGTCGTTCGAAAGGACAAAATTATGATATTGGAATTAAATTATAATTTTATTTTTTTTAGTGCATTCACATATTTATTATAATTCATATACAAAAATGATCGTCTTCCTTTTATAGAATTCAATTTAAAAATTATATATTTTACGACATAAATTATACCTGCGCATGTCAGTAAACCATTTCCGCAAATCTGACACGCCACACAAACCGCGAAGATGACGATGCTACGATAGAAAAAACTGTTTTGAGATATAATGGATTGATAATAATTCATAAAAATACGGTCACGGAATGTGGTCATTCTTTTCAAGAGATCCTACAAAGGATTTTCACTATGAAATCCTCGAAGTTGTCCCAGGTTTGGAAGATAAATCGATTTGGACACTTCATCATGGAAAGAAAAAGGTCTTAAAACTTTTATTACTGTAGAAGTAATGATAATTTGTACTCTAATTGTATGAAGTCTTAGCGTTGATTAATATGTGGCCATTAGATATAAACAATTATGTGTATTTGACTTTGTGGCAATAGTTACTTTCTCGACTGAGACTTTGGCAGTGGAAAGTTTGATATTACCTCCCCTTAGCAATGTTAGGCAAACTCAAAACAGTAACTAGCTCAATTGTAGAACCATTATGTATGTGTGGAGATAGTGTGCCATACCTGTTAACCACATGAACCTTATCTGACCGATCAAGTTATAAACATAAGATTTAAATGTGTTAATTTGATACAGAGAAAAAAAATAGCTCTGGAATAATTTTAAAATCTCAACAAGTTTCTATAGTGCTGTGTTTGTTTCTAGAACATGTAAAGTGGAAGTAGAAATGATGATGAAATAATTAAGTTCTGATATTATGTAGAAAAATTGTCCAAGGAAAATAATAGATGCATGTAACTGTTAAGCAATCCCGCCAAAAATAAATAATCAGGTTGGGGAAAACCACACATTTACATATAATGTGCAAGTGGCCAATTTGGGCATAAACTTGTTACTTAAAATATTGTGGTTTTCCCAGCCCTGTTCATCTGAGAATTCTTATTTTGTATTGTATCAAGGAAATCATAGGTGTGCAGGATTCCAAAACAGTTCCCTAATTTTGTACCATCAACAGGATGGCAGTGTTTATGTAGTCTACATATTTATGATATTGTGATAAAATATCAAAGATATGAAATCTCTATACAGTAAGATTGCTTAGATTAGGACCTCTTGAGGTGAAAGATGTTAATAAATTTGTGCATTTTATTTTTCAGGGTACAAACGAACCAGTCTCCATATTTTGTTTTGATGTAAAAGGCAGTAGTGAATCTCAGGTAAATCTTGGTAATATAAGTATTAGTAACACAATATTCTAATCAGGATATTTGTGGCGATCTATGTAATGGTGTTTAATACATGATGTATACCAGTAATGATATAATAGTTTATAACAAGAAGGATTGTGCTGTATGACATGTATCACCTACAGATACAAGTGCTACATTTACAGAACGTAGAATTCAAATTTTCCAGAAATGCTGATATATTGACAATTTGGGCCCTGAGTTCAGCAAATTGCTCATAACAATGTTCCTTTTGGAAGATAATTATAAATTGCTCATAAAAATGTTCCTGGCGAAAATCAAGAAAGTTTTCACAGAGAGCTGATCATCAAATTCAAATGTTTGTGAAGCTATTTAAGCTTCATTTGGTAACTACTTTTAGTGGTGAGATATGACATTTTGTACATTTCTATATAGCTGTTCAGTGAAATGTTAGAATTATGTTGTGTCTTTTTTCAGGTGCAACTTGCAAAGGGAGCTTTAAAAAGAATAAAAACTCTACGACACCCAAACATACTCACTTTTCTTGATGGCATTGAGGTAAATGTTCACTTGTTTTCATTAAATTTTAAGATTTTTGTAAATGTGAAATAATGGTTCCTTGTTGAGATAGTTGGAAGAAGTAATATATAATATTGTAATACTGTTACTGTTTTACTTAACATACAACACAAGTACATTGATTTAAACAAGTAAGTTTTTCCCATTAAAATTTTAAAGAAAGCACATCTATACACAATTTTATTACACGAGATGATCCTTGAACACAGTTATCATTCTGTCAATGAGTTTGATAATGTCAATGTTAAATGTTTTAAGTTTTTGATTTATTTCAGACAGAGAAAGTTATTTATTTTGCCACAGAACCTGTTGTTCCATTGGAAACGTACTTGAAGGACAATGAAAGTTATGGTGACCAGAACTCGTTGGCCATCTCATGGGGACTTCACCAAATTGTTGTAAGTTTGATCTTTACACTCTGGTAATACTCACTCAGCTTATAGAATAATATACCAGTATAATAATGTAGAAAATTAAATCCTGCTATTGAATATTTCTCTTAAAACTTTGCAGATTTTAAATGGAAGCTAAATTGTTCTGTACATAGTAGCTGGTTCTACTGAACTGTTTTAAATCTATTATAAATATGTCTTAGAACTCATGCTATATCATATGTGGATTTTCTCATGCAGAAAGGGCTCTCATTCCTGGTAAACGATTGTAACTTGATTCACAACAATGTGTGTATGGCATCAGTATTTGTGGACCCTGCAGGGGAGTGGAAACTGGCAGGGGTAGACTACATGTACCCTGCTCAAGGGCAAGACTCAGTACCACCAGTCAAAATACTGCCAGTGCTGGAGAAGTACGATCCTCCGGAGAAATCAGATTTAAGACGAGGAATACGTGGGGAGAAATGGTCAGTATTTTTTACTTTGTGGAATCTTTTCATACTAAGTCCAGCCATTGGATTTAAGCATTTTCTTGATCTTAATAACTACCTTTTTAATCTTTAAACCTATATGAAAAAAATAATAGCTTTTCTATTAAGGAGAACTTCATTATATGTATGAATTTGATTATAGATGCTTCATAGCTATGTTACAACTTAAGAAAATTCTATTCTTTTAAAAAGTAGCAATATACATTTTCAATAGCAGAAATGTAAAAAGAGAAATGAATGTTGATTGGTATAATTGCTTTTGTTTTTAAGGTCATCTGACATGTGGGGTCTAGGATGCCTAATATGGGAGGTTTTTAGTGGTCCCCTACCAAAGAATACATCTTTAAAGTCTCTAGGAAAGGTAAAACATACACATATGTAGTGTATATTATAGTAGTTTTTATTTTGTAAGTCTCTAGGAAAGGTAAAACAGATAGATGGTGTATTTGATAGTACATGTAGTTTGTTGTATGTTGTAAGTCTCTAGGAAAGGTAAAACAGATGTATGTTGTGTATATTTTAATTGAATATATGTGTTAAATCTCAGAGTATATTGTGTATATTTTAATTGGATATATGTGTTAAATCTCAGAGTAAGTTTAAACCTACATGTACGTATATAGAATCGCTAATACACTATTAAAACGGAATATTCAATTATAGGAAAAAAAATAGGACAGGTACAATTATCAACATTGAATTAGATTAAAAAATAACAGCTATTACTTGGAGATTTTTTTTATTTAAGAATATACAATTTATATACATGCTAAAATTTTAATATTGCATTACTCATTTATGTGTTTATGTCTTACTTCAGATTCCAAAATCCCTCGTGCCAAATTACTGTGAATTAGTGGGAGCTAATCCAAGGTCCCGGCCAAACCCAGCCAAGTTTATAGAAGACTGTCGTCGTTCAAATGGCTTCCTCAATAACTCTTTTGTTGATACAATGATGTTTCTTGGGGAAATACAGGTGAGCTTTAATATCAGTATAGGTGTTGTACAACAGTTCTTTGGGGAAAAAGAAATCCATTGTGATGGATTTGGTTAAAACACTATTTACTGGTGGTAAGATTTTACTGGTTTCTTTCTAAGATAACACTGTAGTTGTTCAAGAGGAGATACAGTACTTGGTAACTTTTATTGTTTAGTCCCGTGACTTTGTTCATCGATATCATTAATCCCTCTTTACCTAGGGAATCAGTACCTATCAGCTATGAAAACAATGAGACAGTTTTGTTTTGATCCTTCTATGTCCCATAATGTAAGACCATTTTATGAAGCAAGCATCTAGTTGAAATAAAGCATTTCTGATACAATTAGGAATCTTTTTATTGTAATCACTGAATGACTATGTATAGAAATAAACATATCAAACAGCATCTTTATGCTGATGTGAATGCAAGTCAGTTACATGCGCAGTTATATAAATGCACCAGTATAGGGAAGGAGAGAGTAAAGAAACTCACTTGGTTTTATACAGAAAGCTTGGAGGTAGTGAGCTTATTTTCACATGGCTGTAATTTGTTCTGATTTTTATATATTTTATAGATAAAAGATCAGGCAGAGAAATCCACATTTTTTAGCGGATTGACATCATCTTTGGACTTGTTTCCGGAAGTATTCTGTAAACACAAGATTCTTCCTCAATTACTGTATGCATTTGAATATGGTAATGCCGGATCAGCGGTGTTAGCTCCATTGTTCAAGGTAACCACACACAAGACTCTAATGATATGACTGTTTGGTCAACACAACTGACCAGAATAGGGAGATTGCCTTATTGGTGGACAGTGATATTATTGAATGACACTTTTTTCATGAAATTTATCTTTGAATGTATATTGTAGTTCAAATTCTATTTAACTGTGTTAAGTTACCTCTATTCAAAAATTCATATAATAGATATTCATTCTGTAAATCAATAGCTCTAATTTTCATGAAATAATATTTTTCTTTACTGTATAATCTCTGTTTAATTTACAGCTTGGTAAAAAGCTAAATGTTGATGAGTACCAGAAAAAAATAGTGCCATGTGTAGTGAAGCTCTTCTCCTCTCCAGACAGAGCGACCCGAGTCAAACTTCTACAACAGGTAAATGGTAGCTCATGGTAGCTGTTGTACTTACAATACAGAGCTCAGTAAGTCAAATTCACACAAAAGGTAAATGTCAGTCCATAGAAGCAGTTGTACCTCACTACAATACAGGGATCAGTGAATGAAACTCCTGTACATGAAAATATCAGTCCATGGTAGCTATTTTACTCCACCACAATACTTCTCCACAATACAGAGCTCAGTGAATAAAACTTCTAAAACTTTTCTATAGAACAGACACTTACAGTCACATGACAAATGTATTTTGAAATACATATCATTTTAATTTCATTATCATGTTAATTTTTCCATCTTTAGATTGAATCCTTCATTGACTACCTCCAGCCAGCTGTTGTCAATGACCAGATATTTCCCCAGATCTCCACTGGCTTTATGGATACAGTACCAGCAGTGAGGGAGAGCACCATCAAGGTAACCTTTAGTAGCAATCTCATGTTGACAGTTCTGTTCTACAACAAGTAAGGCATAAGAATTGAACCTGCTTCCCCAATCGTATGATCATAAGAGATATCTAAAGTTAGGATCTTTATATTTTCTAGCTAGTCTTAAGATCTCTCTTCATCCTAATTTTTCACTTGACACTGCCTCACTGTTGATCTTTAGTTGCTGCTGGAGGAATTCAGTAAATTTCAGTGTGATAGCCCTTTAATGTTAACTTCAGTTCTGCACTATCACAAGGAGACTTACATGATCATATCACAACCTCCGAAATAAATGTGCGTTCATTCATACCAAAGTTCTACAGTGTTTGTTGACATATAAACTAATGGATCTTTGAACAGGATCATGACTATGTTTTTAAAAATTTTCATAGCTGTTTTAAGAGAATAGCTCTAAAGTTGTATTCATTCATTTGAAGTAGGTTTAACTATCCTCAGATATTCCTTTTTACATTTAAAGACTAAAAAGCTTGATAATGCCCTTAACTATAAATTGAGAATTCACCTGAATGAAAAATTGTGTTTGGTTTATGGAATATGCTTTCATTATGTAAGTATGTTTCAATAATCATTGAAGTTCACTCTACAGAATTGCTCTGATTCAGTGAGGAAACATTAAGATTAATTGAGGCTGGAGGCAGTTTTTAAGAGTCGAACAAAGGGCTTTCATTTGACCCTTGATAAATTTGCAATTTCAAAAGTGTGAAGTGACAAATGATATACTATATAGACATTTTCCTTCAAATCCAAGGGTCTAAACTCATTTTTGGAAGTCAAAAACACTCTCAAGGTTAAATTCTGCATTGTATATCATATGCTTTGATCTATGCATCTGTGTGTGTATTTAAAATCGTCTACAACTAATGTGGTAATGTCATTCTGAGAGTTAAGATTTGTCATCACTGGTATAGCACATGCTTATAATAAATTGTATCTTTTACAGGCGATGTTACATATGGCTCCAAAATTGAACTATAAAAATGTCAATGAAGAACTAATGAAACACTTTGCACGTCTCCAGGCTAAAGATGAACAGGTAATGCTGATTAAAAACATTACAATTGATTGCAAGGTAACGCTGTCTCAGATGTTATGTCTGTTTTATGAGTCCTTATGTTCTTATATATCTTATTTTATGTTATTCTTTCTAAATTCAAAATCAGTTCAATATTTGCAATGCAATCCTATGGCAAAAATAGAGAAAAATTAGACATTTGCAAAGGTAACAAAAATTAGACATTTACAGAAATGAAAGCGTTGTCAATTTTACCTCTTGCTGAAGTGCATGATTTTGAATTGCACAGATTACATACACCTTATATAGTTTTCAATTGTCTTGACGACTCTGAATATGATTTTCACTTGTACAGAATTTTATCTGATGTAGAATATACCAAAATGTTTATGTACTTTTTCATTAACTTACAGGGAGGTATTCGAACAAATACAACTGTATGTCTAGGAAAGATTGCTGGTTGTATCAACCCTCAGGTATTTAAAACTTTTTATCATTCTGTAAATCTCCCTGTGTGAGCAGTGCAGAAGTACTTAAGAAAAATACTAACTGAATTCTTAGTACTTACCTGATATTAAAGAAATTTGTTTATTAAGAATACCCTCAAAAAAGAGCAAGGAAACTAAAAACCTGATAAAAATAAATATTTTTGCTGGTACAGTTTGTACCTAAGTAGTATGAAATAATACACTATTTTGAGTATGTCTAGTATATTAGGAGAACTTTATTACCTGTAGGTGAGACAGAAGATCCTTATATCAGCATTCCTGCGTGCCCTGAAGGATCCATTCCCCCCTGCACGACAGGCTGGAATACTCGCCTTGGCCGCCACTCAAAACTATTACCAACTGAAGGAGGTGGCCAATAGAATATTACCTCCCTTGTGTGGTATGACCATGGATCCTGAGAAAAGTGTTCGGGACCAGGTAAGTCATGGTGTCTCCACGATTCAATAGATTGACAAGCACACTGAAGAATATGCTACTAACAAAAATCTTTGGCAATGTTTATGGTTTGTGAAAAACATTAGGTGGTAGTGATAAACTTAACACTAGTCAAGTCATAGAATGATAAAAAAAATCTGAAAATTAATTGTAAAAAATGTTTTTTTTTTTGTCCCATATTTAACATGAACAATAGAATTGATCTTGACAGCATGACAAATGTAATATGTCTCATTTGATTTAAATTGTTTAAATCTCTTTTAATAGATAGTAATTAGTTTGCCTTAGTAATAAGATAACACATATTTAGCAGATTTATATTCAATTACTGGTTTTTTTTACACATTTGTCTACAATTCTTTTATTTCAGGCATTTAAGGCAGTAAAAGGATTCATTGAAAAGCTCGAAAAAGTCTCAGAAGATCCAGAGCTTGCAGTTGAAATGGGTAATGGTTATTTACAGTATCCTGTAGATCTTTGTAATCACTAGAACCAGACACAATATTGTATACTGGGATACTTTCTCCCTGTGACTTGTGTGCTCTTTCCCTGTAAATATCTTAGTTACCTAGTGTCATTTTACCAAGTTGAAACATTACAGCACTATGTATGACTGTCTTCAAACACATATATGTAAGTTCAATCAAACAATCCAAGACTATGTCATACCAGTTAAATATATTACTCCGAGAGAAAACATGCAAACAGTAGACAAATCCTACTTAAAAATACTTGAATTTGATACAGAGAAAGATGTGTTGGCTGGAGGTTCTGCCATGGGGTCAGCCAGCAGCTGGACAGGATGGGCAGTGACGGGCATGTCTTCTTTAACTTCAAAAATATACAGCAAGGCCAAGCCTGGTACAGGAGGTAAGTACTAAAGTGACCAGCATGGCCATCTTAACATCAAAAATATACAGCAAGGCCAAGTCTGGTACAGGAGGTAAGTACTGAAGTGACCAGCATGGTCATCTAAACCTCAAAAATATACAGCAAGGCCAAGTCTGGTACAGGAGGTAAGTACTGAAGTGACCAGCATGGTCATCTTAACCTCAAAAATATACAACAAAGGCAAGTCTGGTAAAAGATGTAAGTACTGAAGTGACCAGCATATTTATCTTAACCTTAGAAATTCCTGATCTCACAATTATAAGAGGAAAAATGTTTTTAGTGATAAGAAAGAAATGGATGTTCTTAAAATGAAAAAAATACCGCACATTTTAAGAAGTTGTAATGTTGAAATAGCTGTTGGAAAGTTTATCACAATTTTTTTTTTCTGAACATTGTAGCTCCAAAACCAACCATGTCTGGTTCTGCCACAAAACCCACAGACTCACGACCACAAAGCAGACAGTCAGCTCCAAAAGAGGAGCCTGAACCAGAACCCTCCCTGGAGGAGGAAGAGGAAGGCTGGAACGAGGACGATTGGGGAGATATACAGGTACTATAACTGTACACAGATCTGAGGACATTGAAGTGTAAACGATAAGGAATATTTGTTTTCACAAATGTTTGAAGGAAGATGAAGTGTCATTTGCAGCACAATCCTGTCTTAAGATATTGGATAATTATAAACTGTATAATGATGTGTAGAAAGCAATTTTTTTAAATTTTTTTTCGTTTTTTTTTTTTTAATATTTTCTTTATTATTTTTTTAATCTGATGCATACTGTATTTTGTGCAAATGTCAGATATTGAAATATTTTATGGCAAAATTTGTGAGTTTATGACACTGACTGGTGATGGATCAGAGACCTCATCTCAAGCTTGATGTAGAGGGTCTCACCTTCACTGGACAAATAATGTTCACAATGTATTCAGTGGGACGCCTTCTTTTTCTTGCAGATATTGTCTGGTTTCTTATTAATGTACAGAATAGTTTTATTTCAAAATGTGTTGTGCAGTTCAGCAACTTGTGTTCCTATGTTGAAAAGTCAGATTCTGTTCTTTTCACTTCATTAGTAACCTGTAATCTGTAACTATCAACATCCTATGTCTATTCTTGTATAACTTCATCTCTGGGGTTCTGTATCGTTACCTAGGAAAGTCCTGTATCGTCACCCACATCAAAGACAATACAGAGTCCTGGAGGTGGTTGGGATGACGGCGATGATGACGATAATTGGGGAAGTTTGGAGGATACTGGACCATCACAAAAGGTAAGTCACTCCTAATAACTGAGATTTATTTTTAGTTTAAATGGAACTTTGATTTCTGGTTTAAAATTCCCAAGGCAGTGTTTTGATTCACAGTGTATTGACTTGATGTAATAGTGCAATATCAAAATGAAATCATAAAATGAGTCTAATATTCATTGATGAAGCAGGCGTTGTGTGTATGTATACATAGTCTTCTTACTGTTTTTAGTCTAAACAGCCTGTAAACAGTGGGGGAGGTATGAAGCTTGAGAAGAAGTCTAAATCTGATGACTGGGGAGGAGAATGGGACCAGGAGGAGAATGAGGACTTTTTATCTATTGAGGACAGTGGTCTACAACCTGCTAGTGCCTACAACTGGGGAGGAGCAGACGAACCCACAGACACTGACTTCTTTTCTTCAGCGATGGGTTTACCAAAGGTAGGTGGGGAGTTTGACCACTTGATCAGTAATTTCAGATTTCAGGTAGATTTTCCTGGTTTGTTAACAATATGTAAAGGATTTGGATACTAAGTCAAAATTATAAGTAAGTGTTGATAATTTGTCAACTAAAGGCTTTAATTTGATATAAATATTAGATATTTCAGATTGATGCAAAAGGTTTTTTTTTGTATATTTTGCAGAAGAAAGCTCCTTTACGACAATCAATCAAACCTTCCAGTGCGAAAGATCACCAATCAGAGAACACAAGAGAGACACCTGCGCGAAGTGAAACAAGACCTAAATCCAAGTCCAAGTCGCCCCCGCCACAGTCAGGCTGGGGTGAAGATGCTGGTTGGGATAATGATGATAGTTGGGGCACTGTTGGATCCACAAGTGGTACCACCACCACACGGGAAACAAAAAAGCCAAGCAAGGAGACACAGGGGTCAGAAAGCACAGACACGCCAGGGACAGGCTGGGGAGATTCTGGAGGGGGCTGGGATGATGACTCATGGGATACAGGTATATTAAGAATTAATACATTTGAGCAATGGTGAATGTTTAATTAGTTCCAAAGAGAAGGAATTACCATGTTACTCTGTATGTGTAACATCCACAATTTAAATCTTAACACCAAATTCACTACCTAGTATTTTGTTCTCTGTAGCAATTAATAGATTAGAATATTAATACCAAATGTTAATCGCTTTCCAATTGTCTGCACCTGAGTTGTTTTAATTGTCCAATAATTTTGTTTTTATTAAATATCTGGACATTTAAGCAACAAAACTGTTAAATCTGAACTTATCAATTGAGGATTTAATACATAACAAAGAAGATAGTCAAAGAAAGTTGTAGCTAACACAGTGTTGATGCTGACAATGTTCCTTTATGCAGGGTCAAGTAAAAGTGATATAGCTAGAAAGAAAAAGGAGGAACGAGAACAGAAAAGACTACAGCGACAAAAAGAATTACAAGAGAAAAGAGAAGCCAGGAAAGGTGCTGGAGCTCTGAAGCTTGGAACTAAAAAGATGGCAATGGACTAAGATGTGTTCATAAGTGTATGAATGAACTGTGATATTGTGCTTGTATTGTCCCAACATGCCCATGTTCTGCTTATGCAAAGTTACTCAGTCAGATGGTGTAGATGAGCATAGTACAATTAAATAAAAAAAAATTGATTAGTACATATTACTTTCTTAACACTATTTATAGTCTACCTCTTTCTTTCATTTTGATTGGTTTATTATGATATCTTCTATTCCAGTCAGCGACCATGATGGATACTTACTTTAGGTCATTTAAAGAAGTCCATACTCAAATTGTTGTCAGAAGTTGTCTTTGGGGTTTTGGGATCTTTTTACCTGTAACAATAAACCGTGTATGCATCTTAACATTACCATTAGAACCCTTTGTTAATATTTCAACCAAGATGTAATGCATCATTTGAATGGTCAATAAAAAGCAAGTTGTGACGGAATAACTGCAATATGCCTTCACAAAATTCTGACTTACATATGTAGCCTTCATGGTGGTTGTTAATGATGTCAATGACCCTCATCATCCAACACACATCAGGAACCTTAGCATGACACTGAATGGTCACCTGAATGTGTCACAAATCTAGAAATGGCACCAACTTATAATGTGTATTCTTATTTAAATCTGTAAGAATTAGAAAAGGGATAACGCTGCTGTGTTTTGAAATTTGCTGCATTATATTGTGATTATCCTGTCAAAAGTATCTGTTTTACTGTCTCCACTATGCATTGCCATTAAAACCCTATTTGTAACCGTCAAATCACAATATACTAAAGCAAATTTCAAAATACATTAGGATTATTCCATTGAATAGACTTTTATTATGTCCATTTCATATATAAAAGATAGCATGGATTGATGGTATAAAGAACACACAAATTCATAGTACCTTTCATTGCATGAAATTGATCATATCCAGAGGAGCAATCTGTCATTGTTTTTTTTTTTTTTTTGTTTTGTTTTTATGGATAAGCAAGTCATCAAAGTCTCAGGGTGACCTTTTCTGATCTCCTTTTGTCCAGCATGTAATGTTGTGCGTCATAAACTTTTAACATCTTCCAGTTCTTCTGGAAAAGTCTTTACCAATTTCAATGAAATTTTACAAAAACCTTCCATGGCTTAAGACACACCAAATTTGTAAATTACATGGTTCCAAACTCCCAGGGGCCTAAGAGGCAGATCCAAAAAGGGTCAAATTGATTGAAACTTCAAAAATCTTCTCAAATCCTTTGTTTGATAGAATCATGTACTTTTCATGGATGGAAAGGCCTTCAGATGCTTTAGCAAAATTGTAAATTTCATAACCCAAGGCTTTCGCATTTCCACCTGGGAGGGGGTAAAATTTACTGCAGTTTATATAGGAAAATTACATTTTTGAGCATTATTTGTTAATTTCATTTCAGAAATAGTTCAAACTTAAGAATTTTTTTTATTAGTATAACCTGACAATTTGATGAGATGCTCATATTGCCCTTGACTGACCCCAAAGGGTCAAATTTACTGAAATTTCCAAGATGGTCTACTGTTCCTGGATGGAAGTTTTTATATAGGAAAATTCAAATATTCAGTGTAATTTCTTTTAATTCAAGCTTGGTAAGAAGTCTTAGCATGGGATAGCCATTAATGTGTACACAATTTACATTTGCATTATGTGTACAATAAATTCAAAGTTATATTACTTGTTTTAACAAAATCATTTCTGACATGTTACAAGAAGCTTTGTGACTCAGGTGACCTTTAAGGCCCTTGGACCTTTTGTTTTACTCAATTTGTTATTTCTAGAAAATTGATTATTTTACAAATGGAAGTGCAAACATTTAAAGACAAAGTCTTTTCTTATCAGTATTCATTGAAAGAGTACATATCATTTCTAGGCATTTCCTATTGTGTGTAATAATACCTGTAAGCATAGAGCAGAGATCTGAGGTTTTATCAATAAGTCATAAGTTAGCAATACTGTATAAATCAAATAATAAGAATTTTGAAACGTTGGTTGAATGTAATATATGTTGGATTTCAACATGAGTTAGAATTTCTTAAAGAGATATATGAAATCATTTTTTTTTTCTTTTACAGTTTTGCAAGCCTCTAAATGTGAAAGATCTGTTAAGTAATCAGAAAATTTTGGGAAATATTGAAAGCTAGATGCTCTCCCGAGTTTTGGGAAGACTTCTGTCTTCATGGTTCTAAATCTATTATCTGTATTGTCATAAAATTACATCATAGTATCATTCTTTATCATGTGATGACCATGATTGCAATTTCATTCCCAAAGGCATGAGTATTCACATATTAACTATCATCAAGGCAATTTTTGAATTACACAGAAAGATAAAATATTTTATCATTTTTGGTTTTTTTTGTATTCAGTATGTTGTTACATTTAACACACCCAATTAAATAACACCTTGGGTGGAGGTTGTGTGCAAGAATTTTGGTATTCATGGCTTCATGCTGCTCAAAATGTTACAATATTTATACTAAAATTTATTCAAGGTAGTTTGGTTCTAAATTAAGATTCTTCCTTTGGTAACATGGTTCATAGTCTTTGTACATTTTGTTTCATTTTTAACACTTGGTAAGGTAGATGTGCTTATTTATAACATAGCATGGTCTTTTCTGTAGTTATAAGATGTATGAATGGGTAAAAGAAATTGACTGAGTGAAGGATGCTATTTGTTAATGATTGTTACAATGTAAGACATTGACTGGGATACTATTAAACATTTTTGAAAAAGTGTTGTATTAGATCTCATCTTTACTTTTGTTTTGTTAATATGATAATTTTTTATTGTACCATAATTATCCTTCAATAAGCCTAGGGATCCATCAGAATACTTCTTGCTCAAAATTAGGGTTGGGTTTGTTACAGGATAATGAAATAACACAGATTGATAATTTTGCTGAACAGGGATGTGGGTGGGCTTATAACCAGACATGTACAATTAGCTTATCAATATTTTCATTGCTGAATTTACATCCATGAAATAGCTTTGTAAGACAAAACTACAGTAAATTTTGTACTGAAAGATAAAAGAATATAAAACGTAGCCTGCTTCAAAACTAAAACCAAAATGAATAATACTGATTTTAAAGCAAATTTATTTCCAAAAATAAACATCAGTGCTTAAATTATTTTCAGTCATAGTACAAATAAATACATATATACAAAATTGATATTAGTTCAAACTCTTTGTTACAAGTTGAAGATATAGATTATGGCTGCTGTGTAATACTGGTCAAGTAAATATTGGTAAATCGCTGTACAACAGAGCTTGCTTTTCATACTAGTCAGTTTTATTCCTCACAAATATGCATCATGGCTAATCTGCAATATTCAACTTTCAAACAAAGTTTTACAGACCAGGATGGAGAGAGTTAGACTTTCTGTGAAGAGCTTAATAATGTTCAGATTCATCACTGGTTTAATTTTCGTATATCTGATTAGAGATTGGCTTAGTTTTACCCATGGCTCAGATATTCTTTAGAAGCTTTGACATGGTTCAAAACTTTACCAGCCACCTCTACTCTTAGCTTACATTATTCAGGTAATGAAAAAGTAACAAAACACTTTTTACCAAAGAGAGAGTACGGTTCTCAAGAAGAGTTAGGTAGTGGGAACAATGTGACTGTTAATGGTTAGGTAGTGGGACAACCAGACTGTTGATGGTTAGATAGTGGGACAATGTGACTGTTGATGGTTAGGTAGTGGGGACAACCAGACTGTTGATGGTTAGGTAGTGGGGACAAAGTGAATGTTGATGGTTAGGTAGTGGGACAATGTGACTGTTGATGGTTAGGTAGTGGGGACAACCAGACTGTCGATGGTTAGGTAGTGGGGATAATGTGGGACAATGTGAATGTTGATAGTTAGGTAGTGGGACAATGTGACTGTTGATGGTTAGATATTGGGACGATGTGACTGTTGATGGGTAGGTAGTGGGACAACCAGACTGTTGATGGTTAGGTAGTGGGACAACCAGACTGTTGATGGTTAGGTAGTGGGACAACCAGACTGTTGATGGTTAGGTAATTGGACAACCAGACTGTTGATGGTTAGGTAGTGGGACAACCAGACTGTTGATAGTTAGGTAGTGGGACAATGTGACTGTTGATGGTTAGGTAATTGGACAACCAGAGTGTTGATGGTTAGGTAGTGGAACAATGTGACTGTAGATAGTTAGGTAATTGGACAACCAGACTGTTGATGGTTAGAAAGTGGGAAAACATGAATTGGTGATGGCTTGGTAGTGAGATAACCACACTGGTGATGGTTGGGTAGTGAGACAACCAGAATTGTGATAGTTGGGTATTGGGACAACTAGAATGGTTTTGGTTGGGGGTAGACAACCAAAATGATGGTGGTTGAGTGATAGGACGACCAGAATGTGGTGTTTGGTAGTGAGACAATCAGAATAGTGGTGGTTGAGGTTTATTAGGGTAACAACCTGACTGATGGTGGTTGGATATTGGGACAACACGAATTGTGATGGTTGAGTATTGGGACAACAAGAATTGTGATGGTTGGGTATTGGGACAACCTGAATGGTGATGTTTGAGTGATGGGACAGCCAGAATTGTGGTGTTTGGTAGTGGGACAACCAGAATGTTGTGGTTAAGAAATAGTACAACCAGACCGGTGGTGGTTGGGGAGTATCTACCATCCTTCTATAACATTTGCAACTTATTGCATTTGAAAATCATTTACCACAAAGATAAAATAGCAACACAGGTGACTGGACAAACAGATTTATACACCAGACAATACCGTGCTTACTGCACATGATAACTGACACTAATGTGAAAGACCATTTAATGCCATTTTATTCCAGGTGGATAATATAAAAACAAATAACTATTACATATCTCATTTCTAAAGATTCAAAAAGCACAGAACCTGTTCCCTATCGTATGATTAGTCCTTTAAGGAATTGTTTAAACATTTAAAAAAGAATTATCATCAGATGCAAAATTTAATAGCACCGTCTAGTCGTATCTTGGTACTTAGATTTCAACTCTTCCTTAAAAGTTCTAAATAGCATTCTATTTTTTGCAAGTTCCTCTTCTTTCCCTTTGTGAAATCTTTCAGGAAATTTGAATCCTTTGTGCACAAGGAATGCATTGTTCAATACATCAAACCTGTAACCAGCTATATGCATTTCACAAACCTGAAATTATCAAAAAAAAATGTTGACAAGATATAAATGATGTAAGATTACAGCATCAGGATGATGAGAATATTACAAGAATATAAAAATAAAAGTCTCATCACTGATGTTTGATGAAATCCTGCAAATAAACAACCCTGGTGTAGCGTGGTATTGTGAAGCATGGTAGAATGAACCCCTCCATGTGAAAGTGATGCCACTTTATATTCTGTTTTCAAAAGATGTTTCTTCACTTAATTTCTTATCACTGTGATTAAGTAAGTTCCTCAAACATAATAAAACTGAAAAATAACAAGGGTGGGGATGGGCCATGGTAAAGTGAAGCATTTCACATAAACACATACAATAAACAAATAAATAACAAACACTATGTCTAGGCTGGGGAAATTAGGGTGAGGCAGAGGGAGAGGGGGTCTCGCCACCATGGCCATGGTTAAGTGAAGCATTACACTATTTTCTTACTAATTAACTTTTTTCACCAATTTTTTTTCTCTTGGGTGGGGAAACAGTGTAGTACGTCACTGAACCCCTCCTGCCCTACCCCATACCATTTTTTTTTTATTTATGTGTTTATATGATTAAATCAGGGCAAATAGCAAAAAAATCAGGTGAAAAAGTTAATATGTAAAAATAATAGTGTAATGCTTCACTTTGCTATGGCCATGGTAAAGTGAATCCCCCTGCCCCACTCTCAATTTCCCTACCCTGATATTTGTTTGTTTTATTTGTGGTTTTATTAATTTTTTTATCATGTATTAAAGAACATAATTAAGTAAACTGATAAAACATTTAGTGAAGAAACAGCAACTGAAAACAAAATATTAAGTGGCTTCACTTTACCATGGAAGGGTTTATTTCACCATAATGGTGAAATGAACCGTGGTTCACTTTACCATAGGCTTCACTTTTCATCATAATACACTGGTATTATCAGACAAACCTGGAAGAAAAGCATACTGGTAAATTCACTGACTTAAATTCATGCGATGAGCATACTGTAGGAAAATAATGCATTCAGTAACAGGGGTGGAAAAAAGCACAGCCAGAGTTGAGCTTGAACCCTAGACCACGACAGATACTCTACCAATTGATCTACCTGGTGGCTAATGACCAGTCCAAATCCCCTACATTCCTCCCTCCTTTTTCTAAGTCTTCATCCCCAAACACACAACTATTTAAAACACAGGTTCTGGTATCCCATTGTCAAGCAATCATCTAATTGATGCAAGGGTTGGTCACAAGCAGCAAAATGCATAGCAAAACCAGGTTATGAAGCCAGGACACTCAAAAATCTACCAATTGAGCAACCGGGTCACAAATGACTCTGTCCAGTTCTGCTACAATTTGATTTTTGGTAATTCTATTGAACAGTTGTAGGCATATGAATATACTTATTATCAAACACAGGCTTAATTACCCATCAAATTACATGCTTTCAAAATTCAGCTGGAGAAATTTTACCTGACTTATTCTGTTGAATCCATACTGTTTAAATCTTTCATCATACAAAGGTAGATGCTTATCTGTGATAAAGAAAGGTTCCCATGGATCCTTCCAGTCTAAGCTGAAACCTACATCCAGGAAATCAACATTTACTAACTTCATCCATTCACTGTATGAGGTCTGCTTCTGGCAACGCTGACAGACTTCTGCATAAAAAGGGCGGACATTATTTGACTTAATCTCATCTAATAACACTGCTTTGGTCTCTGGAATTTTAGTTGATTCTTTAATTTCAAAGCACGGAACAACAAAGGCAACTTTATCATGCTTTGGTAGTCCATCTGGTGACTGTTTTCGTCTTTCTATAAAGGTTTTGAAATCCTGTAATAAATTACCTGATGGAATAAGATCGATATCAACAACAAACACATACGGAGATGTTACACCTTTTAAAGCAAAATTCCTCAATATATTGTGAGGATATTCAATCCCAGATAATGCATAATTTTCAGGGTTTGCTGTTCTTAATTCTCCAAATGACTTGTCACAGTTTATTGCTTTAACTGAAATTTTTTCAATATCAGGAATCCTTGGTGGTTTATCAATAGGGTAAATCATATTAAAGAAAACATGTCTTCTAATTTTCTTATAACACTTTTGGAAATACAGAAGTGCTCTGATAGCAAAAGGAAAATCTTTGTCATATGTGAAAATAGAAATAGAGACTGGTCCATCCCAGCGGTCAGTTAAATCAACAAGATCATCCAGATGATTGGCTGAACATTGTGTGACCAGAGTGACATCACTATAGTGATTAGTCTGATCCGAATTACCAGATCTACTTTCAGGTGAAATTAAATTCCTTATGAGGTAGTATGATCCACTACTGTCCATTAGATTGGAATCCTGGAGGCGCTGTATAACCTTGTCTGAAGAGGAAGACTCTTTTTTGGTCATCTTATGAGGATGTGGCGTTCCTAATTCTGAATCTTTCGAATGCATGTATGTCAGTGAATAAAAATGCACAATTTGAAGAAAAATTATTGCAACCACCAGGAACACAATAAGCCTGCCAAGTCCAACTTTCCTCATACACTTTCCATACACCATTGTGGCCAATGCATTCGCTTTACTGACATAACAGTAGCTTTGCTCATACCTATTAGAAAACACCCCTTAACATACCACTGTAGTTGTTTCCTGTGGTAATTAAGGAAGAAAAATGACTCTGGATGTCCAAAATGAGATTTACCCTTCAACGAATTCACTTTTGTAATGTGAGATAGAGTTTGTGCACATGAAGCACGTTTCCACAGTGTTTATATATTTTAACTTCCGGTCATGCGCATCTCGTGCAAAATTGATGTCAATTTACCCAATATGGCGTCTTGAAGAAGGGAATATAACAACATAGAGAACTAACTTAGGTATAAATGTGAGTTCAGCTTCAAATCACGCATGATTTATGTGGTGTTCATCATAAGATAACCTTGTGACTTCAACATGAATGATGTTGACGCTACATATTTAGAATTGTCAACCATTTTTTTATGTTTTCTATGCGTTTTTTCGCTGTCATTCATTTTACACATGAAAGGCTCTTCGCATTATTTTTATTTTATTGGTTTATGTAAGACATGTCGTAATAAAACAAATGAGTTCATCCTCCAGTTACTTTCTATGTACAAAATCAAATGTAATCATAAATATTTTTGTTACAACGTCGAACATGTAAAACAGCTTTGTTAGGACAAAACCAATTCGGATCAAAATAATGACAAATTTAGTTTGTAAAATTATCTTTGTCACGAAGTAAGAAACATTTTTGAACATATCATAAACGACAGGCAAAACGCGTAAATTTATTCTTCTCAAACTTACATATACACACATATACTCAAAACAATTACAAATATCTAAAAGTGTATGTAAGCTTAATCAGACATATAATACTTTAAAGCTATAATCCAGGAAACGACTCTTGACTGCGATACTTTGATAAGTCAAACTTAATTAACAGTTCTTTTTTCTTGACTGTAAGCTTGTCTGATCATGATCATAACTTCAAAATTTGTTTATAGCATTATGAGACGGACTAAGCCTAGTATTTTTCTGGTCATGTTAGAGTCTCCAATATGTGTTAACTAATTATATTTAAACAACTGCAGTTAAAAAGCAAAATGATAACTGCCCATTGCTTATTATCAGAGGATGGTGATTAATTGTTGGAACTAAGGGTTAAAAATTGAAAATTGATTTTACAAGGTACCAATACGATAGAGATGGCCTACTGGAGATTTCTTGGGTATACCTTTGTGTCAGTTCATAATACAATATGTAATGAAAGCCCTGGCTCTTTCTACAATAATGCCCCATTTAGTTATCAATCATAAACTAAATAATTCTTCAAGTGTCAATCTATAGCACTGACTGGCATATCAAAAGTCATTTTGTCAACCATGACAGTGAAGCCTGTAACAAAAAAGCAGAACATTCTTTAAGAATAAAAATATATTCTCAAAGTCATGCATAGCAACATAAAATTAGTATGATTTTAGTAACAATGATATAAAATAGTTTTCTTCCTATTTTAGGCAAAATATGGTATAAGAAACAGAGTAACATTTCAGTTGTTTACAAAAATAAATCATGTTAGCATATGTATTCATTTGATAAAAGATCACTCACAAGCTAAAACAATTTGTTATAAAAGTAAGCTTGTTCAATGTAACAATTATCAAGGTCTTTGTTACCGTTGATTTAAAATAAATTAAAGACCAGTATGTATTTTTGCAGAAAAGCTAGTGATGCAAAAGTATAAGCAAGACTAGTATATTCCTCTACACCGTATTTACCAGATGATATTCAAGTGAGAAAATAACAAAATAATTGGCATGTCACACAACAATTAGGTTTCATGTAATGGCTTACAAAAAAAAAAAAAAGGAATAGAAACAATATATGTAGCTTTATCTCTGTGATATATTGAATTTTCAACAATTCTGATGGCGACCATTTATTACACTTAGCCATCGAAAACTATCTTGACTAGTTGTCATCTCAAATTCAAAGAATAAGTCAATTCTAAATGTGATAACGTTACAAGATGACAAGGAGTGTCTCATCACCTAATTATACATCCCTGCTGATGTGTTTACAATTTAGTTACTGCATCTGTACCTGTCAAATTATTGACGTTTTATCATATATTTCCATCAAAGTGATCTCTTATGCATGTATATATGGGTATTAATCAGGATCTTTCATATATCATTTATAGAAGTAATAGTGACATTGTCGAGGTTGATGAAAATTTATCAAATTGTTATGATTCACCACTTAATTCACATGCTATTAAATTAGGTTAAAAAGGTAATTATTTTAATGTAAAATAATGTTTGCCTTTATTTCAGTTGCTTTGTGTGTAATCAATAAGATGGGAGAGATGAACTTGTATTGCATTTACTACCTCCTTTTTGCTGTTTCATTGAAGACTTGCTGGTCAAAAGGTATGTCTTTTCCTAAAATGTTGTTTTGGCTCAGAATTTAAGTGTTAATGGATTGTGTTGAAAATGTGCTAAACATGGGAAATAAGTATTGTTTGTGGCTTATTATAATGTGGTGTTATGTTAAAAACTTTTTCGTGTCACCATAATATAATCTTTATTGTTTTTTTGTTGATGACTTGTAATTTATTTAAAAATGACAATAGAATGTTTTTGGAGACAAAATTCAAGTCATTTTTAAAATAAAACAAAAAATCTGTCAACTTTTTTTATCTTACAGGAAATGATTGTCCTCCCATTAATATCATTAATGCCAAAGTGCACATGTACTCGCTGGACTCCCTGGAGGCCAGTGTTGAGTGTGAAGCTGGGTATAGTTTGATTGGCTCTAACAAGTTACTTTGTACAAATGGAATGTGGCAGCCAGCCACTCTACCTCACTGTGTCAACAAATTGCCTACAAGTAAGTCCTAAGTTATAGTTAAAATCTAACAAAAAATGCATTAAAGTAAATAATGGGTTTTACTTTTAACATGTATTTTGAATTCTATGTCTAGTTGACATGAAAGCAGGAGACAGGGGAGGGGTTAGCCATGAACATAGTTTGAAGTATTGCTTGTTGCTTATGGGGTGTTATACATTAGAAACTATTTTTTGTAAGATTTTTACACTCTTATCAAAATTTTGAAAGGACATGCTAGGGTATGGCATGTGCAAACTTTTTTATTTCCGGAGATCTCCTCCCATATTTTTCAACCAATTTCCTTAGGTTTCGTTACTGTGCCATGAGGTTGTATTTTCAATAATGGCATTTAGTTTCAGCTGTTTGGAAAGAGTTATTGCCATTTGCTCTTATCATAACTTAAAACTTAGTGGCATTTTGACTTGGCTAACATTGTTTCCTTTATATTTTCGTTCACTTTGCTACAATAATATATGACACTTTAGCATGGATTGGATACCATATATTGTTCTATCCTACAATACTCTGTTTGTTTTTCATGCTATATATTATTCTTTTCAGCTTTGACTTGCTCAAACCCAACATTTACTCATGCTAAAGTCACCATGGACCACTCAAAGAAATCAGCTGAAGTTCACTGTAATAGTCAATACAGCATAAAATTTCATCAGCAGTCCTTTCAATCACTGAAGATTGTTTGTAGTCAGGACTTACGTTGGGTTACAGTCCTGGGTTTGTCAGACATACCTGACTGCACAAGTGACCTTGGTAATTCCTTTGTGATTATTTTCATTGGGTTAAGACATGAGGCTAGAAGCTAAAGATGCTCTGTGAATGATATTAATATCCTACAATTGGATTTACTTCAGATATTTGAAAATGTATCTCTGGCAAAGAATTATTCCACAAACAGTAACTTTTTTATACCCTGTTGGACATGTTTTCTGTGAAGCTGTTGGTACACCCTTTGTGGGTCATGCAGCCATACCTTAAGTCTCCTTTCCAACTTAGGAATAAACTAAATGAACAATGACCAGAACATATACTGAAATACTGTATTACAGGTGGAAACAAATTCTAGAATTACAGCTGTGATTTTTAGTCCATTGGACTTAATGAATTGTTTCTCCTTCAAGAGTTACTATTAATGAAATGATGATATGTCCTTGATCTTCATGTAAAAACATACAGGTAATTCAGCCTGTAAACCTGTTAGGTATAGAACATTTAACTGGTGTTTGAATCCCCTTGTGACATGGTTTGACTCCCATTACTTAAGACAGCTTGAAGGAGACCTCAGAGTGGTAAATGCAATGAATAGATAATGTGGATATCTGGCCACCCCTTGGTAAGATTATAGATTGTAAAAGTCAAACTCTGCATTGTTATCAGTTGTGAAATTAAGGGGTGTATTTATTTGCCAACATTTGAAAAAAATCATAGAGAAGTGTCCATATTTCTGTAAAGAATAACTTGATGTGTTACTATGATGATGTTTAACTGAATGAGAAATGCTGTGGATGATATTTACTTGTGTATTTGTCCTTCAGAGTGTCCTCCCCCTCCAGAGGTGAACCATGCCAGTATCATTGAGCGTGTGGATACCTGGACCCCCTATACACAGGACACACCTGTCACTTACAGGTGTGATTCTGGATACCAACAGTTATCTAGGGATTCATATGATGATTACCTATTTAACTCGTTTTCCACACTCCTCTGCTCTGGTGGGAAATGGGTTGGAAATACACTTGTGTGCTGTAAGTCCCTTTCATATTAACTACATATAAATACCTGTACCCGATTCTATAAGCAAATGGAGATCTAACTGCCCAGTAATACTATATAAGTAATAATAATGTATTATATATAACGAGTGTTTCCTTACGATGGAAGTATTCATGACTAGAAAGTGTTCAGGTGCATTTAGGTATGTCAACACGATAGATGTACATGTATTATACTCATGCATTTACAAAAAACCAAAGAAAACCTGCAAATTTTGCAATTTGATTTTTTTTGCAGGTTTTTAAAGGGTCACTGAATTCCTAAAAATAACTTTGTCATGATATATATACCTACATTTTGACCTTTGACTTACATCAACAAAAACGGTTGCTTTGCATAAAATTTTACATTTGTTTTCAGACAATAATTTAACAGATAGTCCTGTTGATTGTATACTTTGCTATGCAGTACTGATAATTAATCATCATTTTTAGGGGAAACTATTTGTATGCAGGTGCTAATTAAGTGGACTGAATGATAAAAAGTGGTGATTGCAAGATGGGAATGATTGAAAAATTGAATGAGTGCATATGTATGTTATATACAGTAGTTAATATAAATCATTATTTATACTGTAGTGAAGATCCCAGGCTGTACTAGACCTCCAGATGTGACTAACGGGAAGTGGGCTATAATGCCTGGGATGAATGACCTTGTGATGAGAGAGAATCAGGACACATATCCTATTGGCACTCGGATCAAGTATTACTGTATTAACTCCAAGATGAGGGGAGATGACGAGATTGAGTGTCGCACCAATGAACTGTGGTCACAGATGCCACCCATGTGCATCAATACCGGGAGTATGCTTCTTATCATAATCACTGTATATATAAAATATGTATTACAGCTATTTCTACATTTCCGCTACACACCACTTTGTCACAGGTTATAGTCATTTTAAAAAGGAAAGTGGTGTGTCTTGTTTTGGCAGATGAAATGTTTTAGAGAGACACTTTTGTCAACTCAGTCCCTCAAAGTTTAATAGCCAAATGTACCAAAAAGATAATGCTCCTAAAAAGAATTTATGTAGTTTGTAATAAGATCACTCATGAACTTTTGTATCAGCCTATGACCACATAACATTTAAAGTAATCTGAGGAATTAATTATGGCCTGCACTGACAGATTGTGCATGGGTGATTCATTGTATAAAAGCCTGAAAATCGGTGTATACGTATATATGCATGTATTTAATGGAAATAATCTGGGAACAAAAGCTGTTAGTATACATGTATGTATCAATTGATAAAAAAAACATGAAGGTAAACACTTGATTTTTGCAGTTCCTCAACAAGAGTTGCTCAAAAGGAATATCAAACTACCTTCATAAATAATCTAAGGACATGTTTTGAATTTAAAAAAAAATTGTATTGCTGATTTTCAGGAAAAAATAAAAACAAGCAAAAGAAGTTCTTGGTAGAAATTTAGGATGTGGCATAAAGTACAAGGTTTATTGTCAGAAATAAATCGACAATTGTTGAACCAAAAATCAACCAAAACGGATTTTAATTCTGACTTTCAGCTCAATCAGATTCCTGCCCCAAGTTACCAATGGTTCCCAATGGTCAGTGTCTCTGTAACTCTCACACATCTGATCCTGACCAGTGTAGACTCCTTGGATCCATGGTGGAGTGTTCCTGTAATGATGGATTCCGTCTTGCTGGTGAAGATCGACTTAGCTGTGTGAGAAATAGTCAGGGACAGAACAATTGGAGTGCTGGAATACCAGCATGTGTTCCCTCAGGTACACATGATAATGTACTAAGTTTTAGATTAGAATGCTGATTTATCTATTTGATTCTTTGTGTATCTGATAGTTTGTCATTCAATCCATTCAGTAGCCTTCTAGTTGTGCTGTATGACTCCTCTTTGATAATCTGTTAAAAAGGATTTTGATGAGAGTAACATATAATTTTTGTATTAAAATAGCTGTATGAACGTCCTAGTTGATAATCTGATAAAAAGTCATATACTTTTCTGTCAAAAAAAAACTTGTTTTTACTTAAATAATGAACTTATTTTTTAATGATCTTCAGTCATCAAAAATAATATCCAACTATTAAAAATATTAATCATTAAGTAAGGAATGCTTTATTTTGTACATTGATACAATATGGTAGGAAATGATACATCCATCTTACAGGGAATGCAACACACAGTTCCTAGAGAACCATTCTTTCTCTTACGTATTCATTGTAATACAATTTTTTCCCATTCAAACATACCACATGATAACATACCAAGTGAAGATGTTGGAAGATTTTCTGCAGATTGCTGAAACTAGTTCAAGTGATGATTGTTTACTTAAGAATAATGAAACATTTTGTTATACAAGTTCTACCTTCTTTCTTTGATGTCTATTTTAACGTTGTTCTTGTGTTTCAACAGACCAGTCCATTCAGACAGCTGACAAGAATATGGACGACGGAAGTGGCCATATGAACACCTTGGCCATTGTCATTGCCACTGCTTGCAGTGTTTTGGGTGTGTTGTTGTTGGTCATGGTAGTGATGGTGTTTAGGCGCAGAAAGCCACAGGTACGCCTTTATCCACAAGTAGGGGGCACCCCACCCCCATACTCCCGTGTCTACAACAACACCTTAGATGAACATGATAGAGTGGCATTAATTGGATATGAAGCTGCAAGACTGCCATCCTATGAGGAAGCCACAAGGTCAAGGTCATTAGGACCAAGCAGGCCTGTTAGAGATATTACAGAAGAACGTGTTTCATCTGCTGCAGATTACAGACCTCTACCAAACATTCCCTCCAGTCTGCGCAACAATAGTCAGGCAGATACAGTGAGTAACAGACATTCCATCAGCACCATGAGTACAGTGAACAGAGATGGTATATCGGAGGTTTTTGGATCTATAGACACTGTCAATGTGAGTATCAGTGATGCCTCCACCTCTGTAACTGTGGATACGCTGGATAGTGTTGCCTCACGCCCCTCCAATGCCTCAGGCAGAGCTACTGCAGGCAGTCTGGAGACCTCCAGAGAAAATCTCTCAACAGAAGGTAGGAATTCTTTTGACAAAGATATCCATGTTTAATGCATCATATGATGATATTGAAAGCATTGTTTTCACTTATTTTGTCATCCTTGGGGAAATGGAAACATGATGATTGTTGTATGGAATTGTGATTCAGGAAGTTCCTGATGGCATATTTATTGTCATGTATATGAAATGCGTTGTCTGATATTGTATGACAACAGATTTCTTATTTTTTTACATTTATGTTTCACAAGATACACTTGTCAATATCTTCTGAATTTTGTACAAACTGATTTTTAAAAAGACACTCCATAAATGATTATTTAATCTAAAAATAACCCTTTTCAGGGAACTTATGGGAAAGGATATTATGGATAGTATAAATGTATGTGGAATTTCAGAAAGACTTTTTGTGAATGTAGGGTTCGTTGGCATGATGTGAACTGTGTACTCCATTAATATAGATACAAATGATTGTCACAGATCAAGATTTTGTATAGAATATTTGATTGTATATTTCAGATGTCCCTCTTCTAGACAACAGAACAGAGGATGAATCTGGCAATGAGGATATTGAAATACAGATAGATGAGGATAACAAAGAAATACAATAGTAAACATGTTGATCATGTAGAAATATTGTTAATACATGTACTTTATAGTAAAATTCTACAGTATGAGAGATATTTAACTTACAAATATATTGTGATGTTTTTTCTTTGTTCTATCAATTTCTGCTTTTTATCTTACATGATAAATGTTTTGTGATCATATTGAATTTACGTAATTTTATACAAATCTGCTAAGACACATTATTCTATTACTTAAGTTGTGATCCTTGGTAGTATGGGTTAACTGACAAACAAAGCGTTATTATAGATCTTTGGTAGTATGTGCTAACTGACAAACAAAGAGTTATTATAGATCAGAATGGTAATCTTTGCTATGTTTACAGACACAACTTTAGTGTGCATTAATGAATCATGGATGATAACTAGGGAAGATTTGGAGATTCACATATTCAAATGTTGAGTCTCAAAGGGTGTGAAGACTTATAAATTCAGTTTACCTTGTCTTTTTATTTTGATGGTATTTTCTCTTCATCTATGATGAGATATTCTGCATTTATTTTTCAGTGCCATAGTAACGAAAATGAATTAACAACTTCTTTATTCTTCTTTTAAAAGTTGGATAGCCTAAATTATTATGGTTGAATACTTGTAGTGTCGCCAATTTACCTGATACTAACCATATCATGAGCTGCTTAAATTGTGAAAAATGCTAGAATCACATGATGTTTCTTTAATTTTGATCAGTATTTAAAGGTTTCAATAGAATTCATTACAAGGTCTTTTTATCTGATAATCTGTTAAAACACCTTGTCACCCTTGATTGAAGGCCATGACCAGATTATTTACACATGAGGTTGGCAACAGTGATACTTACCACAAACCATAGAATATCATTTCAATGAAACAAACATTTACTTTAGATTAGAGAAAAATGCTCATTCCAGACATTTAGGTAATTCATAACTCTTGTGATATTACTCGGCTTCCTAAATAGGTGAAAATACTGTCAGTTTCACTATTATTTTGAAGTACCCTACTACATCAGGCCACCTCGGACTGAAATATGTACTTTCTTTGTATCAACTTTTTTTATTAATGTATTCATATAAAATGAAATTTATTGCCAAAGTACTTAGCCAAATATCTTGATATTATCTTCAATTATATTGAAGAGAATGAATTTTGTTAATATTGATGAAAATTGTTAGCAAGTGAACATATCTATGATGTCTGAATCGAGATGAAAACTTTTAGCCTTTCTTTAGGTCAACTTCATTCCAGGCTTAAGTTTGCTAGATGCTTTGAAAAGCTGATTATCAATTTATGTTTGTAAATAATAATATACTGATATATCGGGACACCCACCGCAGAAAATTTATTTTATCAAAAATGTTTATTCAAGTAAATATTCCTAACATTTGTAAAAGTGTTATTCTCCGCACTTGATTTCGTCAGTTAGCATACATATTTTAGTTGTACTCATATTTTAGCATTTTTGTGCTGAAATTATTCATCTGGGGTAGATTGCATTAATTGCATCTTCTGTATGATGTTCATATAGCAATTATTGTGGATATGCAGATTCATCATTGCAGTAATTTGTCCAATTCCCACCAATAAGTACGTTTACAGTATTCAGTAAGCAGAAATTGGTATCGGACATTGTAATATATAAGGTCTGAAGACTCACAGCTGACTGTTGTAGGTTTATCTTACGAGAATGTGTAGTAGATGTAAATTTATTGTATTATACATTAAACAGTGCTACTGGAGAAAGTTGAGAAACTTAAGTTTAATGGGAATTTTCATATTTAAGGATTGTTAGCTTTATATCTGATGATAGATATTACATGTATTTGATGGAAATCAAAACTGATAAATGGAGAATATTCTTTGATTGGAATACTTAAGTTGGTACATAGTTTCAAATTATTCATAAACTGTACAGTGTATGTTGTAACATTCATTTTGTCCATATGTACATCATACTAGTGGCCATGTACAAGTGTTATTTAATGGTTATTTTTGTACTTTTGTCCTATAAGTGCAGTCTCTCTTACTTTGAAATAAGAATGCGTAAAAAAAAAATCATATCATTCTTTTGGACAAGATTTACAAATTGATTTCATAAATATAGCAAATATATATAGCAAAAATCAAATTGAACAAGAAATTCAGTAATACATTTATTAATGTTGTAATCTCTTTCAAAATGAGGATAAGTACAAGAAAAATGTTAGTGTTGATATTATGGCACATAGATCTGTGATATAAATTCTCATTTATTTGTGGAGTTTTCTATAAATATAACCTGGTTGATTCAGGAGGGATCAAGCTTTCTGTAAATGGGATAATCTTAAGAGGTATCTGAGCTCTTTGTAACTAAGGTTATCATCAGCAGGAATCAAGCTCTCTGTCAATGGGATTATCTTCAGTAGTATTGGAGCTCTTGGTAGCTAGGCTTATCCTTATTAGGAGGATTCAAGCTCTCTGTAACTAGGTTAGTCATCAGTAGTAAAGGAGTTCCTTGTACTAGGATCATCATCATTTGTAAAAACTGATTTTGCTTTATCTAGGGTTATCATCAGTAGTAAGTGAAAAGTGAACTCATTGTAATAAGGTTTATCTTCAGTAGAAATGGGCTCATTGTGACTAGGGCTATCATCAGATGAAAACGAACTCATCGTATTTAGTGTTATTTTCAGTAGAAATTGGATCATTGTAACAAGAGTTATCATAGTAGGATATGAGCTCATTGTCAAAACAGCCATTACTATCAATGGGAAATGAGTTCATTGTAACTAAGGTTATCGTCACCAATATGAAAAGAGCTCCCAGTAACTAAAGTGTAATCAATCCATTTAGACGGATTGGAGTTAAGAAATTAACATTGATGTCCATATTTTGATATTAGTATTTCCATGTTAGATAGAATTTACAGAAAGTGACTCTTGGACATGGAAAGAAATATTTAACAAGACAGTTTACCATACTTCTAAGGACAAAGTCGGTATAGGCCTGCCTACCATAGTTAAGTTTCAATGAAATACTATTACCTACTACTGCCCTTTGAATATAATGTCTTAATCTGTGTACATAGATTATTTAAGGAATATTTTACTTACTGTGCATTTTACCATTTATTATTTGAGGAAACTGATAATGTTAGTTTGGTATAGAAGTTATAAAAGTTTAGAAACTGCATGAAGGTCCGGAAAGTGCTAACATCAAATGAAACCATATACTTGGCAGTGGTAGAAAATATTTTACAAATTACACAGGACTGTTCATTTTCTATCTTTGTCAAAGACATATTACTCAGAGTGTTAATGATTTTAAAAATCCAATCTTTTATCTTTATCTTTTAATCTTAGTTTCAAGAATTGTACTAAGCAATGTTGTTTAGATAAGGCTGAAATAATTGTTTTGTCATTCCATTTAAACTTATAAATGTTGATGTTGACAAGGACAGCAGAAATTGTAATCTTTGCAACAAAATATGTGAAGAGAATTACCCCAGGTTTGTTTATATTGCTCTTAACTTATTTTTTTCATTTATTTTTTTTTCACAACCGATATGATTTTGAATCTTCAACTTTTACTGAAAATTGATATTCAGCATAAGCGAAAAAAATTCATCTATTAGATGTATTTTCAGAGTAGAAATCATGTAGCATGTTACTAGATAAGCTTTTAATCACTCTATCAGACAGAACACTTAATGTTACTGTTATTATTTTATGTAAATGATCTCCTTTGATTTCTGATTTACACAGACATTTTACATTATGTTCTGAATAGTGCTCATAGAGTCTTTACCGACATTTATGAAAATTACTACACAGTGTCTATACTTAATACTTACATTACTAAACATTAAAGTTTACTTTTTTTTCCCATTTGAATTGAGAGTAATTGACCATTTCCAAGAGTGGCTGACATGTTTTGTTAAATTCAGTTATAATTTCATTTGACATCAGTATGTAACATTTCTTTGATATAAGTAAGGGCTATGTTTTATCAATTCTTATCTACTTTGAAAAATAAATCAGGTATTTTTATTATCAGACATCCTGTTCTTGCCATTATGATGTATATAAAGAGATGTATAAATTTTAACATTAAATATCGATATTACTTGCCAAATAATGCAAGTTTATGAATGGATCCAACATTTTATACATTGTTCATAAACGTTCATGTTAGCTTTACAATAATTAATGCGCCACTTTATGTATTTTCATATGTAAAAAACAGCTGATTTGTCTTTTGTGAATATCATACTCAGAGTTAAACTCCATTGAACATTTATCTGTTTGTACAATTTCCTGTAAATGCATATCATTTATTATGTACAATTTGTCCATCAAATTTTGTGCAATTCATTTGGTAAGAATGTAGGTGAAAATGTATACCTTATTTTGTGAGATCGTAGATTTTGTATTTAAAATTGCTACATTCCATCTCATATGATAGTACTTCCACCACGTTACAGTGTCTGCCCATCCTTTACACATGAGAGACACCGTTTGTTTGACCCATAAGAGACACTGTTTGTAGATAGACTTCAGTACGAGCTGTCATCGTAACTGTAAAAGAATTTCTTCTTTTCATTTACTGTTAACCAACTTTCTTTCACGACTTCTAGCTTTCATGATCGCCAAATCCAAACAAGTTCAGAGCACATAATGTTCGTGAAACATAATATGTTATACTCTACCCTGATTATTGTGCATTCAGAAATTTGTACCAGTCACCAATTTCATGCAATATAAATTGCAGGCAAATGAAAGTTGGTTTACAGAAGTTGATATGCATTTAGCTTTACTGGATTTTCAGAGAGATTGAAGTATTTGTGAATGTTTTTTTTTGCAAAGATGTAATATTTAAAAAAAAAAAAAAGTCTTTTAGTTGTAAGATTTTTTTTTTTTTTTTTTTTACATAGAAATGTGTAATCCATCGACAATGTTCATAACACAAGAGAGTTAATAGAATTTTATCCTTCATAGATTAGAAACTTGGAGATTGGATTTGTAATACAATGTATTTTGAATCATGTTGAAAAATTACAGACAGTATAACTGTTTATTGTGAGCATTCTTCTGCTTGATTATCAGATATGTTTGGAATCTGAGTCATGGAGGAGAAACTAAACAATCAGAATTTTTGCAGAGAAATATACACAATTCTATGTTACAGGCAGAAGTATACAAATATAACAAATTGATGGACAGTAACGTATGGAATTGATCATGTTTTGTAATGAAGTTGGGGAATGAGAAAATTAGATTGCTCTCTACAACATTTACAGCAGCATATGTTACTGAGGTGAAAGCTAGGATTTTATGCAACCACATCATTCTGTAATTATAAATCTTAGACAAGGAAGAGTCAACCAAACCACTTATAATTTTATTTTCATTTGTAACTGATTCTATTTAGATTGTCTATGATTTAGTCTTAATTTGATATGAAGACAAGAAATCAGTAACTAAACTTGTAGACCTAGCAGATGAGTGGTATTGACCCCAGTCATCAGTCAGTCATGTCTGGGGCAGGTGTCACCAATTCCAATTAAGCCATTGATATGTTTTAGATTTATATATAAGTGTTTGACATCTGTTAAACGGAATCTGCTGCTCCATGATGTACAATATCATGGCCCTTTGTTCACATTTTGACACCAAAGTTTCAAATCAGAGACAGGAATGCTCACTAAAACGTTTTTTCGGTTTACAAATTTGAAGAAATATGTATTTAATTTACAAATATTGCCTGAAAACCTCATGAGATGACATTTTTTTTTGTTTCATGTTGACAATCCTGTCAATCATGCCCGGTTACTTAACATGACTATACAGTACCTTACCCTCCAATCATGCCAGTGTACAAACTGTTTGTGTGGGAGAAAAAAGAAAAATCCAGGTTTGTGATGAAGTGTATAAGTCCTTGTGAGAGCTAAATTGATATGTTTGTGTGTATTAATGATTGAAATTCATTCAATAAAAACCTACATAATGTTTACAATAGTATTTTATTCCTAATTGAATATGTTGAATTTGAGTTCTGGTATACTCCATGGATATATGTGTTTTACATTTGTGTTGTTGTTCCGTGTTGCGGGAGTTCATTCACATAAGTATGGGTCCTTCGGGGAGTTAAATAAGTATCTGATGCTCTGTGGGCCTCGGCTCCCACCATGTGCTGATTAGCCATTCTGTGTTGGTCATTTCCCACCATGTGCTGACTGGCCATTCCATGTTGGTCAGTGCCCACCTTGTGCTGACTGGCCATTCCATGTTGGTCAGTTCCTACCATGTGCTGACTGGCCATTCCATGTTGGTCAGTGCCCACCTTGTGCTGACTGGCCATTCCATGTTGGTCAGTTCCTACCATGTGCTGACTGGCCATTCCATGTTGGTCAGTTCCTACCATGTGCTGACTGGCCATTCCATGTTGGTCAGTTCCTACCATGTGCTGACTGGCCATTCCATGTCGGTCAATGCCCACCATGTGCTGACTGGCCTTTCCATGTCGGTCAATGCCCACCATGTGCTGACTGGCCATTCTGTGTTGGTCAGTGCCCACCATGTGCTGACTGGCCATTCTGTATTGGTCAGTTCCTATCATGTGTGGAGTAGCAGAGTCTTTGCTCCTCACATGATTTTGTATTCCATGTTGTCCATTTATAATATGACCGCTATGGGCAGTGTCTGGAACTTGTTTTCCTGGGAAGGAGGTATAACGTGGAGGCACTGGAAAGTTAAGCATTTCAGCAGAGTTAATGGTCATGTATGGATTTTCCTCTTCCTCTAGAAGAAGGTTCTCTTCATAAACACCTTCATCTTCAAAGGATGAGTTGAGTGAAATGTCATCTGTGTCTATGCTGGCATTATCCTCCTCATTCTCCAGCAGGGGCTCCATACTAGTTGGGTCACCTTTCTTCTGTGTCCTGTCCATTTTATGGAATGTTTTCACCTCTGTAGGGGCATAATGTATCAGATGATATATTTATCACTGTTAATCTATTTGAATTATTCCACACCATGAAGCAAGTAGACAAAAATTGGGAGATATACTTTAGATCAGACCAGTCCATTATGTGTGAATATATTTAAGCAAAGCACCAAAAATATTTCAACATGTGATAGATCAACAACAGAGTTCACTGCTGGAAAAGTCTGATGGATTGAAATTGTTTTGATTATTACAGTCATTGTTGTTGCCGGAATGAAAATCAAATTATTCAGACTGCTGATTTCTATCAAAGACTTTGAAATATTACTTGTTTTTTCTCATAATAGCCAGCAGGGGCTCCATTGTTTGCACCAGATGACAGACATTTAGGCAAATGTGTAATGTCTGGTATAGGAGTCCCAGGATGATTGGCTATCATCTAGACAATTGAACTTACTTTCGTTTGGTAAGGTGTGGTTAAGGTGAGGTGAGAAATAGTTATATAATGACAACTTGTCATAATGTTAATGAAAATCTTTGTTTCCCCTACAACATATCAGCAACACAGTATGTTGTATAAATCCTGAAAATTAGGAAACAAAGAAATTATTCAGACTGAAGAAATTAACCCCAATGTTTTTAATCTTTCTGGCTGAAATGAACCAAAGAAACTACAACTTCACACAGAGCTTAACTAGACAACTAGTATCAAATGCAAGTGATGCCAAGGTAAAAATTAAACCTTCAACTTTGTGATGGCATATTTGGAGACAGATTTCAAGGACAGAGACCCCTGTACTTTGTATACCTCTTTTGACAGCTTTGATTGCACCCTTGCCACTACATGGGAAGATGTATCCAATGGAAGTCTCCATTGGGTCATCATTTTCCAGTGAGCCATCCACTGACGTCTGAAGTAAGCGCATCACTAACACTGTTATCATCTGTAAATAAACAAGAGGCCTATTGGTCCTGTATTGCTCACCTGCCTTTGTTAAGTTGAAATTGCTCTACCTAATATAAAGGAAAGCACCCACTGTCTGCCCCAGGGAGATCACCAAAAACATTGATACTATTGGGACAGAATCTATGGATTCCTACAGAAAGATATGTTAAAGACTACTCTAATTCCAATTTTGAGCCCAACCCTCTGGGCCGAGGAAGTGCAGGGGGAGGACCACCGTTTATACAAATTTAAATTTGATTCCCCTTCCCTCCAAGGATGTTAGATGCTTCAGACCAAATGTGGAGATAATCCAGGCATTAATGAAAAAAACCGGATGTTAAAGACTTTTTATTCAAAACTGAGTAACGTTCACCTAACAATGCCTCAGACTTAATTTGGATACAATCCAATCATTTCTATAGAAGAATTTTGAAAAAAAAAATGGCTGGATTTCACCATGGTCCTGCCTCTCAGGTTCCCAGGGGAGGGAGTTGGATCACATCTACCCTTTCATAAAATACTCAGTACATTTCCACCAAGGACGCTTCTGACCTTTGGTCAAAATTAGTTCAGCCCTTCCAGACCAGTAGTGTTTTACAGAAATTCTCGATGGACGACGGACATCACAATACCTCATAAGCTCACTTACCAGGTGAGCTAAAAAATTGGATGTAGAAATGAAAATATTAATGTAAAATATTAATTCATTTCATTTTATCCTTTAACAATGTTGTGTGTATATATATATATATATCCTATATATTAAGACCTTTTGGTTCACGTTTTTACACGATGGCAGTTCAACAAAGGGATCTAATTCTCCCATGTGAATAATTATGGGAATTCTTAATCCAATTCCTGTGACCAAAGAAAGCAAAGCACACACAGAAAATGAAATGCAAAGTTGTGAAAATGGCACAGAAAATATAAAACTGATATTCACAATTGTAAATATGTATATATGTATTTTATATGCAAGTGCACGGTTACCACGTGTATCATTAATTTAGCATTTCAAGCATCTTTTGGGATCTGAATTCGAGACCTTGGAATTAAAGTCAAGCCAGTTTAGTTAGTGACCACAATGATTCGGGAAAGCAAACTTTATGATGTACACGTATTGACTATAGTTATAAAAATAAGGTGTTGCAATGGCGAGTAAAAGAATCACTTATATAGGAAGTCATTAGATCTGTACTCATTCGTAGTTTGAATGCATCTCCAAGGTTCTTAATTTAGCGGGGGAAATTGCTGGTCACAGTCATTAAAAAACAAGGTGGCCATCTTGGATGTTGAACTGACAGAAGTTTGAGTGAAAACCACACATACAATGTCGCTGCGATGACAACATCACACTGAACAGTCACAGTGACGTAAAAAGGAGGAGGGGGACAGGGGGCAATTGCCCCCTCCACTTTAGGAGTAGGGAGGTAGGGCAAACATATATTTTTGCTGCCCCTCCATTTTTATTTAAGCCTTTTAAAAGGGTATAATTTTCTTCGTTTTTACGGCATACAAAATACAAACAGAATTTTAAAAATTAATTTCACAAATTCCATTTGTCGTGGTAACGTTAGAAAATTCCAAAAAATCCTCATTTTCACCGTCTGATTCATTCCAGTGGTGTAGGAAGCCGGGGAGCAATTGCCCCTCACTTTTTGATAACTTCCTTCGCCACTAAAGTCATATTGCTTGCAAAATTCTAAAAGTGAAATCTTAAACCAGGAGTCAGAGAAAACTCGGTCTATATATAGTCTATTTTAATAATAATTATACATGCCTGTAGGAATGAGATGGAGAGTACGAGAGCTCCTACTTCAGTGAGAAGGCGGTTACCGTAAATTTCCATAAGAGCGTCCTTGCACCCTGTGCCGTGCAGCGTCACCTGGGCACGGTAATCGTAGTTGTAATGCATGTCATTGTCGTGTACGTGATGATGAACGCACGGACGGAGAACGTTAGCCACGCAGCAGCTGAATGGTACGTCATCATTCAGGTAGTCACCAGCTTTGTTTCTTGATGAATAAAATAATAGTTATCATCAGCATAAAGCTATACTACTGAGACATACAGTTTAGTCGTGTTATAACTCAGGGACCTGAGATTCAAGATTTACTGTAACAGATTAGTCCGCTCGTTAAAATGAGAATACGATGGTACGTAGGCTCGTTATGTTATAAAGTGACGTCGCAAAGCGAAATTGAGAGCGAATTCTATAGTTGCTTAAATATGATTTACATGTCAGATGTATTTAAATCGTCTCAAAAGTAGTAATGCATTATGAATGACGAATTTTACCTCGACAACAACTCTTTCTTGGCTTCTGGTATATACTCCTCGTGAATCCAGCTGACGTGGAACCAGTCAGTATACGATGTAACTCCACAGCATTTATAACTGATCTGAAGTGTGTCTAGCTCTCGTTTCTTCATTCGATCATTCTTGTAATCAAGCATTGCAGATGAAATACCCTTTTCGAAAGACGTTTCTAACATAGAAATCTGAACAAAACACATAATAGCAGACACAAAAACAACAGAAGCTAAGATAAGTTGTACTACGACAAGTGGAAGCAGGTACTTGCTCCAATCTAGTCTTTTCGAACAATCGCGATTTGACCAGCATGCTTTGCCACTCAATAAACCAACAACTGAACCAAAGAACCCGAAAACTATCATAAAAGCAGGCAAAATGTCACCGTTGAAACCTTCGATCAGACCTATCTGTTGCTGGATAGCTGTCTGTATGTATGCCCCAACTGAAAGTATTATTAATGACGGTACCACACAGATAATGTTCAAAACTCCTGACGCCTTTGCAGACATCTGGCGTGACCCTTCATTCATTTCTATCTCTGGGCAACCCATTTTTCGAAAATGTAGTGTTGGTGAGTTATCATCGGGAAGTACTGTCCACCATTTTGGAAAATAAACGTCATATTAGCGTAAATGACGTCATCGTTTTATGACGTCCCAAAATATGCTGACGTCAATACCAAATGTGTGATTTTTATTTTCTTTTTTGTTTCTCACACCCTAAAGTGGATCTGTAGTTTTTCAAATGGTACATATAGGTCTTTCAGCAAACTTAATTCGTGCTCTTCAATGTGAGTGGTAATCACAGGATCCAACATTTCCTGTAATTTGGTTTGCACATACACAAATATGGCGGCGATTTCTCCGCTACGGAAGCAAGTGGTGAGTTTGACATTCGCGATTTCTTCGGGTGATCTGGTCATGCAAATATTCTTTCCGATATGCCGCATGTCTTCTCATGGAGTCACAATGACAGAACACAAAACTTATTTCCTTTTCACTCCAAAAAGCTGCAATTAAATCAAATGAAAACTGCAATATTCGCGTCTTTCTCAAAATGCAAGTACATATTCTTCTATGCTGACAGATCATAATTCAGAAGTGCAGAAAGACTGAGACGAGAGCGGGTCAGTGGTATGCTGTATATGTAAATACCGAACTACAGTATCCTAGTCTGACAAGAATATCAACATTCGGTAAAACAAACTTTAATTTTCTTCTTTATAACCTGACGTCTTAGTGTTAGTACAATAATTAGACTGTTTTTACCCGGTTGGAAAAAAGACGCTTTGTAGCTGAATTTAGTTTTTGGCTTGTAATTTTGTTCTGAGACTTGCTTAATATTTTTTTCACAATATTCTATACGACGGGTCCTCCAATCAACGGAATAACTACTGAGTAATGAAACCCGGGAAGCTACAAATTTGAAGGCGTCGTCGTCATGGTCTCTTTGGACTGGATGGAGCTGACATAGAGGTTGGTGTTTCTCGCCTTTCTCTGTAACTGCTCTGTCGAATGGATGTAGCCGTCTTTGAGGGTGATACACCTCACCGATTCGATCGGGCGTCGTCCTGGATGTGCGAGACGACAGAACTCAGACTGTTCGAAATGTTGCTCCGTTTGGAAACAAATCGAAGATTAGCTTGTGAAATGTATATACTGAGCCCCCATCACCCATATGCGCAAAAGGCGAAATTTTACAGAGACTAAGATGTAAGATAAAACAAAGCCAATATGGTACAAATACAGGTCGTAGGAACTGTAAAGAAAGACTTTTCAAGTAAGTAACAGGAGGACTTATCGTTATAAAACCAAGAGGCTTATAACTTTAACTTGAATACCTTTATGTGCTTTTGAAACCAAGCCTTTTTATCGGACTTCTCTTGGTTGCACAAATCGCAAATATTGCAGAAAATTATTTATCATTTAATAATGAGACATTTTGATACACAGTGCGGGGTCATAGAAAGTGGTGACTAGTGGACATCTTGAATTTTCACAGCGTAAGTATGAGTACTTTATTAATCTTTCGCAAATTTCAATGTGCATGTTTCGCATAATACGTTGATGTACATTGTACCCGTTGAACTTTGAGACAAGATGGGAAAGCACATGCTGTCATCTTAAACAGGGACGTATATATTAGTGATATATACGTCCCTGTCTTAAAGAAGTGCTCGACTGATCTTTCCATTTCAAATACTTGTTCCTTTTGGTCTCTCAATATGCTACGGCTCTTTGTCACGACCGTAGACAAAAAAAGCATGGCTGACATCTTGAATTTTGACAATTGATTTTTTTAAGAGTTGATTTTTCTGCAATAAGCAAGATTATGGTCGTATATTAGAGTTGAAGGTTAACGTTAGCTTATTACTGTGCATGTTTATGATTGAAAATAATTGCGAGAAAAGTTGCCAGCAGACGGTCTTTTGTAATTTGCTCACTAAAGACAGCTTGATATCTGCTATAATGTTTTTTATACGTAATTAATTTCAGCGCCGAGGGAGATAACTTCTTTGATATAAAAGATGGGTACGATTTTTTGATATATTTTCAAGTTTTCTAATCTTGTGTCGTCTATATATATGTATTAGTTTGCGGAACTTTATTGTTGATGCCTATAGAGGCCCTTATCCGGTTTTATTTGCACTCAAGGGGAAAATGCTTTACAACCTAACACCAAGCTGTACGGTTCACTACTAATGATCAAAGTCCACCACGCTGTGATACGTACACTTGGGCCTAAAGTTCAGAATCAGAGGCTGAACGTGAGCTCTTCACCAATGGAGGTAGGATTAGTTGATGACATGGCGGTCAGACTACTTCTGTTTGTATTTTCATGCATCGTTTTAGGTAACCATGCAGAGCAGTCATGTGGAATTGCAAATGTTCAGGTTGAGAACGAAGACGGGACTACTCAAGTGTTTGAAGTGAAGCGGCTCGAGCCGGTGAAAGGCGAATCATGCAGTCTGTGTACTCTGAAACCCGTCAACTTTGTACCACGGTTGACAGCACTCGAGTCCAATGTTTTCCTAGCAGTGGGAGAAGTCGTCTCACAGTGTGGTAAACAAATATGCTATCTTTCACGTGTATTTAATGAGTTTCCCTATAGCAGTGGCGATAGCAATTTTTTTTTGGTCCGGAAAAATAGTCATGGTCATGATAAAATATTGTGTTATCCTGCTAGCTATATTGACTGGTCAATTATAGTCCGAAGGGGTCAAAAATGAAAAAAAAGTCATAACCTATTGGACGATTGTAATTTTAGCAGATGTTCACTATCAGGTAATTGTCATAGGTAATTGTCATAGGAAATTGTATTAACAACTGATTTTGATGATATTTTTAATTGTTGTAGTCATTCAATTAAACTTTATATGAAAATCAGAAGGATTAACAGTACATACACACCTGATCATAAAACAGTGACATAGATTAGTCATCATATATTATTATGCCTTGGTGCACTTTATATCACATTTTGTTTATACATATATCAATAGATGTACCATGGTAATCTTTTAAGTATTTATTTTGGTGGCTGTCAGTATCTGACCATTATCAAGACATTTTATAACTGTGCTCAAAAGTTACCCTTTGTTTCTGACAGAATTATACAACACAATATTAAAGCTGATTCACAGGTCAGGTAGAGTGTTGAATTGGTTTATTCTGTTACAAATCTCCACACAGTTTACAACTCCCACTTTCAATAGTAATATTACTTTTACAGGGTTAATCTTGCAATACCAAAAAGACAATGTATACACTTTCTTGCAAGTAACTTTCATTTTTTTGCAAATGGAACTTGATATTGATATGAAATTGTAACATTAACTCTAATATGTCATAGCAGCAGTAAGTTACTTGTCTGGTGACAGATAGCATAATTAGCTCATGAGTGTCCATCCAATTTGTGGATCCCTGGTACAAATCATGGTTTTGCCCAGTTACATCCATCTTCTGTTATATTGTTATCAGTGAAAACAACCCTCAATTTAAGCATGCTCTTCAATGTTGCCAACTCACCTGATTTTGCCAGGTCATCATGATATTAGCAATATCATGACTTGTTCAAAACGTGAAGAATACCAGAAACACTTGATATTAATTTACTTTCATCACTGTTTAAAAATTGCTAATCAGTTTTTGAATCGAATATATATTCAAAGTAATGTTCAAACCAAATATGGAACATCTCTATATGTACAAATGTAGTAACTGTACATTTTAATTTCTCGTAAGGAGACCCATTCATGCACTATTCACCCAAGATTTTAAAGGGCTATGACCATATATTAGATGGCTATATGTTTGCAATACTGTTTCTTGTGACAAGGAAACTACTGAATGTTTACAGGTAAAAAATTCAGTAATAAGGAAAGGCTAAAGACAGAGGAAAGTGTTTGACAGGACTGAATATGATATTTTCTTTTGTGTTTATAGATGGAATGGTGTTTGCATATTCTTTTTTTATTAGATGACCCCAGTGCTGATCTACCTGAAGGACTATGTTCCTCCTTCAAGGACACTGGGCATTGTTCCAAGGATTCTGTATGCAGCCATGAACCTGAGGTAAATATAAACTCTATAATATCTGGTTTCACATGTAATGATTATAAATATTTTAACGTTTTATTATATCACAGGACATGATATTATTTTTGAAAAATAACTTTTTCCCTTTTTTCATTTAAAGGACCTTGCAGATGTTATCGTGAAGAAGGGTTTTGTGCCAATGTCAACTGGAGATGTGGAAACTGATAAGCAATTGGGTACGGGAAAAAATACTGAGTAACTTGTCTTTTTTGTTATTGATAACTGTAAGTACTGCATCAGATCCATTAAGTGCCCATGTTGCTATAAGTGGATGAAGCTTTCCCCATTTATAAGCTCCTAACACTCACCGTTATGCACGATCAAGAAGGTTTTTGAGCCTGTTTAAGTAAATCAGGTCCCCTAGCATCAGAAGAAGACTACTAATTATCATGGATAATTAAACATTACATGAACAAGTTTATTGCTACCATTTATCAAAAAGTGTTTCGTACCTTTTTTTTTTGATCACAGCACATATCCACATAGTAAGTAAAATCTTGATATTGTTAAATTTGACTGTTTGCTTTAATTAGCTAATGAAGACTGTACCTGTTTTCTTGTAGGAATTGTTAAATATGATTTAATAATTTCTATTTTGTAGCTTTAGGAATAGTTTTGATGAACTCTGGAAGTCTTGAGGAATCAATTAAGGTTTTGCTGACTGTGATAAGGGTAAGTAGCTAGATTTGTAATTATTATAGATACAGACTTGAAAGTACCAAGTAAAGTTTATGACCTTAGTATGTTTATAAAGATATGCATCCATTATATAAGATTTACAGCAGGAAATCTTAAAAGCTTGTAGGTAGAAGAGTGAGTTATAATGGAGAAATGCCCTACATCTTTAGTTCATTCCATAATATAAGGAAAGAAGAGTTATACCTCATCTTATGTGGTATTTCACACTTGGAAAAAAAAAAATCAATCTTGGTCTTTATTGAAGATAGCAGTAATAGGGAGAAAGGCTTCAATTTTAGCATGGAGTGGTTTAAGTTTAACAGGTTAAAGTGTTTACTTCAAGTTCCTACATTATCATTGTGTATACTTTTTAAATGACCCATTGTACTTATCTGGCAATATGCATATGTCTTGAAATAAGCCCACACATATCTAGCAAAATTTCAGTAAAAATTGCAATAAATACTTCGTAATTGGTCTTTGATAAGCATGGTCAGAGTAGTTTGATAGTGAACAATGGTGAAATGAAAGAAATTTTTATAAGCATTAAGGTCCATTGAATCACTGAAAAAAAAAATCATATGTCTTCTAATGTTTATCACTTATTGATATTTCAAGGATAAACCCGAGACACTGGCAGCCTACTACATTCTTGGAATTGCTCACGTGAGGAGAGGTGTTCAGGTTTGTATCATACTATTTTCCCCAATATTGACAGGGAATATATTTATGAACAAATGCATGTCACTTACTTCACATACTTATATCTAATCTATGTTGTATTCATTCATTATCAAAAATATATCAAACCCATTTATTGTTATCTTGAATTCATCATGGCAGGGGTCATAAGCACACATCTTACCATAGATACTATTACCTCACTGGAGGTTAATGTGAACATAACAAGAGAAGTCATTGTTATGACCATGTGTATCAATTACCAGAGTGTATCTAGATGAGGTTGCTGGAATGTTAAGCTTGTGTTTAATCATGGCCTTGAGGCAGTGCCTAATCAATTCACTTTTTAGTGTAATGTCAGTGTGATAAGCCAAAGTCTTTTCAAGTCTGTTAGAGAATGTCTGATCAAATTATGTTTTAGTGTAATGTCAGTGTGATAAGCCAAAGTCTTTTCAGTTCTGTTAGATAGTGTCTGATCATGTCAGTTATAACAATTTCATGGTAAAGTCTGGAGTTCTGAAATGTTCTTTATCAAACAAAGTTTCATGGTAACCTATTGCAATTGCCTTTTGTCCTGCATTGTTTGTCAATAAACTTTCAACTTCTGAACCAATTTTAATGAAATTTTGCAGAAACCTTCCCTGACTAAAGATGAACCAAAATAGTGAATTAGATATATATATATACACTGGTATTGTAGATGTGCATAATCTATATCAAGTCGAGTTACTTCCTCATTTCGGAAAGTTATGCCTCATTGGATAGCATTGATGTACCAGCTACTTCTCCTTTACTACTGAGTGGATTTCAACAAAATTTGCTGGCAGTAATTCTTATACATTGCAAATATGGGTAATTTATATCAGGTTTATTATCTGTCCTTTTTGGAATCTTATGCCCTTTTGGGAACTCAACAATGTACCAGCTACTCTTAAACTACTGACTGGATTATATATATCACATGTGAACAAAATAAAATACCATTTTCTTATTCTACAAGTAACTCTGTTGGCAGGGGTTATGAATTGGCCCCAAGACAACAATTCTAGTTTTTCATCAAAAATTACTTGTAAAGAATTACCTGGTATTAGTATAGGATGATAGTTTTGATAGTATGCATATATTGACACTGATGGGCCCCCAAAGTCTTAAAACACATCAAGTCTTACTATCATTAATGTTGCAATTTCTTTTTTGGGACACTTGAAAGCTAATTACTTGATAAACATTAATAGTCAGTATTGCTTACCTCAGGTAACCATCAAGGCCACTAGACCTCGTCTTATTTCAAACTTTAATTGTGAATTAATCAAAAAAGTTTTGTTATTTGTGCATCAATATTTGTTTGTTATTTTGTAGGAGAGAGGTAATGCTGTGAGTGCCATGCGAGACTTCACTGAGGCCATAAAGAGAAGTACCACACAGTTTGAACCATATGCCAGACGGGCTGAGGTAAATATATAATCTACATACACACACAATGTAATTAAAAGTTGGTAACCTCTGAAATATCATTTTTGCAATGTATTATGACATGTCTTTCAGATACAGGTCTGTGGCGTCCAAGTTGTTCACGAAATATCAAAGATAAATAGGATAAAACAATACTTTGATATTGATGACATTTATGATAGTTGGTTTAAATTAGTCCCACTTTTAGGGTCAATAATGTGAAATTTAAACATATTATGAAAAGCATTGAATACTAGGTGAGTGATGCAAATCCACTGGGTTTTTTGTTTACTTCATGGGTGTTTTGATGGGAAATAGAAAATTAAAATGTAGTTCTGACTGTTATGATACCTAAGATTTACCCATATTTTGGAACACATAATTCGTGTTGGTAATGTCAATAGAAGTTACAACCTTAGTATTCTTAGAATTATAGTACAGTGGAAAAAGTAGATTTCTTACCATCTCTTACACTAGATACATCAGTGCAAGTATGCTTCACACTGGTCATATGTCTGTTTAAGGTGACTGTGTAGTCATCGAAACATCGCATACTAATCTTCTACAGGTTGTGTTATAAAAACTTCTATTCTATGAAATTTAGCTAATTTTCATTTTTGTTTGTGCAGCTTCATTTGGCTTTAAAAGATTATGATGAGGCTTTAAGAGACCTGATTAGGGCAGAGGAATTTCACCCTGACAGCAAAGTATACTTCATGAGGGGTATCATCCATCTGCTTTTAGAGGTAAGCTACCATATAGTCCACTAGTAAGCTAAGTTTACCATATAGTCCACCAGTAAAGTAAGCTTACCATATAGTCCAGCAGTAAGGTAAGCTTACCATATAGTCCATCAGTAAGATAAGACCACCATATAGTCAAAATGTAAAGTAAGTTTACCATGGATTCCATCAGTAAAGCAAACTTACCATATAGTCCACTTGTAAGGTAAGTTTACCACAAGAGTCCACCAGTAAAGTAAACTTACCTTATAGTCCACAAGTAAATTTAGCTTACCATATAGTCCAGCAGTAAGGTAAGATCACCAGATAGTCCACCAGTAAGCGCTTAATATTGAGTTCAGAGAAAAACACATCCTTTTATTTCAAACTATCAGTTTTGATAAGCAATTCTTTAATGGATTCAGGTGTTCTTTATGTACCAGATTTGATAATAATTTTCTGTCTAGGTATATTTTGAACCCTTTCAAGTTTGTTTCATTTATATTTCGAATTGTTCAAACTTATCATGTGACCACACATCTCTCTGTTGTAAAAAGGCATCGCAATAATTGCTCCATGTGGTCACTATTCACGTCAGTGTTTAACACTTGGGTAGTAGGCTTTAAATGATGCAATTGATAGCGTCAGATTATACACATAGATGTCACTTAGCATTGATTTGTAGTGTGATTTATTTCACATCTTGACATAACAATGTGGGTGTGCCTGCTAACATGACTAGAGGCCCTAAATATATATGGACCATGGGATGTCAGTGTGTGTTTTGTCAAAAGATTAACATTGTTCCACTTCACATTTTGAAAAAATAATCAGGTCAAGACTGTCCCAATGATTGCAATATTCTTAAAGATTTTAACAAACATAAATCTGTAGCCATATTAAATCTCAATCCATACTTTGTCAATGCTAACTTCCGCCAATACACAAGCAGATTCGTCACAGTCTCCAAATTTATGAATATCAAAATAAAACTTGTGATTTCTTAACAGTTGATTAACATGTATTGCATTACAGTAAATGTTTTAAATGGTAATAATTTTATAATCGAACCCATCCCTCAAGAGAATGTAATTTCCGACTGGTAGTTTCCTGCCCTGCGAGGGCACTTTTAAATAGTTATGATATAGGGTAATGTTTTTACTCTGATAGTTCAAAGAGATAGTTTCAAGAGCACAAGAGCATAATTTTTATGTGTGCAATTTGAACAGGTTCAACAATATTTAAGTAATTTTGTTCAAACTGACCAAAGGTTTACTGTATATGTGATTAAGCAGATTTTTTATGATGTGAACTACTAGAAATGTGTCTTCATTTGAAGATGTTTACGAAAAAGTCTGAAATGTTACAGAAAATTTAATAAATGAGTACAGAAATAATTACAACTTGATAAAATTGTGAAAAAAGAAACTTTGTTTTTTTTTTGTAGAACTTTGTTGAAGCAGAGGATGATTTTAAGATGAATCTGAAGAATGAGGATCACTTATATCTAGCCTCTTATTATCACCTGGGGCTGACACTGTACTACCGTGGTAAAATCAGGGTAAGTCATCACTTCAGGGGTGAAATAAAAGTAAGTTCATACTACAGGGAAAAATAAGGATAAATCAATGGTACCAGGGTAAAATAGGATATATTCAATAATGAGTAAAATCAGGGTAAGTTTACTACAGGGTAAAATCAGTGTAAGTTTACTACATGGTAAAATCAGTGTAAGTTTACTACATGGTAAAATCAGGGATAAGTTTACTACAGGGTAAAATCAGTGTAAGATTACTATATGGTAAAATCAGTGTAAGTTTACTATATGGTAAAATCAGTGTAAGTTTACTACATGGTAAAATCAGTGTAAGTTTACTACATGGTAAAATCAGGGTAAGATTACTACATGGTAAAATCAGTGTAAGTTTACTACATGGTAAAATCAGTGTAAGTTTACTACATGGTAAAATCAGTGTAAGTTTACTACATGGTAAAATCAGTGTAAGTTTACTATATGGTAAAATCAGTGTAAGTTTAAATGGTAAAATCAGTGTAAGTTTACTATATGGTAAAATCAGTGTAAGATTACTACATGGTAAAATCAGTGTAAGTTTACTACATGGTAAAATCAGTGTAAGTTTACTACATGGTAAAATCAGGGTAAGTTTACTATATGGTAAAATCAGTGTAAGTTTACTACAGGGTAAAATCAGGGATAAGTTTACTACATGGTAAAATCAGGGTAAGTTTACTACATGGTAAAATCAGTGTAAGTTTACTACATGGTAAAATCAGTGTAAGTTTACTACATGGTAAAATCAGGGTAAGTTTACTATATGGTAAAATCAGTGTAAGTTTTATTACATGGTAAAATCAGTGTAAGTTTACTACATGGTAAAATCAGTGTAAGTTTATTACATGGTAAAATCAGTGTAAGTTTACTACATGGTAAAATCAGTGTAAGATTACTATATGGTAAAATCAGGGTAAGTTTACTATATGGTAAAATCAGTGTAAGTTTACTATATGGTAAAATCAGTGTAAGATTACTATATGGTAAAATCAGGGTAAGTTTACTATATGGTAAAATCAGTGTAAGTTTACTACATGGTAAAATCAGTGTAAGATTACTACATGGTAAAATCAGTGTAAGTTTACTACATGGTAAAATCAGTGTAAGTTTACTATATGGTAAAATCAGTGTAAGTTTACTACATGGTAAAATCAGGGTAAGTTTACTACATGGTAAAATCAGTGTAAGTTTACTATGTGGTAAAATCAGTGTAAGTTTACTACATGGTAAAATCAGTGTAAGTTTACTATATGGTAAAATCAGTGTAAGTTTACTACATGGTAAAATCAGGGTAAGTTTACTACATGGTAAAATCAGTGTAAGTTTATTACATGGTAAAATCAGTGTAAGTTTACTACATGGTAAAATCAGTGTAAGTTTACTATATGGTAAAATCAGTGTAAGTTTATTACATGGTAAAATCAGGGTAAGTTTACTATATGGTAAAATCAGTGTAAGTTTACTACATGGTAAAATCAGGGTAAGTTCACTATATGGTAAAATCAGTGTAAGTTTACTATATGGTAAAATCAGTGTAAGTACTACAGGGTTTTACTATATGGTAAAATCAGTGTAAGTTTACTACATGGTAAAATCAGTGTAAGTTTACTATATGGTAAAATCAGTGTAAGTTTATTATATGGTAAAATCAGGGTAAGTTTACTATATAGTAAAATCAGGGTAAGTTTACTATATGGTAAAATCAGTGTAAGTTTACTACATGGTAAAATCAGTGTAAGTTTACTACATGGTAAAATCAGTTTACTACATAAAATCAGTTTTACTATATGGTAAAATCAGGGTAAGTTTACTATATGGTAAAATCAGTGTAAGTTTACTATATGGTAAAATCAGGGTAAGTTTACTATATGGTAAAATCAGGGTAAGTTTGTTATATGGTAAAATCAGTGTAAGTTTATTATATGGTAAAATCAGTGTAAGTTTACTACATGGTAAAATCAGGGTAAGTTCACTATATGGTAAAATCAGTGTAAGTTTACTATATGGTAAAATCAGGGTAACTTTACTATATGGTAAAATCAGTGTAAGTTTACTACATGGTAAAATCAGGGTAAGTTTACTACATGGTAAAATCAGGGTAAGATTACATGGTAAAATCAGTGTAAGTTTACTATATGGTAAAATCAGTGTAAGTTTACTATATGGTAAAATCAGTGTAAGTTTACTACATGGTAAAATCAGGGTAAGTTTACTATATGGTAAAATCAGTGTAAGTTTATATGGTAAAATCAGTGTAAGTTTACTACATGGTAAAATCAGGGTAAGTTTACTACATGGTAAAATCAGGGTAAGTTTACTATATGGTAAAATCAGTGTAAGTTTACTACATGGTACATGGTAAAATCAGTGTAAGTTTACATATATGGTAAAGTTTACTAATGGTAAAATCAGGGTAAGTTTACTATATGGTAAAATCAGTGTAAGTTTATTATATGGTAAAATCAGGGTAAGTTTACTATATGGTAAAATCAGGGTAGGTTTACTATATGGTAAAATCAGGGTAACTTTACTATATGGTAAAATCAGGTGTAAGTTTATACATAGGTAAAAAAATCAGGGTAAGTTTATTATATGGTAAAATCAGGGTAAGTTTACTATATGGTAAAATCAGTGTAAGTTTATTATATGGTAAAATCAGTGTAAGTTTATTATATGGTAAAATCAGGGTAAGTTTACTATATGGTAAAATCAGGGTAAGTTTACTATATGGTAAAATCAGGGTAAGTTTACTATATGGTAAAATCAGTGTAAGTTTACTATATGGTAAAATCAGGGTAAGTTTACTATATGGTAAAATCAGGGTAAGTTTACTATATGGTAAAATCAGGGTAAGTTTACTATATGGTAAAATCAGGGTAAGTTTACTATATGGTAAAATCAGGGTAGGTTTACTATATGGTAAAATCAGGGTAAGTTTATTATATGGTAAAATCAGGGTAAGTTTACTATATGGTAAAATCAGGGTAGGTTTACTAAATACAGTGTAGCATTAGGCTAAGTATTTACTATGGAGTAAAATCAGAGTAAATATTTAATACTGGATGAGTACTTCTGTATTAAGGGATAAAACCAAGGTAAATATATATTACATATGTATCTTTAGTATTAATTTGGTTTTGTGTTTCTTCTTTCTAGAATGCCATTGAAGTGTTTAAAGAGGTTTTAAAAATCAAACCTGATTTTGTTGATGCCTCTACAAGTTTAGCACAAGCTTTCAGGTAAGATACACCATTTGGTTTTTCTTTCACAAAACTTTTCCTCTGGTAATGCAACACAAATCTGTCTAACTGAAACTGTTGAGATATCACATTATTTATGGTGCCTATTTGTTTGTTTCAAAAGAAATACATCAAGATTCTTTTATCTTTTATCATAGAGAACTAGGTAACTTGCGAGCTTCCCGTGCTAAGTTCAACCATTCATTAAATACCAACCCCAGTCACAGCCAGACACTCCAGCTAAGAGGAAATATGTTGTACCACAGTGGAGAGACTGTGAAGGCTGCCCAGGACTTTAAAGTATGTACAGTGATACACTGATAATATTTTTGTTAACAAATTTTACATTGCATAATTTTGATATACAATGTAGTTATTATTTCTTTTTAAATTAACATTCCATTGGTTTTTTTAAATGTATTTTTTTGTCTAGAATAAAAAGCCTGTATTGGTTCAAAACCATGGGTATACTTGAATTCTCATCCATTTACATATCACAAGTGATTTATTTCCTGTAAAATTCCTACAGCTGTGATAAGCATTAATTTTCGCTTTTGTTTCAGAAATGTTTAGAAATAGATCCGGAGAACATCAACTGTCAGTATATGTTAGCGTTGTGTGATGCAGCAATGGGCCGGTTTTATGAGAGTGTCAAGTCTACAACTAAAGTAAGTATTGTTAATACTGAATGTTAGTGCTATACTTTTTACACTATATTATTGCTTAAAAGTTTCAGTGGTAATCAGTGTACTTTAAATTCATACCTTTCTAAATAAAAAAAAAAAAATTTTCTGCTGGTAATTCTGTTGTGTTAATAAATGATTTAAGGGCACAGATAGTCTAGTTTCCATCAGAAAAATGATGAAATACTTGATTATTGGACACCAATACATTTTTTTAATAATCTTCAAAAGCCGTGAACCATTTACAGAGGTGTTATTAGGGCACAGCGATGCACTCTTGGAGAGATTGCTAATTTGTATGATTGAGAAACTGTTATGTACTCAGATTTTTATATTGATTATCAGGACATAAATTAATTAATGAGATAATGAGACATTGATAGTACACAATATCAATTGAGATTTGAGATATTCATTAAAGTACTCAAAAATTCATGAAACACTTGAAACATGTGCAAAATTGATGAATAAGATGTACATGCATTTAGAAGAAACACATTAATTGATTACTTGTTTGAAATGCTTTCAGGAAATGATGACAGGTTTAAAAAGAGCAAAACGATATCTTGGTAATATTTAGATAGATTTTAGTGTAAAGGGTAAATTTGAGAAACATAGCTACATGTAAAGAATGAAAGGTAAAAACACATAGCTTTAATCTGTAAGATTGTTTAAAAACCCCCACACATTTTAGGTAAAGATTCAATTGTTGACTCATTGCTTTTGTTATGTTGTATAGGTGATGGTGAAAAATTCCAATGTTATGAGGGCCTCGCCAGAATTTTTGAAAGCACATTATCTAAGAGGTTTGTAGGAATAATTTATTGTTTACATGTAAAGCTATTCAGAAATTACTATTATTCAATTTGATTTGATTGTATTTTATCATTCTGGTGATGAAACGGTTCTTAGTTTGGTATAGGTTGATCATTATAATCTTATTGGAAATGTTCAATGTAAGGAAAAAGATGCCTGAATATATTTCAAGTTTCCAGGTTGAAGGTTTATGTTGATTTTGTTATCTTTTACAAACAGAATATGTACGATATCTACATTCCCACCTCGATCAGCCTATAACAGACTTAAAGCTGGACGAAGATTTATCAGAGGAATTCAGAGATCACTGGGCCAAACTTTTACCTTTCCAATTTCGAAATGCATATAAAGAGCAGCCAGGCTTACAACCAGATATAAAGTGAGTAGGTTTAAATATACAAAGGACTGCTGTCAGTTTAAAAGTTTGCTTATTTCAAGATACTATTATAATTTTACTGTTTTACCAGGTACTCAGTAAAACAAATTTAATAGGGTAGAGGCAACATTTAGATCAAAAGGGATTTTCAACATTGCCAACCCTTCCGATATTTTCAAAAATCCATATGATTAATATATTCAGTATACTGATCTTCATTTTCTTCTTCTTTTGCTTTAGGAGGGAAAGATTGATAGGGATCGATAACTACCAATTCTACTTTACTTTCCGCTAAATTTGATATATAAACATATTAACACTTCTTTGTTTTCTTTTCAGAGATGTTGTACCTACATTGATAAAACAATATCCTACCAATATACAGAATTTAATATGTAAAGCAGATAAAATAGGGATGTTAACCCAGGTAAACACAGATGGCTACACCCCTAACAGAAAGCTTAATATGGCTATGGGATTGGCATCAATACATATATCACAAATTTTAGAGGTAAGTGTTACTGGTATTTAAATAGATCAGAAAAAAATGGCTTTTTCAGACTTTGAAAACTTTTATGATAATGGCTAAAGGCACAACAAACTGAATGAGTTATAAAAGAGATTAAACTGATTTTCAATTGATTATTTGTAAAAGTGTTCTTGGATTCTCTGTTTTCTATGCCAAAATTTCGGTCTTGTTTTTTAATGGCCTCTACATTTTACCAAGTGCATATACTATTACCCTGTACCTTTTGTCTCATCCTGACATGAATAAATTTCGTCACTCCAGCAACTTCATTTTATAAGGGATTTTTATGAAATTAAAAACCAAAATTTTGTGTCAGATTTAGTTAATGGTGTTTTCTATTGTTATTGCAGGCAAGATGGAAAGGATTACGACAAAACAAACAAATGGGTAAACTAATTTCTTAATTACATGTACAACAAAAAATAGAAAATGACTTTATCTATTGACCAAGTCCCCTCGGTAGTGATTTCTGTAATCCTGAGTAAGAAGTTATACTTAAAAGTCTAAAGTTGATAGATTCACATAAACCTACTTATGAAATAGTTGTTAAAAATGGATGGCTGAAATATGTCTTTATTCATTATTATTAGCTTTATATATGTTTGACAAATATTGTATGTTACAGAACGATCATTAACCTGGAGAGAGATTTTTGATGTAGCTGTGAAGTATCGTCGCCTGGTAGACCCAGAACAGGCAGTACTATGGCTAGATACAATGCCTGATCATACTACTGATGGTTACAGAACTGATATTAGCTTTATAAGGTAACATGTGTAAATTATAGGGCTTCTCTTATTGATCATCAAAATAGTAAGAAAGACAAATTTAGAAAGATTCTAATGAACACTTTTACGCTTCAAAAGATAGAAAAATCTCCAAGAATAAATTATCAATATGTTCAGATGTATGTTGTAGTTCGCCTGCTAGATTACAAGAGGATACATTCTTGTATATAGAGCCATTTTTACAGTGAATGTGCAACGACCTTTATGATAAATTACCTGGTGGAAATATCAAGGTATGATTGTAACCAGGCAAGGAAGACGTGTAAGACTAGCCTATGATGATAAAATAAATATGAAAGTGACGAGATTACCAGGATTTTATGCATTTGGCTACATACAAATGTTGGGTTATTTTTGTAATGTGAATTTGTAAGAAAATCTGCAAAATGTACCTTTTATAACTTTTGCCAGTGGAGTGTTTTGTTGAATTCTAGGTTTTAGAAATTGACAAAAGCAGTGTGTAAACATTTTGATCAGTGTATGTCTTTATCTGTTTTTCATACAGAATTATGTATCATGAAATTAAACCAGGAGTTCAGAGAACCTATGTTGACATTTCAATGAATCACAGTTTAATGTCAAATGTGCTAACAAGACCACTGTCTATAACATGAAGCTACCAAAGTGTTGCTGTCTAAAATTGTGATTTTATAATGAAAAATTCTTAATCAATTGTCAAATGATGACGGGTTTTATTTTGTACTTAATTCTATATAATAATGATATGGCTTACATTCACTCCATAGTGTTTTGACTGGACATACTTTTTTGCACTAACACATATAAGGGTAGTATGCTAATTTTTATATATACTGATAGTCTAGGTGCAGAAAACTCAGATTTTCTTGGTCAATCTACGTGTCGGAATTCCAAACTACTTACTGAACATACACTATACAATTTAGCTGGAAAGGGCATCAGGTTATGTTTAGTTGGCAAGTTTGTAAAGTTATGGCAGAAGAAGTCAATGCAATACTTTTTAAAGCATGTGACATAAATGGAACTAGAACAGAAAAGACAAACGCAAATTTTAAATATTTTTTGCCATTTTGATATGGTCCACCTGAACCAATTTTGTGAAATTAGATGCATGCAGTAAGTTTTATTTTATATCTGTCTAACTTTGTGTTTCAGGGGGTCTGTGTATAATGTTAAAGTGTTACAGTACTTTGACCTGGTATTTAAATTAGGAAAGACTATGTTGGAACACTTTTCTGGGTAAGTAGACTCTATGTTAGTACATATTGGTAGATTGTGTTACCCTGCCATTTTATTGGGGATGCATAACACACATGAATTTTCCTGCGTAATATTCTTTTTTGAGTATCTTTTAATCTGGAAGCAGAAAGTATTTTTCCTCATTTTTGATGGGAAGGGGGAGGCTTATTTGCAAGCAACCCCTGTTCCTGGAAGACATGTGACAGTGGGGAGGGGGCTTATTTGCAGTAAAATATAGTAGTATTACATATATCAATCTGCCATGACATCCTGTCCTGTGCCATTCTGAATCAGTTTCTAATCCAGAGAACCACTCCAAAGATTTGGTTCCTATTTATCTCATTCTATCATGACATCAAGTTCTACGACTGATCAGATTAAGGTGGTTGTCACTTTAGTTAAAAAGGTCATAGGTCACATGGGACAACATCTGCAAATTCATTAAATCATGATGCTTTTATGCATGGGAATAGGTACATTCATGTGTTAATTACCTTTGTCTAGTTTATTTACTTTTTTAAGATACTGTGCTATAAATGTACTTTTCCATTTTACTCTCAGACAATTGATGTTTTTAATGTTTTATGTTTATCCACATTTGTTTTTATTTATTTCTTATATTATTATTATTTTTGTTACAGAGAAGGATCAGTAACATATTCTGGATTAAAAGATGATATTGAAAAAGCTAAAACTTGTGAAGATTTATTAGACATTGCTAAAGTAAGTATCTCTGTCCTGTATCAAAGTTTCATTTCAGACTAGAAATGTTGTTCCTTAATAAAGTATTGAATGCCATGTTTACAATTGCATTGTATCATCAATTGTATTATAACTGTTATAAAGGTTGCACCTAGAATTTAAAAGCCCTCATTTCATACTTCATTGAGATGCATATTTGCTTATGAGTGAGGAATGTATTCTTGTGAGAAACACAAATTTTTGGTCAAGGTTCACCTAATTTTGTTGCAAAAACTATGCTGAAATGCTACTGAGCTTTGATTTGATTTCTATTTTTTCCCGTTTACTTTTAAGAATCTGTACAATCACTATTGATTATGTTTTTTGTACAGCATTTTGGCATGCTGGTATGCAGTTTCATAATGCTGTTTGTCCAGTATATGGACATTATATAGGAGTTTCCTCTCTTTCTTCATACTGTTCCCATGATGAATATGTTTTTTTACTTTTTCCTCAAATAGCTCAACCGATGATTTTATTTTGTTTAAACATAATTGAACTTGGTATGATAGGATGAGATATCTTTGGTCATTAGAGAGTTAAGATTGTTTGTTGTCTCGTTTGAACACTAGTGACAGCCATGCTGTTGAAATACGCAGATGGCACTATATGCTGAGAGGATAGAAAAAGTTGCCTGTTTATACATACCTGTAGACTGAAAAGAATTTGAAATTAGTACATGATTTAAGTGTTTTTCTGGTGATAATATATGGTAAAAAGAAATACATTGATAAGCATGTGGTTTAATGTATTACAGGCATGATTGGTTTCATAGCATGTTTTTCCTTTGTATGGAATTTTGAAGCTTTGAGGTTATACTAGTAACATCAAACACAATTAATCTATAATTTTTCCAAATTATTTTCTATATCATTGAGTGATTGGGTATTTGTAGATATATTCTGTATTCTACAAGGATGTAAGTAACTTGAGATCTTAATGGTCTTTCCTGACTTCTATATAACTGTAAATTTCATTTTAGATTTTGTTTAAGTGAACAATGCACAATTTATTGTTCTAAACTTTCCCTAGTTATTATCTTTTAGTTTTTTGTTTGTTTCTTGTTTTAGTTTGTGCTTTTTGTGTTTTGTTTTTGTTTTTCCTTAAATTCTGCTGTTTGTACCTTTTTGTGTTATTGCCCTCAGAGATTTTTTTATCATTAGTTTTGTTCACTTTTGTATATGGTGCATTTAGATTTGGTTTACCTCACAAAATTATTAGAAATAAGATGTGTTTATGAAATATTATGCCCCAAGTTGCAACAAAATTCTAAAATGGGACATTAAAACTATACTGTGTAAGGCATGTGCTAATTGCATGCACACATTTTGAAACACTTGTCTTCGTTGTGCAATCATTAAGGCCAATGTTTTAAAATTTTCAAATGTAGGTTAAAGGTCACAGTCAATGTCAAATGACCAAAAAGTTTGGTACAACTGTAAAGGACTTCTCACAAGGAAAATACATCCCTAATATGAAAGCACTACCTCTTAAGGTGCAAAATTTATGGGCAAGGTTATAGTTGACAACAGACAAACAGACAGATAGACAAACAGACAGACAGACTAACACACAGCACGAAACAAGATGCCCCTGATCTTTTGATTTAGGGAGGAGGAGGGGGGAGAGGGGAAAGGGGGATAAAAATTATTGTACTTTAAACAATTCATTTGTATGTACATGTGTGATTAATTTCAATGATCTTTTTTATTGTTGATTTTTTTTATAGTAATACTACAAAAGAGGATTTAAGTCATTTTGAATAAGTTTCTTTATTTTGTATTAAATAGGAGAGCTAATGTTTTTCTATGTGATTTTTCATTTCATTTTAATTTCCAAACGATTTTCTGGAAATAGTTTTGAAAACCTGATAACAGATGTAGGATCAGAATTATGAGAAAGCCTCATTCTTATATTATTTATGTATTACATTTTGATGTCAACACATCTTGGGTTGGAATTCTTCAGTGGAACACCAGATATCCAATTGAATTTCTACAGACTATCTGGATTAACTTTGTTTCCTGAACAGGTGTGATTGACCATTGAGGTGATACATTAAATGCCTTGCTTTGGTTCTAATTTGATTGCTTGTGATTTTTCAGAAACGACAGATAAATCAACAGGGGTTTTTGGTTGCCACACAGGTACCCAGCAGTAGGCGAGATAATAAAGATGATGACAGACTGGATGGCTCCATGCTTGTCCTGACTAGAGACATGTGCGTTTAGCAAACATATCTTGAAAACAAACTTATCAAACTCATTAGTTCTGGCAAGGACTCATGGCAATTGATGACTGCTTGAACTTTTCCATTGTATACTCCCATCTTGTTTCATTGAATTTCAATGGAAATTTTTTTTTTAAATTCAAATTATAGTAAAATGAAGTTTAAAATTTCCAATTGATTAAATTATGCTTATTGCATCGTCTGTTGAAACTGTTTCTATTCTATTTTCAGAAATCACAAAGTTTTATTTTCCATGAATGTGGTAAATAGACATGCCAGGACAATGGCATACCATGCTGAGCTTGACTCGGTGTTTAATCAACTACAGGAAGAGATCAAGAGGACAGGAGTGACTAAAGTTACAGTAAGTATTTCAATGCTCACTACAGCACAGAATCTAAACATAGTTTATACAATAGGTAGTATAGAATGGATATCCCATCCAACTGCACATATAGTGTGAATTTCATTTCTTTTGTGTATTTTGAGAAATAATTTTAAAATTTCATAGCTTGTAATATTCATTAAGAATTAGTTTACAGTCATATTGAAATTACTTTGATATTTTATTGGAGTTGTCCATTTACTGTTCCAAAAAATTGATACTTTAAGGCTAAGACTGTTTTATTTTATTATTATACTCTCACCATGAGTTGTCAGAGGTGGGAATAACCTCCTCATGTATATTTGTATGTAAAAAATGACATCATCACTCTACAGGCTATATTTCACATCCAAATGTCCGGAAACTCCACACACACGATTACAAACATCAGCTGTTGATTGTGTTTGACTTCCAACCTGATACAAGTAGACAGAAAACTTATTTACTGTTATTATACGTAGAAATCAACAGATATTTTCATTTCAACATTCCACAGGCAGCATCTCAAAACTGATTTGTTTGAAACTCCACATGCATGATAACAACCATCACTTCTTGTACATGTTCAAATTCCAACTTGTGCAGTCAAAAACTAGTTTGCTGTTGCTATAGATTGAAGTAAATGAAAATATCTTTGTCACTGCTCTGCAGGCTGCATTTCCAAACTGATTAGTACAAAGCTCTACACACATGATCAAAAACGTTACTTCTAGCTTGTGCAGTCAAAAACGAAATCAACAGAAATTGACATGTCACTACTCTACAGGCTGAATTTCTAAACTGATTGGTACGAAACTCTACACACATGATCACAAACATCACTTCTTATACCAGTTTGACTTCCAACCTTGTGCAGTGAAATAAGTCACTGTTACTATAAATGGAAACTAACAAAACTCTCATGTCATTGCTTTAAAGGCTCCATTTTACAAGTTCAAGTTTTGACATTCGGTGGTTAAAAAAATTTGGATGTCACCACTCAGGAAGTTATCTGACATCATTTACAATCATAATTAACAAGCAGTTGCATTGCTTGCTTTCTGGTCCCAATATCTTGTTGGGAGACTTCACTTGTGACATTTATAAAACACCAAGTGCATTGTCATCCCCAAAAAATGCTTACAAGCAGCATATCAGGTCACCTACCCATCATTTTTGTAGTTTGTTATCTACACCAGAGACATTCACATCATCAAATTGGGCACTATCTTCCAGTATTACACAGACCACACTGCCATTTGTGCAGCATTTAAATGAAAGTTACACAATTTTACTTATTTATAGTAAATGTAACCTACATTTGTACTGCAGGAGGCACAAATGTGAACTCTTACAAGAAGGATGTTTGTAAACGTGTGTAGTTTCGATTTACACTTACCATGTCAAATTTGTATTGTATCCTATGCAATACCGTGTTACATTTTGAGAAATGTTGTTAATGGGAAATATGAAATTTACATTCGAAGTGTGGCGATACAACGTCATGGTGTTAATTTGTGATTAACTGGAAGAACTTTTATAGGTTTTAGGGAAAACCCTTTTGATGAATACTTTGAAAAACACCTTTGTAAAATTAATGAAAATTTAAGTATCTTTATGAATCACCAGATGTAATATTTAGCTCGTTACATGTGTGTAGTGATATTGACCCAGTAATATAAAGTTGGGCCCTCCTTCTGGATCATTGGTAATGTTAATCTGCCTCTGTATCTATCTCCTGCCGGTAAATTTGAAAACAGATTGCCATTTTGCAATATAAAATGCCCCTCTGATCCGGCCACTAAATTTCATCTTGCCTCTGGCTGGATATATTGGTGGCCAGCTACACAGCACAACCCGATACAATGAAAGCATGTCTGTTATTTACCATTAATATGAAAACAGATGGCTATATTAATGAGGCTGAACTGTAGGATCAGTAGTGACCCAATTGTGGCCCTCCTACTAATCAGTGGTGACCTAGTTATATAAGATGGGTCCATCCTCAGTATGATTAGTGACCCAGAAATATAAGACGTGGCCCTTCCTCAGAGTCAGTGGTGACCCAGTTTTATAAGATGGGGTCCATCCTCAGGATCATTGGTGACCCAGTTTTATAAAATGGGGTCCATCCTCAGGATCAGTGGTGACCAGTTTTATAAGATGGGGTCCATCCTCAGGATCAGTGGTGACCCAGTTTTATAAGATGGGGTCCATCCTCAGGATCAGTGGTGACCCAGTTTTATAAGATGGGGTCCATCCTCAGGATCAGTGGTGATTCATTAATTTAAGATGGGGTCCATCCTCAGGATCAGTGGTGATTCATTAATATAAGATGGGTCCTTCCTCAGGATCAGTGGTGATTCATTAATTTAAGATGGTACCTTACTCAGGATTATTGGTGATTCATTAATATAAGATGGGACCTTCCTCAGGATCAGTGGTGACCCAGCAATATTAGATGAGGCCCTCCTGTGGGATTAGTGGTAACTCTGTAACAAAAGGGAAGCCCTCATGCTGTATCAGTGAAAATGGTTGTGTTTTTAGCTTACCTGGCCAGTAGGACCAAGTGAGCTTATGGCATATTGCGGGTTCCATCTTTCCGTCTATCCGTCCATCCATCTGTCAACTTTTTCATACAAATGGCTACTAGTCATAAATGACCTACAGGATGTTGACCAAATTATGATCAGAAACATTTTAGGGGAGAGAAGAACAAATTTTGTATAAATTGTGGGCTCCCCAGGGTCCTGCGGGGCTGGGCCCAAAAGGGGTAATATAGACTAAATTCCTACTTCTCCTGTAGCAGGAGCCCAAAAGGGTCCAAATGGTGAAATTTTTGCAAGGATCTTTAAAATCTTATCCCTCCTATAAGAATATACAGAAGTTGCCCAAACTTGATCTGAAGTATTCTTGGGTGAAGTGGACTAAGAACTGTATAAATGATGCATCCCAGCCCCCAAGGGCAAGAGGGATGGGCCCAGTTTGGGAAATGTAAATTCTTAAAAGTCCTTCCATTCAAGGATATTGTTCAACTTTGTTCAGAAGCAATTTTTGTGGATGGAGAGTCTGACCTCTGTTTGACAGTGAGGGCGGAACCCAATAGAAAAATTATATCAGAAATTGTTTTTCATAATTGAAATTCTTTATTAAAATTGCTTAATAGCTAAAGTGTAGACAGGTTAGCAATGCAGACCAGTTTGGCCTCTTGTTTTTTGTTTTTTTCTTTCTCATTTCTGTTAAACTATGTGCATTATAGCTTCAAGTATCATTCTTTGATTTCAAACTGAAAATTTCTAGATCAAACATGACTTTTGGATTCAAAGTAATCACAGACTTATGATAAGTATTTGATTACATTGATGTAAAATTTGATCTTGAATTTGTTGTCTTATGAATCAAGGAGATATATAATAGTGTATATATCAGCTTGTATCTATCAGCTTCTAATTTTCCTTTGCTAATATCTATTCACAGTATTGTAACACAGATGATGTGAATTTTACATCTTTGGTGTGTTTTGGTGTTAAAAACCTCAAGAAATAACTGTAAAATCTTTATAGTTTTACTATTCACTAAAACTTGGTATACTGTTATATTGAAGTTACTTCAATATTTCACCTTTCCAAAAAAAATTATATTCTAAAATGAAAAATGTTATATTTTATTATTGAATTTCGAGAAATGGTAAAACATATTTTTTGGATTTAATGTAATCACAGACTAATGATAAGTATTTGATTATATTGACGCAAAATTTGTACTTTTTTTAACTTCATCTTCTTATGAATCAAGTAGATACCGGTATATATCTGTATGCACATCAGCTGGTATATATTGACTTGTATATTGTGACAGCATTTTTTTTCATCCAACTCCCTAGTCCCTAGTAAGTAGATGGTCCCCTTAAAAATCATTAGGTTTTAACACTTGTAAATCATTTGATATGTTATATCTATATAATTCCACAGTATTTACAGATTAGACTGTTCTGTGATTTTGTTTCTCTTGTGCACTCACATGAACTGTCAATTCACCATGTTATGTCAGCTGAGTTCAGCTACAACGCAGTTATAGTGCACTACCTTAGTATTATGTAATTTCATCAATTATGTAGAATTATCCCCAGACTGCAAGCAGCCTCTCTGAATTATCCCTGTCTATGACATTATGTTAATATTTGACATGACTTGTTGATGTATTGATTTTTCAGGAATCAATCACAAGAGACAGCCAAATTGGGCTTCTTTAGTGGTAAAACTGAGTTGTTTGCACTCAGTTTTGCCACTAAAGGTTTTATATTTTTTGACCATAGGGTACATATACTCCCAGCCTTTTTCTCTCTTTCTAATTCTATATTGTTGCAAGTGACCTTTTTTTAAAATCAACATTATTTCCTCTTTGTAATTAGTAAAAGACGTTTATCAGGTTTCACTTGCAGAGGAAAACAGAGGTAATTTAGAGATACATATTTGTCTGGCTTCATTAATTCTCTCTTTTCATGACAGTTAAGATTTTTATCACTAGAACTCCAGAGGCCACATCTGATATTATCATTGATAAATGTGTTGTGGTACCGATATTGCTTAGATTAGAGATTAATGATAAACTGAAACATCCCACGCAGGATCATGTTTAGCCCATTATCATCAGATGGTGGGCTATTCAAATCGCTCTGCGTCCTTGGTCTGTCCATCTGTAAACAATTTTTGTTATCGCTATTTGTTGAGAAGTAAAAGGTGGATCTCTCTCAAATTGCATATATAGGTTCCTTTAGGTCCCTAGTTGTGCCTGTTTGAGATTGAGACTGATCAGAAAAACAAAATGGCCAACAGGCAGCCATATTGGATTTTGCCTAGTAAAGATTGTTATTGCTCTTTCTGAAGAAGTACTGAATGTATATCTCTCAAATTTCATGTGTATAAAAAGCCCAAATTTTTCACTTCGATTCCTATTTTGGTGGGTTTTTTTATGTTTCTTAAAACTTTGAAAATATCATCATTAAATTCATACTAATGTGTTTTAATGTAGTTTACCATTCTATTAAGAGTAGGCAGTCAATGGCAGTTGAACAGTGAATCCATGTTTCCAGCTTAGTTACAAAATAATCTAATTTTTAGCCCTAAATTTCCCTTAAAATTTCTCATTTTTGACCCAAAAATTAACCCTAAATTTAGGTAAAAAAAGTGCTGTACAACTTGCCTATGCTGAAAAATATCTTGTTACAAAGGTCTTCTTTTTACCAAACATGTCACAAATATCTTGTTATCAGTACTACAAACATGCTGTACTGACAATGCACAACTATCCATGTCACAAAGATCTCGTACTGATGGTGTCACACATATCTAGTGTTATCAGTGTTACAAACATGCTATACTGACAATGTACAACTATCCAGGTCACAAAGATCTGGTACTGATGGTGTCACACATATCTAGTGTTATCAGTGTTACAAACATGCTGTACTGACAATGTACAACTATCCAGGTCACAAAGATCTCGTACTGATGGTGTCACACATATCTAGTGTTATCAGTGTTACAAACATGCTGTACTGACAATGCACAACTAACCATGTCACAAAGATATTGTGGTGATGGTGTCACACATATCTAGTGTTATCAGTGTTAAAAACATGCTGTACTGACAATGCACAACTATCCATGTCACAAAGATCTCGTACTGATGGTGTCACACATATCTAGTGTTATCAGTGTTACAAACATGCTGTACTGACAATGTACAACTATCCAGGTCACAAAGATCTCGTACTGATGGTGTCACACATATCTAGTGTTATCAGTGTTACAAACATGTTGTACTGACAGTGTACAACTATCCAGGTCACAGAGATCTCGTACTGATGGTGTCACACATATCTAGTGTTATCAGTATTGCAAACATGTTGTATTGACAGTGCACAACTATCCATGTCACAAAGATCTTGTGGTGATGGTGTCACATAATTCTTGTGTTATCAGTGTTACAAATATCATATGCTATTTCTTACACAAACAATTCTTATATCTTGTTCTGACAGTTCAGCTGTTTTTTCTGACAGTTTGGTTCTGCTAGTGTTGTGTCACTAATATGGGTCATATCTGAGAATCTCATCACACACCTTGTGTTGTAATGGTTACCAATACATCATGGCAGCGTGACCATGTCATTGTTGAAAACCTTAAGTTCCTTCAGAATTTCCTGTCTATATAAGTATAATACCAAAGTTTAAAATACTCTGATGACAATATCAATGTTGTGTGTTTTGTAGGATGTTGATTCAGTGCTGAATATCATCCTTACTTTGGCGTACTATTTCTACAATCTGATGCCCCTCTCACGGGGATCAAGGTAGGTACAATCAGGGAGCTAGATGGTCTCGGATAGGGAATTCGTTCATAAAAATCTTCAACTGATATTGTCAGAACCACGAATGAAAAAAAGCAGTTGCTGTTACATTGGATTTCATGTTATATTTTTAATTTGTTTTTTTTTTATCATTATGCCACATAGATTGAATGCTCACAATATCTTGAAGTGATCTTGGTATTTTGATTGGTGTTTCTTTATCACAGATACAAAAGTAGAAAAGAGAAAAAATAAATCTTGGTGCCAAGGAATTACATCAATGACAATAACAATATTGTTAAAGGGTATTGTAAAGTTTCTTAAATGTGCTTTTGTAATTTAACAGTCATTTTCTAAAAAGTGTTTTGGCAGAGAACATGAAAGTCCATTTCTAATCAGTGGATAGAAGATTCACTTGTCCTTTTCTAAAAAGTGTTTTGGTAGCAGATGTAATAGTCCATTTCTAAAAAGTGTTTTGGTAGCAGATGTAATAGTCCATTTCTAAAAAGTGTTTTGGTAGCAGATGTAATAGTCCATTTCTAAAGAGTGTTTGAGCAGAAGATTCAATAATTCATTTCTAGAAAATGATTGGGTAGAAGATATAATAAACCATTTCTAAAACAAGTGTTTGGATGGAAGATATAAAACTTTTAATAAGATGCTTTGACTAGCTTAATGGTTAACTTCTACAAAAAGATGTTAAAGAAACAAGTTTCTAGTTCAAGCACACAAAGTGAAACTGGTATTGTAACTTCCTTCCCCCTTCTTAATACCATGATAATTGCTTTCTGTGAAGATTTCATTTCACAATTAGTTTGTTAATCTATGGAAATTAGAAACAGCATTTCCGTCATTATTGTTTTTTTTCTACATGACATTCTCATATAATTGGCATGAAATTTAATAAAGGGACCAATTTGTTGAATCTTAAGGGTAGTTCTGTAAGCTCTAGGTAGGGCACTGCAGGGCTGAGATTTATTCAGCGAAAGTGGCCTGAAATGATAGTTGGAACATTTTAACAAGTATGAGTGATAAATGCAGCCTTGTATCTGTTAATGCTATTAATGGTTTTCTGGTACATGCCCTAGATTGAGATTTTAATACACTCTGATTTGTGAGAGGAGTAGGAAAGAAATGCTCCTGAAATTTGAGTTCCAGATCCTGGTTTGTTTTTGACTGTACTAGTATGAGAACTACCTGAAACATATTGTATCACTCTAGCTGTTGTGTATTTTAACATTACAGTGCTGTTGCATATTCTGTGGCCTTGGGAGTTATCATGTCCATTGGAAGGCAAGTCACAGGCAAAATGCCTAATGGCAAGGTTAGTACAAATTTATGTTAGATTTTTGAAATTCTCAATGATGTACAAAAAGATAAAAAGGGTGTTTAGGTATTTTAAATAGGTAATTGGTCCTTCAGGCTCTGTGCAGATATGCAGACTTAAATCTTAAGGTTAAAGCCTTACCTTGAGAATTTATTTGAGTTTAAAATTCCATGACATCACTATTAACTTATAATGAATAGTGTATCTCAAAGTTTGGTATGTTAAAGCATTTGGAAGCATACTAGTGAGAGTATATATGCTTCTATCTCCAAAATAGAGACAAGCAATTATGTCAAGGTAAATGATTGATTTTGAATTATTTCTGTTGATAGGTGGCAGGTATGTGTTAGACATGTTCTACAAAACTTCAAAACTACAGCAATATATCTTTCATCTCCAAGCAACAAACTAATACTTTTTTAAGCCTATAGCTGGAACATTTCTGTTCTTGTAAACCAAAATCTCTGCACCTTCATAACATACAACCTGTAATAAATAAAGCATAATGATATTTGTTATAAAAAAATAATTTGGCTGCTATTTACTTACAGTTAGTGGAGATGGAAGCCATGCTATCTGGGGCACCGGATGTTTTTATACTCATGTCAAAACAATGGATGAATATAAAAAGGTATGACAATTTTATCGAGAAAACAATTCATAACAGAATTGAAAAGAAATATTGTATGATAAAGTGTAATTTTCATTCCTTATAATGTCATGCATTTAGAAACTGTCCCTTTCTTTTAATGCAAAGGAAGCCATTCTGGAAATTAAACTTAAATATTTTTTTGTCTATATGAATTTGAAATTAAAACGATAACATTCCTCTTTAAAGTAACCAATATTTCTAGAGATATCAGCACATTTTTTTTTGTATATCACCGTTTTTTTAAGATCTTTTTTGTCTGGTTTTTGTTGCAGGTTAAATATTCCTACCTCCTTGTTGCCAAAGGTGTACGAAGCTTTCCCCACCACAAGGAATGTGATTGAAGTTCTAAATGTTAATACAGATGCCTGCCAGTAGTCCTATACACAAACCCCAGTAATACAACCATTCCTTCACTAAGTCGCAGCACATGTTTTTAATGATAATGTTATTTGTTAATTTTTGCAGTGATTGAATACATTTTTTATTTACCTGTGTTCATTTTTTTTTTCAATGTTTGCGTCCTTAGTTTTTCAATGACTTACCTGTGTTTGATTTCAGCTAGGGTCTTTCATGATCAATCATAAGTTTCAATTAAGAGGAGCCACAATGGTAACATATTTCAAAAACTGAGTTTTCAACAATACTCTATCATTTGACCTGAGAAGAACTCTGTTGTGTAAACTACAATAGCACTTTCACAACTTGTTATCATCTGTCCAGTGATATTTTTTGGCATTAAAGAAGGGGCAGTAAGGTTTCACCTCATCCAATAGAAATTAAACCTGTTTCATTTCATGGACAGGAGATGTCTCGACACTCTGTTATGCTATAAGAACAGTTTCATACCAGAAAATCAGATTGACATTGGAAATTTTTGCCAGCTTGACCTATATTTCAATATCAGTAATAACTATGAAATTTGATCTTTTAGCATTAAATTGAAATCTGTTTACCACATGTGTCACCTGGTGTAATCTTAGAACCCTGAATTTACAAACATAATAAAAACAACCAGTCTTGTTACATGATTGCTTTCAAATTGAGTGAAAATACCCATGTCATATTTTGTCATATTCCACATGTTTAACATAGCATAATGTTTCACCAAGTTTAGGTAACGAAATGACGTCACATACTCAATGGATGCATTGTGGACCACATTTATGGAGCTGAAACGACCTCAAATTTGACATGGAAATGTCCATTTTCTGTAATATTTACTGTAATAATCCATCATGTGATAAACAAAGTATCTTAAATCTGATATGTGACTTATGATACTTGTTACAATTTTTCGTCAATTGTGCCAAGCGCCCAGTAAAGTGAAAAATTCTAAGACCCATTTCACAAATCATATATCAGATGAAAAATCAGGTAAGGTCCTACATGTAGTTACTATTGGAAGGTTTCTAAAAGGAATTACTTCTAAACAAACCCAAATGTTATGTCTATTTAATAACTGTCCATAGATATTGATTAATTTCTGACCAACCTCAGCTTGGTCGCTATCGACAACTGAATTTCATGAATTCCCACATAAAACTTATCCATCCTTGTGTAAAAAAATTACCTTTGTCCTACATCTTGTGATGGTTGACTGGCACATCATTTATACTTTCATATTTAACAAAAACACAAATAAGACAAAAAAATCACTACAAAATCTGTTGCCTTAGAGGATTTCAAAGAATGTTGTTTCCTCTGATGAAAGTCGAGTACTAGAGAGAATTTTTCTAGGATAAGGAATCAGATATTGATTGTAAAGATTAAAAAAAGGGATAAAATAAAAATGATTTTCTAAATTACAAAAAAGCACATGTTTTAAAAAGAGCTTTAGATAGCTAATATCCTCTGTCCGTGACCTGAGTACTTTTCCTTATCATTGTTGCTAAACCCTGTGAAATAGTTGTTAATACAGAAAAGATCAGTTCACAAACTCATCTCATGCTATTGGTTTAATGAAAAAGTTTAATTTACCAAATTTTTCTGAATTTTTGTTTTGTTTTTTTTTTTGTTAAAATATCATAAGGTTTGACTACTAAACAGTATCACTTAATCTTATATTTACATAATATGTTTAGCATATTAGCTTCAGGTTTTTGTTTGATGTTGTTTATGGTCCCATCTGAAGTCTTTCCTGCTTCCTATAAGATTTGTAGGCTTCGAGTCTTTAAAGTTTAATTAAGTTGAACTCTTTCAAGGTAATATATGTTCTTGGAAGAGAACCAGAAAGTGTTCATTTCAGAGTCCAGAGTATGATTGATACCTCAAACTTTTGATCATCAATTTTGAAATTAGTCTGTTTTGTTTAATATATCACTTTGTAGCTTGAGTTTGTAATTTTCTATTAGTTCTAGTCATTTCATTCCAAATCATTTAATATTTGAAGCTAATTTCTCCCTAGTGGTTTATTTAATTGATGAACATTGCTTCTATGCCATAACAGATGATTTTACTGTTTTTTATGAACCTAAACACTGCAGTCAATGATTTTTTTTTCTAATGATTTCATATCCTTTTATCTTGAATTACAAAATTTCTCTTCTAATTAACTCTCCTTCAGAGTACCCAGAAGGATCAGTGATGATGTTGTCAAGAAAAGATGGGATAATTGCAAAACATTTTGAGATTATTTAAAAAGATATTTACTAGGTACACAGGAGATATAATTTTAATTGAATATTGGTTTTGGTGGCTAATGAATTTGGCAGGACTTAATTACCCTCATGAATCTTAGTTTTTAACCTGGATTAGGGATTTCTGAATGGACAAGACCGACAACAATAAAAACAGCATTATGCAAGATCTACAGACAAATGAATTTAGGTATAGCACATAGGTCACTAAACTGTGCAAAGACAAATATCTTGTGGAGGGTTTTGCAAATCATTAGACAACAAAATGCTGCTCCATATTGATAGCACTAAATAACTGGGCTATTATCATTAATGGATAAATTTCTATTTGGAATTCACATTCAGATATACACAGATATTTCCTTTATAATGATTGGACAATGATTTTGTTTGTTTGCTAATTAACATTTTGTAATTTAAATTATTTAAAATTTTTTACACCAACAGAAATCAGGAATTTGAGCTTAATTATACAATGATATTGCCCTTCCTTATCAACCTTACCATTGTTTGAGAATTACGTCGCTTTTGTAAATGTTGAATGACCTATAGATTTAATAAAGACCTTGAAGTGCCAATAATGAAACTATGCACTCTTTGATCTTGTCATGAAGGCAATTGATTTTTTTTTATACTTTGATAGTCAAGTAATGATGTAAACGATTAAAATCTACCTCGTTTAACAGTGTCTTTGGGTTTTATTTCATATTTTCTCTAATTGGATTCTTGTATCAAAAAGATGTCATTGATGAAATACTTTCATAAAGATATCAATTTGTAACAAAAGGGTTTTATCACTTTGTTTTTAAGGAGGACAACAGAAACAATATTGCTGGACAATGCTAATTCCCCTAGAATTTTTAATTGTACATGAACTGTTCTGTAAAGTTTGAGATTGATCAGTGAAGTAGAACTTGAGTTATTATACAGAACTTGAGTTGTTGTTTATAGTAATGGCGACCTTGAACTATATGTGACATTTCAACCTGAAAAGCACTCTTGTTTATGAAAAGCAGTATGGAAGTCAAGTTTCATCTGTAAAAGGGAACTTGTGTTATTCAGGAAAAAATGATCTTCACATCAGAAAATTATAAAGCAATCCTTAGCAAGCCATGTTGTAGGGAAGCACTGAATGAAGTTTGAGTTTATTTGGTCCAAAGAACTAGCGCTATTGGATGGGAATGGACTTCAAAGTAGTCATAAACTTGTATCTTGAAGTTTAAGAACATGTTTTATATGGATTTGGCGTTTTTACCAACTTTGATTTGTGTTTCAGTGTATTTAGTGATCAACAGTATAGGCTTGAGTATAGTTGCATCAGACTGTGTAGTTAGTTGTGTCAATGTGTTATAGAAATAGATAACATCTATGTAATTACCGAAGAATCAAAATAACAGGCATGTCAATGTTTCTGTTGAGTTATTATCACAGACAAGTCAATATTACTGGTGAGTCATTATCACAGACAAGTTGATGTTACTGGCGAGTCATCACAGACAAGTTGATATTACTTGTGAGTTACACAGACAAGTTGATATTACTGACGAGTCATCACAGACAGGTTGATATTACTGGCGAGTCATTATCACAGACAAGTTGATATTACTTGTGAGTTACACAGACAAGTTGATATTACTGACGAGTCATCACAGACAGGTTGATATTACTGGTGAGTCATTATCACAGACAAGTTAATATTACTGGCGAGTCATTATCACAGACAAGTTAATATTACTGGCGAGTCATTATCACAGACAGGTTGATATTACTGGTGAGTCATTATCACAGACAAGTTGATATTACTGGCGAGTCATTATCACAGACAAGTTAATATTACTGGCGAGTCATTATCACAGACAAGTTGATATTACTGGCGAGTCATTATAGACAAATCGATGTTACTGGCGAGTCATTATAGACAAATCGATGTTACTGGCGAGTCATTATCATAGACAAATCGATGTTACTGGCGAGTCATTATCACAGACAAGTTAATATTACTGGTGAGTCATTATCACAGACAAGTTAATGTTACTGGTGAGTCATTATCACAGACAAGTTGATATTACTGGCGAGTCATTATCACAGACAAGTTAATATTACTGGTGAGTCATTATCACAGACAAGTTGATATTACTGGCGAGTCATTATCACAGGCAGGTTGATATTACTGGCGAGTCATTATCACAGACAAGTTAATATTACTGGTGAGTCATTATCACAGACAAGTTGATATTACTGGCGAGTCATTATCACAGACAGGTTGATATTACTGGTGAGTCATTATCACAGACAAGTTGATATTACTGGCGAGTCATTATCACAGACAAGTTAATATTACTGGCGAGTCATTATCACAGACCAGTAGATATTACTGGCGAGTCATTATAGACAAATCGATGTTACTGGCGAGTCATTATCAAAGACAAGTTGATATTACTGGTGAGTCATTATCACAGACCAGTAGATATTACTGGCGAGTCATTATCATAGACAAATCGATGTTACTGGAGAGTCATTATCAAAGACAAGTTGATATTACTGGCGAGTCATTATCATAGACAGGTTGATATTACTGGCGAGTCATTATCACAGACAAGTTAATATTACTGGCGAGTCATTATCACAGACAGGTTGATATTACTGGTGAGTCATTATCACAGACAAGTTGATATTACTGGCGAGTCATTATCACAGACAAGTTGATATTACTTGTGAGTTACACAGACAAGTTAATATTACTGGCGAGTCAATATCACAGACAAATTGATATTACTGGAGAGTCAATATCACAGAAAAGTTGATATTACTGGTGAGTCATCACAGACAAGTTCATATTACTGGCGAGTCAATATCACAGACAAATTGATATTACTGGAGTGTCAATATCACAGAAAATTTGATATTACTGGTGAGTCATTATCACAGACAAGTTGATATTACTGGCGAGTCATTATCACAGACAAGTTAATATTACTGGCGAGTCATTATCACAGACAAGTTGATATTACTGGCGAGTCATTATCACAGACAAGTTAATATTACTGGCGAGTCATTATCACAGACCAGTAGATATTACTGGCGAGTCATTATCATAGACAAATCGATGTTACTAGCGAGTCATTATCATAGACAAATCGATGTTACTGGCGAGTCATTATCACAGACAAGTTGATATTACTGGCGAGTCATTAGCACAGACAAGTTAATATTACTGGCGAGTCATTATCACAGACCAGTAGATATTACTGGCGAGTCATTATCACAGACAAGTTAATATTACTGGCGAGTCATTATCACAGACAAGTTGATATTACTGGCGAGTCATTATCATAGACAGGTTGATATTACTGGCGAGTCATTATCACAGACAAGTTAATATTACTGGTGAGTCATTATCACAGACAAGTTGATATTACTGGCGAGTCATTATCACAGACAGGTTGATATTACTGGTGAGTCATTATCACAGACAAGTTGATATTACTGGCGAGTCATTATCACAGACAAGTTAATATTACTGGCGAGTCATTATCACAGACCAGTAGATATTACTGGCGAGTCATTATAGACAAATCGATGTTACTGGCGAGTCATTATCAAAGACAAGTTGATATTACTGGTGAGTCATTATCACAGACCAGTAGATATTACTGGCGAGTCATTATCATAGACAAATCGATGTTACTGGAGAGTCATTATCAAAGACAAGTTGATATTACTGGCGAGTCATTATCATAGACAGGTTGATATTACTGGCGAGTCATTATCACAGACAAGTTAATATTACTGGCGAGTCATTATCACAGACAGGTTGATATTACTGGTGAGTCATTATCACAGACAAGTTGATATTACTGGCGAGTCATTATCACAGACAAGTTGATATTACTTGTGAGTTACACAGACAAGTTAATATTACTGGCGAGTCAATATCACAGACAAATTGATATTACTGGAGAGTCAATATCACAGAAAAGTTGATATTACTGGTGAGTCATCACAGACAAGTTCATATTACTGGCGAGTCAATATCACAGACAAATTGATATTACTGGAGTGTCAATATCACAGAAAATTTGATATTACTGGTGAGTCATTATCACAGACAAGTTGATATTACTGGCGAGTCATTATCACAGACAAGTTAATATTACTGGCGAGTCATTATCACAGACAAGTTGATATTACTGGCGAGTCATTATCACAGACAAGTTAATATTACTGGCGAGTCATTATCATAGACAAATCGATGTTACTGGCGAGTCATTATCACAGACAAGTTGATATTACTGGCGAGTCATTAGCACAGACAAGTTAATATTACTGGCGAGTCATTATCACAGACCAGTAGATATTACTGGCGAGTCATTATCAAAGACAAGTTAATATTACTGGCGAGTCATTATCATAGACAGGTTGATATTACTGGCGAGTCATTATCACAGACAAGTTGATATTACTGGCGAGTCATTATCATAGACAGGTTGATATTACTGGCGAGTCAATATCACAGACAAGTTAATATTACTGGCGAGTCATTATCACAGACAGGTTGATATTACTGGTGAGTCATTATCACAGACAAGTTGATATTACTGGCGAGTCATTATCACAGACAAGTTGATATTACTTGTGAGTTACACAGACAAGTTAATATTACTGGCGAGTCAATATCACAGACAAATTGATATTACTGGAGAGTCAATATCACAGACAAGTTGATATTACTGGTGAGTCATTATCATAGACAAATCGATGTTACTGGCGAGTCATTATCAAAGACAAGTTGATATTACTGGTGAGTCATTATCACAGACCAGTAGATATTACTGGCGAGTCATTATCAAAGACAAGTTAATATTACTGGCGAGTCATTATCATAGACAGGTTGATATTACTGGCGAGTCATTATCACAGACAAGTTGATATTACTGGCGAGTCATTATCATAGACAGGTTGATATTACTGGCGAGTCAATATCACAGACAAGTTGATATTACTGGCGAGTCATTATCACAGACAAGTTAATATTACTGGCGAGTTTGATATTACTGGTGAGTCATTATCACAGACAAGTTGATATTACTGGCGAGTCATTATCACAGACAAGTTGATTGATATTAATATTACTGGCGAGTCAATATCACAGACAAATTGATATTACTGGAGAGTCAATATCACAGACAAGTTGATATTACACATAGACAAATCGATGTTACTGATTATCAAAGACAAGTTGATATTACTGGTGAGTTGATATTACTGGCGAGTCATTATCAAAGACAAGTTAATATTACAGTCATTATCATAGACAGGTTGATATTACTGGCGAGTCATTATCACAGACAAGTTGATATTACTGGCGAGTCATTATCATAGACAGGTTGATATTACTGGCGAGTCAATATCACAGACAAGTTAATATTACTGGCGAGTCATTATCACAGACAGGTTGATATTACTGGTGAGTCATTATCACAGACAAGTTGATATTACTTGATATTACTGATATTATCACAGACAAGTTGATATTACTTGTGAGTTACACAGACAAGTTAATATTACTGGCGAGTCAATATCACAGACAAATTGATATTACTGGAGAGTCAATATCACAGAAAAGTTGATATTACTGGTGAGTCATCACAGACAAGTTCATATTACTGGCGAGTCAATATCA